GGAAAGAAATATAGGGTATATTGAAAAAATATCGAATTTTTACTTATCTTTGGACGTTTCGGGACCGAATCTGCTCCCGTTCTCAACATGTAAATGCAAAATATGTTTCTTTGAAAGTTGTGCTGCTAATAGTTTGACACTTTTCAGTGTCATACTGATGTTGGCATCACGTTTGCATATGAATGAGTGACTTTAGTCTACAAATGAGTTACAGGATGTTTTCATTAATTGATCTTGAATCTACCATTTTCATTTTCAGTAGTGAATATCATGTTCTATCTATATCAACTGAACAGGAAGCAATGCTATTGTCTCCGTTTATAAGAATGCAAGCGGATTCCTTGATTTTTCTTTTTTGGTTGTTATCTTCCTTTCCTATGATTTTGAAATTATTCCACTCTGCCATATGTTGTTCATCATCAGTAAGTATAGATAGAACAATTTGTTAAACGCAGTGACAAATAATACGAATATTTTTATTTTATAGAAACGAGGAGAGAAAATCCCAAAGGATCAAGTGAAATGAATGTACCACCTCCTAAATTAATCTACAGACAGTATTTCAAAATATATAGGTCATGCTGCAAAACAGAAATGACAGGCAGCAGGACTGATACAAGTACCATTCCTGGTGACTAGCATACAAGAAAGAAATTAATGTTTACTTTTCTCAGGGTATGTGACCGGCTCTGGTCAAGAACATTTTTCATTTTTTTAATTGCAGAATTGACTATACGAACGTTATTCTGGGACATCCTGTAAGAGCTAGGATATCCAGTATTATCACACCTTTATGCATTTAGGTTTTAGATATATCAGTAGTAATACTGTAAGTACTTCAATATATTCGGGTTATACATCGATAACTCGTTGCATGATTACAAAGAGTTTCAGTTTAACAGTTGAGTTGAGTTATTTTGTTAAACTGACACGATTTGTAATTGTGCAGGAAGTTTGAGGTATATGACCTTGAAGATTTTGAAGTTTGACTTGTATTCGGTGCGACCATTTATTATTTGAGTAGTTCTGAACAAACGTCAACGCTCGCTTCGTTTGTATGTAACAATATGAATTGATTACTATGGAAATGGAAATAATTCTAAATTTCTGAGTGGTGGAACAAATCTATGTATACCCACGTTAATTTGAAATTATACAAGGTAGCTCAGCTCAATTGAACTTTCTGACTGGTTCAAAATCATACAAAGAAAATAATCACTAATAATATATAGATGCTTATAGATAATACACATTTAGAACATTTTGTCTATCACGACTATGAATACAAACATACATAAGTGGTGAAATTCGAAATGCTTTTCCAACTTTTGCTGTGTGAAGTGAAAATGCTAGAGCGGTGCATTTTTTAAATTCAATTCAGGAATTAGAAAATGACATAACTATCATCCATGCATATTTAAAATCTGAATCACATACTGATGATGGCATCACAAAAGAAAAGATGATCACTCATCAGTTGCAGCCATAAAAAATTACGAAAATAGGAGTTACTTAACTCTGAAGCATTTTTGAAAATGTATCCTTTACTAGCATACCGTTTCGTAAATTATCAAAGGTTTTATTTACCCACTGTATAGCTTGATTATTTATTTCAAATCCATCACAAACTTTGCATAGCTGAAAGTATACAGAGTGAAAGAAATTATCAGCAGAAAGATCGGAGGGGCAAGGAACAGGATGGATATTTTATTGCAAAATCAATCTAATAAAGTTTCATTTTTCAAAATTTTTAACGAAAACTAATATCTTTTCTCGTCTTTTTTCAATGAATAATTTTTGTATTTGGATTATTATTACGATTGTTGATTTGAGATAATCAATAATGGTTTTATGGGAAAATATGAAAAAAGTATAATTTTGAAAAATATGCTTATTAGACGATTTGTCATTTCATAAATTTTCAACACCCGTAGGCATTCAACTGAGAAAAACCATTATCATAATTTTCACTGATCATTTATATGCCAGTTATAGCGATTAACGCAAGTTAGATTGGAAATAATAGTTATTTGTTTTACTAGGCAGAAAAGCACAAGATTAAATTGTATTTTCTGTCATGTTAAACATATAAGTACTTGTTTCTCCAAATTTTCAATTTCACCAGTCCAAATAATCCATCAATTTGTGTTCACCCAATGCCATTGTCAATTTTGATTACCAATTTGATTCAAATTATTACTACTTGGAACGTTGTATAGCAACAATTTTTTTCTGTACATCTGTAATGCCTGTCAAGTCTCATTGAAAAGTCACTTTCAATGTAACTTGGATAATTTGTTTTGAAAGTTGGGGTAATATTTCGAGGGTTGTAGAGATGAATATGGTTTCAAGAGTGTAATTGAAAACATGCTAACATTATTCAAAATAGTTTTTGGTTAACCTTTCTATCTCTTGACAAAATCAAGATAAGGCTTCTGGGACACTCTGTATATCAATTGAAAAACAAGTGCGAGATATCAGAAATTTCGATTACATATCACTATGTCAAATTCATTGATACAAAAACTAATTTATTATGAAAACGGTAATAGGAGAAATGGAATAAATGTCTTTGCAGTATAGCTTTCGAGGCCCTAAATAAAGTTTAATCATCAAGTTCCTTCTGTAGATGCCATCACATTGGACATTTTATGTCTGATCCTAATCTGGTTTACCCAAAAGAACTTCCCAATATTTTTCTATCGCGAATATCCTATCCTAATAAACAATACTATCGATTGTGAATATAGTAGCTCTCATCAATGCTCCTATTTGCGATTCATCAGGAGGATAATTTAGATCAAATAAACCTCAATTTGATGGTACACAGTACAATATTCAAAGTATTTCGCTATTTTATCAGATTGTTGTTGCTCTCTTAGGGACGATTTTTCATGTTTTTGTAACCTTTTTTCCCTACTTTGGGTCGTAGGAGCCACTGCCACTGGTTGAGGTTTGAAGGTTCGAATCTAAGGCCCGATTCTCGAATTCATTCTAATAGATATTCAAATTATTTTCGCTTTAATACACTCAAATAATGTATTTTGTCTCTTTTTATTCATATAAAAAATTGATTCCAAACATTCGAGAATGGGCGTGTACACCTTAGTAGAACTTTTAACTCAAACCATGTTTATAATAATTCTTTTATACATAAATAATGATTGACGACATAATTCGATCGAAAAATTAACTGAAGTTTTTATTTTTGGACATAAATAATAGTACCTTCTGAAAACGGACCATCTTATGACGTAGAAACCTCATCTCGCCATAGTTAAAAGAAAAGGTCCGAAAAATCTGGGATTTCAATAATTTTTTATAAAACGTCGGGAGCGGCAAGAAACGGTTTGTGGTGGTGAGCTAGTTTGGGTGAGTTCTATCGAATTATGAAATTGAAATTTTTTGTGATATAAGCCCAATAGTCCCAACTTGAGAATGATGAGTAATACTTTGGTTGATTCCAGATGTAAAATAAATTCACCAATCACGTCCAATTCTAAAGTTAGGACAAGTTCAAGTCGTGCATATATTCATCATCAAATACACAAGCAATACGATCTCACGTTTGATTTGGTAGTGGGCATTATTTTTTCGACTACCGGTTTGGAATAGTCACTATCCATTAATTAATTATATAAATATTTACGAATCAGCACGGCCGATAAGCCGAAATATTTGCACTTATTTCAATGCCACCCATATAGGAAAGGAAGTCGTTGCTGACACGTTAGAGATAACTAGCTCCCCTCTAGCAAGCTAATTTTATACAGATGGTGTCCCAGAACAACGTACCATAAATTCTACAGGGTATACTAAAGACCAAAATAGACCGATTGAAATCAACTTATTTCTATACGAAAATGCACCGGTAGGTATTTCGAATTATCTTTGACAAAAATTAATGTAAAAATTATCTGACTTTCTTCTGACTGCACATTCTTTATGATTCTCATGGGTTTTAAAAATAAATAACAGAATTAATTTTGGTGCTTCTTGATAGTACTCGTTTATGATGTTAGAATTATCATGTTTCGCTCTTTTCTACCTCATTTGTATTAGTTATTCACCACAATAATCATGTTTACCAATTCGCAAGTCCTTGATCATATGATTTGGAAACTGGTCATTTCCAAATTTTAGTTTAGGATTTCTGGTAAAAAAACTCTGAGCATTGTGTCTATCTCTTAGTTGAAAAAATAAATGAATATGCCTTAATAGTTCATAAATATGATTATTGTGGTCAATAATTCAACACAAAAGAGGTAAAAACTTGCAAAACACAATAATCATCATAATCATAAACAAGTATGGAGGAGCACCAAAATGAGTTTAGTTAGATATCTCGAAAATCAAGAAAAATTATAAAAACACTGCTGTAAAAAAGGGAGATAATTGATTTTGTCAATTAAGTATCGAAATATCAAAATGCCGTACTCCAAAAAAAGTTGCATCAATTTTTATCAAAGAGAATGTGAAATACCTAACTCCCTGTATGTTGATTGAATTGATACGACATGTTTTCATTGCACATTCACTATAGTACATTGCCCTTCGAATTTCAGAGCAGTACCTATCAATGATTTCAAAAAGAAAATCTGCATTTACGTATAGAGGTAAGCTGATTACAATTGGACTATTTTGGTCTCTAGTTCACCCCCAGAATTTACGGTATCTTGTTCTGGGACACCTTGTGTATATACATATATATACAGGGTGTTTAATAAAAACCTTACCCCTTGCCGTCTATCGAAAGTATAAATGGAAAGTTGTACATCACGTTCAGTTTCACTTTGATCAGTTCTAACATGCGAATGCGAGGTAAATACATCAAAAAGCGACTTGACTCATCGTATTGCTCGTGTACTTCGACACTACTTGGTTAAACCACATCACTCCATCAATGAGGGCTAACATATTTTTTTTTGTCCACCAGATTTCGCTACCGAGACGTGAGGTCAAAGTAGATAGAACTCATAGATATACTTCTTCTTCTTTTTCCACATCATTCCTTAATACGGAGAATCCGTCTCCATCTGGCCTGGTTACCGGCGTAAATAATAAGGGTTTTGTTTTTCGAGCATCCTGGAGCGATACCAAGTAAGTATTGTGCTCTATTAGGGTGTCAAACTCACACTCACAAACATTAACCTAACGTTAATTAACTTAACCTGTCTTTTGAAACGGCCGGAAGGCGAATGATAGATATATACTTCTTCTCTTCGTTTCATTTATCCTTTTCCTACGATACCTTCCTCAAGTTCCACGATGAGAGTAAAAAAGGCGAAATTGAAAAAGTCTAACTATAACTTCAGCTTTTCTGTTTGTTTACATAGGTAACATTATTTCCCCCAGGGCTATCCGATAGATTTTTCTGAACTTTTGACTTTGACATAAACCTCAGACTCTAGTAACGCCAACTGGTGACACTGCAAAATGTTAGCCCTTATAACACACGCTTTACGATTTAATTAGGTAACAAATCACGATGTATTCAAAATTGAGAATATTCTTTAGGGTCACCCGAAAAGTTGACAACTTCAATTCGAACGCAGAATTCAACATATAATCAATGATGAGTAATAAAAGAACTATCGTTATACTTGGTATTTCCAAAAAGATAATAAAATATACTGAAATGCAAGAAAACATGATAAAAAAATGCACTCAAAATAATTTACAAGAGTTCCAAACAAACTTCAAAATTCAATATCGTCCAAAATACATTTGCATGCTTTCATTACTTTTTTAATTCATCCAATGTATGTATCGTTTCAATTTCGGAAACACCCTGTATAATCAATTTCAACAGGATTACTTGGAAAATATTCACCTAGACTCAGCTGATATCGTTTGAAAGGCATCTAGACAATGAATAATAATAATAGATTAGTTACATCAATTTACAGTTTAAAACTGCCCCTTATGGCACCCATGTATTCACCATCATTCTTCACAACCCTCTTCAAATGATACAAAACATTTTGAGCACGAGAATTCAGGGAGGATACACTTTTTCAAAAAAATACAACTCTGCCGAGATTCCGATATTCACCTTTGAACAGAGGTTGGGGACAGCACTGTTGAACCGTTTTTTTCATATGAAGTAACAAAGTGGTTGAATTTTGTGTGAGAGATTGCCACATATTGTCTTGGGATGTTCATCTAAAATCTGTTTCCGTTCGTTCTTTGAAGTGAAGTTACATTGAAACGGAAGGAGACAAAAGAAGTGTTTCAAGCAAAATGAAGTAAAATTGAATAAAGTGGCATTGAAAGTTGTAACTCATCACCTCAGTTACCGAAAAAAATTCAGAAGCCCTTGAAGGGCTTGTGCCAGTTGAGATGATGAGGGATCTACAGTTTTTTCTAATGAAATTCAAACCCATTTGGCATTAGGGCTGGTGCCTGGCTGGCTATACAATTACGAATACGAAGAATTACGACCTTTCGACGACCCCTATCAGAAGGGCGACTTCTAAAGCGTGACCAACCACAATTCCATTTTTCAAAATAGGCCTCTTTTTTGATATTTTTTTGGAATCTGCGATTGTTTGTGATGAAAATAAATAGGATGTTTCGCTGATAAACGGAAGCACACCAAGAGTAAATATAAATCAGCGAAGTGATTCTGAATATACCAGTAATTTTACCAATACTGTCTTCATACCAGACATAGATTTTGCTAACGAACCGCCAAGTATATTTTTGTGATAGTTGGTTCACATGTTCTACATTTTAATGTGGTAGATTTCATTATTGAAAATTTGTTGGTCTCCACTTTCATCCTATCATCAAAAAACTATGAAAAAAGGAATAATTGAATCAATCCTCGATAGAGCCAAATCGATTTCATCTGACCAACAAATTTCCAATAACGTAATTCATTACATTCGAAACGTTCTTCAACTTAAATCTTATGACCTATCTTATCTATTAGCGTCTGCGGACGGCCGCAAGTAATAACTCCGTGGGCAGTAGATGCGACTGGCGTTATGCGGCGCCGACTGAATGACTTCATCATACTTCGTCTCGTAAGCAACTGGTTGGCTCAGTAAGCAGAGCTGTTTTATTGAGATGAGGAAATAAATGAATTTGAAACCATCGGCATGCCAAGCCGGCGGGCCGGGGTTCGAATCCGTGCGAGGCTCATCTTTTTTTTATTTTTTTCTTGTTCTCAAGTGATTTCTAAAAAATATTCTCTATGGGAAATAGGTTCATTTAGGGGTTTTCTATGTTTAGGCCAGAGGTGAGGTTCGGTTAGGTTAGAATAGAATATTTTATTTGGTGTTAATAAACATTGAGTTTTACACAGGTCAACGAAACAAGTACAGATATACTCATAAAATAGATAGGTTAGGTTTTCTCATTTTTTATGCAGAAACAATATTTTCCTTCCTCAGGAAAAATTCTCCTTCTTCAAGAAAAAAGGTTCATCTAGGTCGATTGATTGTTAAAAAAAAATTCCTTCCTTATATTAGACTCGACACAAGTTAACTAACGTTCCCCTACCACGGAGTTATTACTTGCGGCCGTCCGCAGACGCTAGTTCTTATCTCAGTAGGACCAAAGGACATAAGAACGATTTAAAGAATAGACAACATACGGCAGATTTTGTATTTTAATTGTGAAAACCATACCACTTGTAGGGCGCCCAAATTGTGCCAAGATTACAACCAAGAACCACACATTTTTTCAAGAAAAATGCTCGGTGGATAGCCAGATTCTAACCTACATCACCTTGGCATCGTGAACGGCTGACTAGCGAGTTTGAGCGTTTTAGACCACTCGAAAACCGTGCCCTATCAGGAAAAGAAGATGGCAACCGAAAAAAATCTGCTTGCATTCCTCAAACGGAGTCAATAACATTGCTTCCTATTCAGTTGATATAGATAGAAAGAGGTTTGTTTGTATCAACGTCTGTCACTAAGGAGTGTCAATACAGAAATCCGAAGACAATTTGCCAAGAATAATTTTTCCATTTCAATGTTGTGAACGAGAGCAGATTCGTTCCTGAAACGTCCAAAGAATTTTTCTTTCAGTAAATATAAAAACGATATTCTTAAAGACAGCGACACCTTGGGGCAAATCATATGAATTGTCCTTACTACACATACGAGGTGTTTTTGAAATAAGTACATATATTCAGTACATCAATATGATACAGTCTAATGTATATTCCCATTATATTAAATTTCTTCTAATGCTTCTAATTAACGAGAGATTTCATAACGAAAATCGAACAAAAACCGGTAAAAAATCAGTATGTCACTTTAATAGATATTTACGTAATCAGTTAGGAAACGCGTTGTTTTGTGTAACGATGGGATTTTGCGGGACGAGCGAAGCGAGATCCCGCAACATCACAGAGTTACACAAAATGGCGTTTCCTAACGTGTCACGTACAATATTTTTTCTAATTTTGACGAAACATTTCGCATGAACAAAAATAATGACCAGTTTTACATGAGTTCTGCCGACTCTTGTTGTGTGAAATGAATGAATGAAATGAACATTACATCACCAGTTATGTAAAATTTTACTTTACGCAACTGGTTACGTAAAGTAAGACGTTTCAAAACTTCCGTCAGTTTTGAAAAGTGTCACATTACATGTCAAAATTAGAAAAAACAATTTAAATGATTGAATCCGCATGATTGTGCTTTCCGCACGGAAATTTGAACAGAGGTGATTTCCAGAATTGCTAATATGTAGAACTTTGGGTAGAAAAAGAGGTGTCAACCAAAATTTCATTTTGATACCTATATTTTTTTAAATGGTGCCATTCGATAGTATATACGTTGAGCTTTCCCAGGGTATAAAATATTTGTATTTATTTCAATGTCACCCCGTATATTGACATAATAATCATCTTCTGGTTCGTAGAAACGAGATGACAAAATCCTAAAAAATCTAGAGAAATTGATATTCCACCTCCTCGATTAACCTAACCTTTCAAACATACCTACATGAATCACTCTATTTTATAAGACAGGAGGCCATACATACTTCCTAATGGTCTTTTGATATACCTCTTAGGACCGTCGATAATATGTGGTAGGAGTATGTGCAGTTCATGTATGAGAAAACAATGGAAATGACTACAAAATGGGAAAAAACTGTAACCTGAATGCTGTGCCTATGATATTGAATATGGTAATAATTTTCATCATATTATCAATCTTAAAAAGTCAACGAAACAAATCGGTGAAATTTCCATAGGAAGCATTTCAGAGTATAATTGGAGAATGATTCACGCATCCTCATGCCTCTGCTGTTTCTCAGCTCAAAGGGTGAAAATCGATTGAAATAAATAAATTGCATACAATTCCTTTCAATTTGAAAACTTCAGTCCATCATTTCTATTACTCCCCTTCAAGAGAGATCAGTCTTGAACATCTGAAAAATGCCTTACATCATTCGAACTACTGATACTACAGATAGCCTGTTGAACACATAACGTTACGCAGGTGGTATATCATGACCATGGGATCCAGAGGGGCAGTTTTCTCACAATATGATACAGCATCTGCAATACCTTTGACGGCTGCCGCCAGCTGTTGGTGGAGGCGTCACTGGGGCAAAGTAAGCGTGTACTTTTATATTTGGTAAGTGGTTCTGAAAATGAATACAATCCAAGATAAATTGATAACACTAATTGTGTCTAATGTAGGTTGACAAGTGATAACTATTTTTCCAATGTGCCTTATGTGGAGTAGGGTCCCTTGATGGAAATTGACGTTAAAGTCATCTTAACAGGGTACGGACAGATCATAGCTGCATTCTTTTTTAATGATCTAGAGATTTTAGTTTTGTCTACTGGCATCCCTGACATTGCTGTCACGTCACATCCATGGGCGCTACAGAAAATCATTCAAAATTTTAATTATAGTTATGTACAGGGTATTTACTTGTTGAGGAATATCATATGGCGAACGAGTTTTTTAATCATGATCCGATTCTATTAAAATTTGAAAGGTATGTGGGTTGTGGGTTTCCGGGGTTGGAGATGATGATTGTTTCGTCAAACTTGGAAAATTCAAGATGACGGATCCAATATATAGCAAACGAAATTTCTAATTATGATCTGATTCTATTCAAGATTGGTATCTGAGGGTTTTCGGGGTCGAACTTTATGATTTTTTGTCAAAATTGGGAAATTCAAGATAGGATCCAATATGGCGAACGAAACTTGTAATTATGATCCGATTCTATTCAAAAAATCAAAATTGGTATCTGGGGATTTCCAGGGTCGGAGATTATAATTATTTCGTCAAAATTGGGATATTCAAGATGGCGGATCCAATATGGTGGACGAGTTTTGTAATGAAGATCCGATTCTATTCAAAATTGATATCTGGGGGTTTTCGGGGTAGGAGATAATGATTGTTTCGCCAAAAATTGAAACATTCAAGATGACGGATCCAATATGGCGAAAGACATTAGTTCATATAATTATTACTCTTCCACAAATAGAAAATATGTAGAATGAAAGAGTGAAAATAACGTGCCTATAAATTATACTGTGTATACTTAACGTATACCTACTTCTTTGTTACTTTCATCAATAAATTATTCGAAAATGACTCTCTATATTTTCCTGCACATTTTACGTATTAATTTTTATCAGCCTACTTTTCGTCCAAGACGAAGTCTTTCAAATAGTGTGATATTAGTAACTCCATGAATTCTTCTCCGAGTTGGATTTCTGAAAATACATTTAGCACACATGACATGAGTACAGTAGTTCAGATACCCACATTGAGGTTTCCACCATTTCTCAATCATAAGGCCCAGCTCATTCAGCTCATTTTGATAAACTTCTGCTCAGCTTGAAATCAGAATTCATTTAGTCAATTCAGTCAACCCTGGTATACAGTCTAAGAACAATCTCTTTTGGTGAAATATATTAAGCTTTCAGTACAATTAATATGTTCCCTACCTCGCAAAGATTATGCTGGAGTAGTAAACTCTAAAACTAGAGGATTGTTCATCTATATCTTGGTATAGTTGAATTAGGAATTCCATATGGAAATTACGTATGATACGCCAGTGACCTCAATATAACCTAAAAAACAACGAATGTCAAAAATCTAGTGTTTATCCCCAGAATTGAATAAGGATGGAACTATATAACTGTTTCACAAACACTTTAGAGTGAGAGGAGACGAGGATCTGTCCGTACCCTGTTAGGATGACTTTAACGTCAATTTCCATCAAGGGACCCTAATGTGGAGTAGTCACTGGATGTTATTAGTTAGATGAGAGTTCGGACACAAAAATGACAACTGCATCATAGTCGTTCCGCGATTTTTCATTCAAAATTGTTTCAATTTGACAATAAATTTATGAACGTCAGAATTTAAATATTATTCCATGCACTATTGAGGAAAAAGCATAAATTAAAATAATGTCCTGCTGTGTAATGTATTGCGGGAGTTCTGAAGGAAATAGCGATTTCATTCCTTTAATTTTCCAAAGGGAATATCAACCATTCCCTTATGGAAGGAATGTATGAAACGGCCTGGATGGAAAATTAATTTGAAGATAAGCAAAATTTGTGAGGTAAGTACATACATTAAAATTCTCTTTTTATAACAGCAGATTGAAATGAAACTATATTTTAGGCCCAGTTTCAAACAGTAGATTTATAAGATCCGTTTGAGGGAATCTGCTGTTCCATTGATTTACAAAACAGACTATTGAAAAAAAATCCAATATCATCACCACACGAAATGCAAAACAACATTATCATAAAGAACGAGGAATTTATTGCAAAACTACGTAATAAAATTGAAAATTTGAGAACGAAACTGAGGAAATCAAGTAAATTGCAACGTGATCATTGAATGGCGTTTTCAAAACCGACCAAATTCAAAATTCATCAGTGAAAAGTGAATGCAGTAAAAGGTTTCAAACTTAATCACTGACTATTTTGTCACATTAAAACTTTGTTACATGAATTCTTTTTATTTTTATAACTATTGTTCTGCGATAAGTGTATCGCTATATAAATTGAAGTGGGTGTTTATACCCTATTTGTATTTTCCATCTACGACAATGATTGATTTGACAGAAAATCTAACCTCTAAAATCGTATCTGACAGTCAGGCGCTACTAGGAATATCAAAAAGACAAAGAGCAGAATATATGTTTTATTCTTTTATTCACTCAAACCATTGTAATATAGAAAATAGAAAATAACAGAAGTTCAGCTGTGTCCGAACTCTTATTCTTCTGCCCAATTCATCAAGAACATGAACTCCAATAATCAAAAAGAAGTTATCTTTTACAGAAAGTTTGTACTGTATCAGATGCAAAAATGTCTTAGTGAAAATGGTCTCGTAAGACCAACACCAAGAATATGATTGTAAGCATATTTAGGGAGATCATTATGTCAGACTGGGAAGATAAAAAGTCAGGATGAATTTATGAACACATATGATGTTTAGGAACTTTTAATTCCTATTATCACTGACTCCTTCGACGTTCATGTGGATCAGTTCTCTTCCTGGCTTTCAATGCCTTTTTTTTCATTTGAGTTTCTTTGATGTGAATGTTTATGTGGAAATCTATCAAAACAATTTTGGTTGCGGAGTTCGTCAATGTTTCAGCTAAAGAGCACTCAGAAGAGTTGGCCAATTGAACCAACGGTTTTCATGAATCAGGATGGAATAAATCTGCGTGGTTAGAAAAATATAACACACAATCAATTATTTTAATAGGAGCCTGCACAAATAACTTGAAATGAATAAATACAATTATGAATCAGAAAATTGTCGATCGCGATTCGATTATATGAATAAATATAATCTATCATGTAGAAAACATTCATTGATATTTTCCTAATAATTCAATACGACTTAAAATCCCACAATGCACAATACCTAGTTCATGGACTGAGCGACTCACCCTAAGTCTTCTAATTCCATTTCTAGTGATGAGCTGACAGTCGTAGAGCTCTACTCTCTGTAAGTTGTGACACGACGTGAGATGTTCGAGGGAGGCGTCAGTGACCAGCGGACAGTTGTCCAATTCGAGGACAGTCAGATTCTCGGCGGCACAGGGGGACATCGATAGATGACGAATTCCTTCGTCCGTTATCAGTTCGCAATGTGACAAAGTCTGGAAAAATAATGATCTATGTTGGTATGCCTGTTATTAGTTAGCACAAACTGTTGGGTGTTATGCGTGGTTATGCGACAATCGCTAAGGTTTTAAAATATATGTAAACGTAACTGGTGAAAGGCTGTGTCTTGCCTCCTGTTACCGAAAACTGAATAATTCCGGTAAATACAGGGTGTTTCATGAGAAGACTCACATAGCCAAATGGTTGATAGGGGAAATCAAGACGAGTTGATGTATATATATGAAAACATTTTTTGACCCTCCATAATGGAGATACAGGGTAATATGTGAAATTGCTATATAACTTTGATGGTCGATATTACAGAAATGACTCGTCGTAATCTGCTGAAATTTGGCAGCGACGTATCTATACTGAAACTTTGCCACATAACATATTATGAAGAAAAATATCCAGGTCCGGACTTGGGAAAATTTTATGTTTCATCGTTATGTCAAAAAAGTTCACTTTGTGACCACTTTTCTCGAAAAATTCCATCAGATTCAGAAAGATCAGACAAAATTCTATGAGAACTGCTCTTCAATTTACACGGCACACTTTGACCGCTTCAATAAAAAAATATGGAACAAAATCGTTCGAATGAATTTTAAATCTCGACCTGGCTGATAACTGTCAACTTTCAACTGGTATCATGTGAATTGATTTTTTTTACATTTTTGTTGAATAGTAATCGACAGAAAGATAGACGAGAAGAAAAAACACGATATTTTTTATCGAAATTCCAGAGATATTATTATACCTGACTTTGTTTCTTGGTTGTCGCTTGAAGTGAGATATCTAGTGGATCCTGTTTTACGTTTGTGTGACGAGACGTGACGTTTGTTGATAATCCGAACTGATAGGTAGGTACTAGGGTAGTACTAGGTAGGTACCAACTGATGAAATTACGACATGAGGATTCATGTGCCCATATTATGGTGATTTATCAACTTAGTTATGCCATCAAGCATAAACTTAGCTCCATTTTCTGTTATTGATACACTTCTGCAAGTGATATGAGGATGCATTTGCTATTTATTCAAAATTCCTGATGTTCATCCTCGTGAAGGTTTTACTGCAACGTATTCTTGGGTCTGGAAATATTCTATGGTATCAAACATAGCATGGCATTTGGATTTTCGTCTTGTTCAGAATTTGGAATATGAAGTGGCACCTTAGAGTGTAAGAATATTTCGATCACCAGTGTTTACCTATCAACAAACGCCACGTTACATAAAATAAAAACAGGGCCCACTCCATAACAAATTTCTAAAATAGAGTCAAGAGTAATCATATCTATTTAGTAGTTAGGTCAAAAGCTAACATGTCAAATCAAGAAAAAATCAGAACTAATTTCTTCTGTCGATTTCTATCCAATAAAAATGTACAAAAAGCCAATTTACACGAATCCAGTTGAAAGTTGAGAGTTATCAGCCAGGTCGAAATTGAAAATTCATTCGAACGTTTTTGTTCCATATTTTTTTATGGAACCGGTCGAAGTGTGCCGTGTAAATTGAAGAGCAGTTCTTATAGCATTTTGTCTGATCTTTCGGAATCTGATGGAATTTTTCGAGAAAAGTGATCACAAAGTGAATTTTTTTGACATAACAATGAAACATAAAATTTTCCCAAGTCCGGACCTGGATATATCTTTTCATGATTTGTTATCTTGAATAGTTTCAGTAGAGATACGTCGCTGCCAAATTTCAGCAGATTACGATGATTCATTTCTGAAATATCGGCCATCAAAGTTATATAGCAATTTCACATAATACCCTGTATCTTCCTTATGGAGGATCAAAAAATGTTTTCATATATATACATCAACTCGTTTTGATTTACCCTATTAACCATTTGGCTATGTGAGTCTTCTCATGAAACACCCTGTATAATGACGTCACTTGTGAGACGCAAATAAGGGACGTTCTTTTATTCACCGGTAGCTCCTTCAATCAAAATTGTAAACCATTTCGCCGATGTACAGAGATGGTGGACGACTTTTGGTGGCTTCCGAAATGACAGCGACAGCATAACCCCAAAAAACTAAAAACATAATATGGGTTGCGTGCAAGAACTGTCAGATGACCGACGCTGGAGGCAAAACATTGAAACACAACGTCACTTTTCTTATTTGTTTACAAGTGATCGAAATAGTTTTCCACAATTATTTTGGCATATGAATCGTATTTTTCCGCTATTCATCAATTCGCTCATGCCATCACATTGTGCTGTTGTAAAATGCACAAAAACTGCAGCGGAAGATGAAGGAATCCGGATGGTACATTATGATTCAAAAGTAAGTACCTACTATAGTCACTCACATATAGTTTTCATTTTTGAAATTTGGTTATTTCTCTGATTTCTCATCGGAATTCCTTCTGCAATAGGACCTGAAATTTCTAGAATAATGCAAGAAGATTGGATTCATGCAATCAATCGGGAGGACTGGTCTGACATGCTGACGATCGTGTGTGTTGTAGACATTTTCAATCTATTAGCAGTATTAGCTTGTATTGCAGAAGTGGCAGAAGGCAGAAGGAATTTTAATAAGGAATGACAACATTTCATAATGATAACTATGTGAGATAACTATTTACCTGAAAAATCATATTCCCTAGTCTCTTGCTGCATTTTTTGTGCATTGTACAACAGCACAATGCGAAGGCATGCTTGAATTAATGAATAACGCAAGAAACACGATTCGTATACCAAAATATTGTGAAAAACTATTTCAATCCTTTGATTCCACTGTAACCAAATAAAAAAGTGAGGTTGTGTTTCAATAATTTACAGAAGAATGAGGTTGTGTTTTAATATTTTGCCTCCAGGGTCGGTCATCGTGCACGCGACCTATTGAATTTGAAAGCTGTTATAAAAATAAAAGAAGAGCTACATTATTGACACTAACAGAAATTCAAGTAATTTCGAGTAGTAGGTACTTTTTCTCTCCCATAATGAATTCCAACAAATTAGTGCAAACATTCATAAATCTTGAGTAACAACAGAGAATTCTTATTAATGACTCTATCCATATCATCATAATTTGATGCAATGTTTTGTATATAGTTTGTTAATTTTCAACCTATCTGCTAGAACTTCTGGATCTGGAGACAAGGACTCCAATAACACTTTTAATACATTCTTGTCCATTTTACATCAATTTTTGACAATTCTTGGCTTCTAATTGAAAACAACCATCAAATCAGGAAAAGAAAAATAAATAATGGAAAAAACAGTTGTGTTTGTCATGTCTTAGTCATGTCAAATAACTGTTTTTTTTTCAAAACTGATGACTACAAAAATTCAGTGCACCAGAGTGGCGCCACTTCCAACAATGATGGAAATGAACTGTAAAAAAGAACATACTATATTACCAGTATCTGTATCCTTACCGCATGCAGCACGGAAATCAACAAATATATCATCAGATAGTTAATTCGAGTGAGAACATGAGAATAGAGAATAATATTTGATGTATATGTACTAATTTTAGGACACATTCTTGAAGCACCATTGATGAGTCATGCGTCTTATCTTTAAGTATGTCAATAAGTTTTCCCCATGTTCTTATGTTCTTATCAATCTGAATATGTCATGAATTACAGGTTTTTCATTTCATATAAAAATAAGTACACTGTATCGTCTGCATATGAAATTAAAAAAATTAACAAATATACACAAAATTGGATCCAACATAGATTCTTGAAAAACTCCTTTGTTCATACAGGTTGTAATCCAATTCATAGCTAAAAATTTAGGATATGGTTCCTTAGCTCATTTTGAGAAGAAAAGTTTATTTGAACATAATGTCCAAAATTTCTCAACTTTCGAGCTATAGGGTGTTAAAATTTCAAATTTCATAACTTCAATGCTGTTCTAGATATTTTCATGACATTTCACATGATATTTTCTGAAATTGTATTGACTATTTCGAAATACCATTGACGTTTTCTTGAATACAAGTGACTATTCTGAAATACAATTAACGCTTTCTGAAATTCAATTGACTATTCTGAAATACAATTGATGCTTTCTGAAATACAAGTGACTATTCAGAAATACAACTGGAAAAGGTGATGGGTAATAAAGAGGAATATTATACCAACTAATGTCACTATGGCGTCATCGAGCGTTTCCTTTTTCGGAAGGTGCCAATTTTAATTATTGAAAAAAAAGTATTTATGATGATTTTGAATAACGAATGATTGCATTGAATCCTATTTATACTCGGAATGATCAAGATAAAATGTGGCGTAGAATCGACTAGTGTGTACAACCCCATCATTATATTTTCAAGGGATTATTTTCAATACTCCTGATTTCCATTGTATAGTTTATGCAAAGTTAGTTGAAACTGATCATCAAAGGAATGTCGGGCCGCTCTGCCGCTCTCTTTGAACTTTCAAAGAGACCGATGACCCGCGGTGATGTGTTGTTCCAAATGACTTTCCATAGACTTTAGCAAGGTTATTCAGAAACATATTGTGATCAACTGTATACAGACTTTCTAGATGAAAAATTAGATAGATAGATACACAAACATTGAAGAAAACAAAGAGAAGTATTTGTGGTTCGAAAGTTCGTTGCTGTGCCTCTTGGTCTGTGTATGACAGTTATAGAAAATAAAGGAGAATATTCTTTCAAAAATTAGAAAGTAGACTACCCTTCTGAACAACCTCATCTTACCTGACCATAAACAAACCATATTTGATAAATGTTTCGTCTTCTGCAGGTCAATGGAGTTGATCCTGGAAAAAAACATCATTCAAATAGCAGCCACCATCAGTCTCCAGAGTATTCGCCTCTACAATATTCTTAGAGAACTTCTTTATACAAACATTCGGTTACTGGCACCGGGAGACAAGACACTGGGTAATGAAAATAACTCACTAAGGACAAATTTGCTACTGTATGAAATATTGCAATGAGTCATCATATTAAATTCTAAACACAAACAAAAAACAATGCTGGAAGCCATAGAAGTATATTGAATGAACAATGTTCAGGTCATTCAAAATTGGATCGAGGCCCACTCACCAAATATTCGATCCTAGGACATCCCATTGCCAAGTGAATGAGCGTTGCATCAGTAATCAGAACACATTCATCCAAATCCATTTTCTCCAGATATCTGCAGTTCTACAAAAAAATAAATGATACAGAATGTGTTCCACATTGCTGCACTTCATCTCTGTATTTCCTTGTTCTTTGGGCGGTTCGCATTTTTTACTTTATACCACTTGACAAACTCTTCCTTATCGAGCACATATTTTTCACGAGCGACAAGAATTGAGTAAAAGACATTTGAAAATGGAAACGTTTGGGAATAATAATATTAGTGATTATTTTTTCACGTGTCGAAATGAGACGTTTTCGTCGTTTCAATCAATATCGATGCGTCATTATAGCCAATCATATGGTATCATACTGATAATTTTTTAGTAGCAAATTACAGTGATAATTTTTTCACGTTTGCATCTTCGTTTAAATGAAAACATGAGAGGCACATAGACTGCGTTGTTGGTAAGCTGTTTTGTTCGACGAACAAAAATGACGCAAAACCAAAGTGTGTAGCTTCAAAATGTTCGTTTTTGCTTGGCATTTTGCGAAATAGTTACCGGCCGAATTACATTTGTGGTGGTAATTTTTTTTATAATTACCACCACTTGTGTAATTACTGTTGATAATACTGATAATAATGATAGTGACAATCATGAAATATATATAAAAAAATTCAATCCTGAAAGTGATACAACGTTTGCCGTGAGTTATCTTAGTGAAGTACACTTTTTGAAATATTCGAAAGGAAGAATGTAAGACTAGCCCGAATCAATCATTAAAAAACGGCCAAGTCATGTACTCAATATTTGCTGCTCTTTTTGTGATATAGTCGAGAAATTTCGAAAGATAAACATGTTTTGCTTTTTGAGTGGGTTTATAAAATGCGAATCCCCTACAGAAATACAGGGATGGATGGAGCAAATTGAAATACACTCTAATATACAGGGTGAGTCATGAGGAACTGTACATGCTCCTACTACGAATAGAGGCAGCTGAGGGGAATACCAAATGACCATCAGAAAGTGTCTCCGCCTCTTCTAAAATAATCTATAGGGTGATTAATGAGATATGGCAAAAACTTCTTTCAATCATAACTTTCCAACAGTTCTTTCGATTTTTTTCATTTTTTCATGGATTATCATGCTGTCACTCAGCAATCAACTGACGTATTCAGAATCGTGAAAATCCAGGACCGGTCTTGAGAAATTCTGCCAATTTGGTTCATATAAAAAATTTCACTCTGTATGAGGTTTTAGTAAACTGTGATATGGAATTTCTAAAGTTGATGAACAGGCAACCAAAATGAAGTATTTCAAATTTTCCTCACAATTTCATTGAATTTCTTTTTTTTTTTTTTTTTTTTTTTTTTTTCGCCGAGGTGGTTGAAATCTTTTATAGACATCATATGGATCCAATCCCCCATATGATAGTGTGGGAGTCCCCTCCATGGTATACCCACTAAACACTCCACCCCGTTGTAGGCTCCGACGACACTTAGGCCTAGTGGCCCATTGTATCTCACCTACATGCCGTTATCAATTTTACCACATACGACTCATGGTGCCTATTAAGGGACACTTCAATATGAAAGACCCTTTTCGTTCAGGTTCTTGAAGATTGCTCTTCCGCTCCCTGTTCTCGTCTACGAAGAAGGCCAAAAGTTTTCCTTCTCCTACGAGTGACGGGGGAAGGGGTTGGTCCAGCCCTGTGGTGCCCCCTGCACAGGGCTAAGGCTGTTTACTCTGGGATGTCGCCCTGTTTCCCAGAGGCCCCGTTAGCGACACCATTCCTCGGTGCCATCCATCCATCGCCACGGGTTCCCACAGCTTGGATTAGGTTGAATTTCTTAGAAAATGATTAATTTAAACTACACACGAAACTTGGGCAACAAATGTATTAATTTCAAAATTAATACTTCGCAATGCATGAATTTCACGAATAAAAGTAAGGGTAAAATTATTCCTGATTCTTGTTTGTCAACTCCGAACATTTCATGTCACAGTTTATTAAAATCATATACAGGGTGCAATTTTTGGTGATTATTACCATGTACCAAAAATTTACTGAATCCAACCCTGGATATAGATGAATGTTGATTTTCAGTGAACTGAAGAATAGGAAATGATGTTATTCTTGCTTCTATTCGTGAAATTCTAGCGGTGCGAAGTATTCATTTTCAAATTAATACATTTGTTGCGAAAGTTTCACGTGTAGTGAAAATTGATCGTACTCTAAGAAATTCTGTGAAACTCTGAGGAAAATTTGAAATACTTAATTTTGGTTGCCAGTTCATCAACTTTGACAATTCCATATCACAGGTTACTAAAACCATATACAGGGTGTAATTTTTGGTGATTATTACTCTCTACTAAAAAATTACTGAATCCAACCCTGGAAATAAGAGAATGTTGATTATTGTTGAGCTGAAGAATTGAGAATGATATTATCCCTACTTTCGTTCGTTAAATTCATGCGTTGCGAAGTATTAATTTTCAAATTAATACATTTATTGCCCAAGTTTCGTGTGTAGTTTAAATTATCATTTTTTAAGAAATTCAATGAAATTGTGAGGAAAATTTGAAATACTTCATTTTAGTTGCCTGTTCATCAACTTCAGAAATTCCATATCACAGTTTACTAAAACCTCATACAGGGTGAAATTTTTTATATGAACCAAATTGGCAGAATTTCTCAAGACCTGTCCTGGATTTTCACGATTCTGAATACGTCAGTTGATTGCTGAGTGACAGCATGATAATCCATGAAAAAATGAAAGAAATCGAAAGAACTGTTGGAAAGTTATGACTGAAAGAAGTTTTTGCCATATCTCATTAATCGCCCTATAGATTATTTTAGAAGAGGCGGAGACACTTTCTGATGGTCATTTGGTATTCCCCTCAGATGCCTCTATTCGTAGTAGGAGCATGTACAGTTCCTCATGACTCACCCTGTATTATTCCTGTCTGCTCTAGTGAAAATATAATGAAAATTTTAGGATCATGACTTCAGGCTTCAAATGTTCAAATTTCTTATGATATACCGTGCTTTCACGTTTACTCCCTACGTAGGACATAACTCGTGCGATATCGTTATTTGATGGGAGGGAGAAAGCGAAAACAGCCGGTCAGTGATCTCAACTCCCCACTCCTACGCCTCTGCTAGCACGCGCACGATCGAATACTTTGCCTATGTAGTGTTTTCCAATGAAATCACGGTATGTGTGTATATCTTACAGTCGGAGCAATAAAAGATAAAGAGGTGCCTTTCCTATCAACATATCACACATTGTATTGACATTCTACTACGTCTTCCAGAGATTTTACAGCAAAAGGTGAGGTGAGTCGACAGTAGAGGAAGGTGAATAAATATTTAGAAATAACAAAACTAATAATGAAATCTCGACCTTTACCCGAGTGGTCGCACGCTGAAAATTTACGTCATCGGTCGCGCTTCGGTCTTTTAGACCGACGACTGTTATCGTGATAGAAACAAGTTCTCCAAAATGAACTAAAGTGGCTTTTATCATATCATTCATTGGATGATATGTATAGAACTATAGTAATGAGCAAAAACTTATATTCGAACTTACAAGGATAATAATTCAGGAATAGTTAACTAAGTATACTAAGTAGGACTAACTTATCTTGCTGCATACTGTCATTTCCTACACAATGAACGCATTTTGTCACAGTGTGTTCCCTGCAAATATATCTGTTACATTCATTGCATTTTGTTGTGGTTTTTCGGCTTTTCTTTGATAAACAGTATGCGCACCTCTCTTGAACGTTTTGTGATCTTGCTGGTTGTTGTCTATCAAATCGTTCTCTGGCCAGCCGATTGTTCTGTGTCAGTTGAATGAGCACTTTCTTCGAGTATATCATCTCCTTGATCTATCTCAGAATCACTTTCTCCAACTACGAAAGGCCCCTCATCTGAATCGACTTCCCCGTAGAGCCTCTGGAGCCTTCTAACTTCTTTTTCATAGGCACCAGCCATTATAGATGTATAGATTCATGTAGTAATACAAAGAAATTTATGTGGAAATAAAACGGCACACTACCGGTCGCTACTGCACACCCAGCCGCACTACAGTGTCTGAATAGCTCCACTGACGAATTTAGGCTTGCCTATGGTGAATCAGGAAGGTACTGAGATGGGGGTACGCAAAGAATGTCATATAACAATAATAGAACAGAACTCGGTAATCGTCGGTCGAAAAGACCGACGCGCGACCATTCTCGGGTTAAAAACGCCAAGTAGGTACCCCGTCAGGATATCATGAAAATTCAAATAAAAGCTAATCTTACCAAGGTGCAAGAGCTCAGAATACTAACAAATAAAAAAAATCGTAAATAAATAAGCCCAACATATCCACTTTGACAAAGATAAAGAGGAGGTACCTCTATATATTGTATTGCTCTGAGGTCATACATGTACTCAATGACTATATTTGAGTGTCAGGTTTTGTTTATTCATTGGATGAATAAATATGCTGTTTTGATAAATAAATATTTCCAATCCGACATTGAAATCTCATTTCACTGACAAGCTGAACAGATAATTTGTTTCTAAAACTGTCAGTAAACCACATTCATGAAGAAGTAAAGTAGGATACTGCAAATATAAAAGGAAGTAGTGTACCTTTCGTCTATACAGGCAATCAAAAAAGTGATTCACTGACAGCACAAGAAAATTGGTAATAATTATTATTGTTGTACTAACTCGCGCCAAAGCTTGAAACGCCATATCCGTGAACTGTGAACATCCTGCTACCTCTAGAGTGGAGAGAAGATGACAATTCGAGGCCAAGGCTATCAGTGCGGTGTCAGTGAGTGCCGAGCATCCCGAGAGACATAAGTAATGTAGCCTAGTGCATCTGTCTGCTAGCGATTGGACAGCTTCGTCTCTTATATTCTGAAAGCGAAATTTTCCAAATACTAAAAATGAAAAATTTATATGAAAATGTGAATGTTTCGAATTTTCTATTTATTATAATCAATTTTTTATACATCACACATGAAGAGAAGGAGGTTTATACTATCATAAAGCTAATTTACTTCCAATCTAGGTACAATTATTGATGATGTCTGGCACAGAGTACAAACAAAATAGGAGAGCAATGCTGATTCCCAGTAAATTGAACTAGCCGACACCACGTGATCGGCTTGGAAAAGTTGGTTGAAGAGTATGCGTAGTGTGTATATTGTAGTGGGACAGCCTTGACAAGAAATAAAAGAGCGGACCTACAAACAAACTCCCAAAGATCGATAGGAAAACAACAGAATACTAGCGAAAATACACATCATGTACAATACCCTAAACACAAACAATGTGAAAATGTCTGACAAACAGTGTTGCCAACAGCCAATTCCAAAAACGGCTAGATGATTGTTAGAAGAAGACTGAAAATTGAAGCGCGCCGCAGAAGAAAAATTGTTCAGCAATTTTTTGTCTAATCTAGCAATGTTTGCAATTTTTCAAGCAAAAACAAGAAATCTAACCATGGACTACAATTCCGACATTAATTAAAAGTCTAGAGCTTAGATCTAGAGCTAGACTCTACTGATCTAGAAGTATTGACGTTGACGTATGACGTGATGTGTTGACGTCATTGACGTCAACGTCATTGTTTCTCAAATGGCACAAAGTATGGAGTACAAAATCCATAGAAATACAGACTGGTCTAAATTTGACTTAGAATAGATCGTGCATATAATGAACTGTCTATGGGAATATGATAGAAAATTGAAATATTTTTATAGAAAATCAGAATAAAAAATAGTTAGAAAAATTGGCTAAATGGCTAGGTTCAATTCTTAGTAGCTAGATGAGTTTAAAAATGGCTAGAACTAGCCATAAAATTGCTGAGTTGGTAGCACTGCTGACAAATGTTCGATAATGAGATTGAATAGAAGATACCTCTGATAAAATCTACAGTGAGTATACAGTGGGGACGTGAAGTCTCCCATCCCCCCTTCAACTTTCGAACGGAAAAAGGTACAAGCTAGCGAGGGAGGGGAAAATTCAGGTGAAAATGTACATTTTTAACGACTACGAATGAAAATGGTTGTGATCCCATGGCCTAGTGTCAAGTGGGCATCATACATTTTTTTTTCGAATGTGAAGAGGGGGTCACGAGGTACCATATTTTGTAGGCCTCTCGATTCTTCATCCAACACCGCTTCGTTTGTGCCAAGCCGTTTCAAAATTACAAGCGTTTGAAATTTACCTCGCAAAACAGTAAATAACGTTCGAATTGATTTCCAAAACCTATTTTTTCGTGACAACGGTTAACATTTAGAGCATTTTTGAGCACTTGTTACAATGGGCTTATATCACAAAAAAATTTTATTTCATAATTCGATAGAACTCACCCAAACTAGCTCACCACCGCAAACCGTTTCTTGCTGTGAGCTCCCTACGTTTTATAAAAAATTATTGAAAACCCTAATACTGAAACAAGACTATTCCAGACAGAGATGAATGATACATGATTTCTGACAAATCAATTCTAACCTAGATTGACTTTTTGCAGCTCCATGTGGAACGGGTCAACAAAGCAATGTTGCTATGTTTATGAAATATATTGGATTATTGTGAAATTGTAATGGTGCAAATGGTTTTGAGATTGAGACATTTCGTTGTCTAAAGATTGTTTATACTCCAATGATTAAACCTACAATCGACAACTCGAATATATTTTTCTGCAGTAGTGGTAGTGGATATCAAAAGATATTTCAATATCGATTTCGGTTTCTCGGATATTTTGTTTGGATGATATGGCAACAGTAATAAGTGTCAGGAGAGTGTCAGTTTCAACCATATATCTACTATTTCTATATATGGCGCATCGCCTATACGATATCTCAACAAAAATGGGACCAAAATGAGAGGTACTCTTTGAATCTATGAGAACGAAAAGTGAAGGATGGAAACAGCCATATTGGTTTGACAAATTTCCTATTATTTTTTCCCTACGTCGGTATCAACGCCTATTGGTCGATTTCATTACCTATAGAGACAGAAATGGGTCCCGCTTTGATGAGAGCTATTATTCATATATCAGTAGTAGATATATATGGTTTATATATATATATATGGCGAGATGGGGTTTCTACGTCATAAGAGGGTTTCCGTTTTCAGAAGGTACTATCATTTATGTCCAAAAATAAAACATTCCAGTTAATTTTTCGATCGAATTATGTCGTCAATCATTATTTATGTATAAAAGGATCATTATAAACATGGTTTGAGTTAAAAGTTCTACTAAGGTGTACACGCCCATTGTTACTTGAAATTTTGTTAGAATCAAAAGGTATTCAGGTTTTTTATTAATTAATAATAATATTTGAAGCGAATTTCAAACGCTTGTCATTTTCAAACGGCTAGGCTGATTTGCACAAACGAAACGGTGATGGATAGAGAATCGTAAGGCCTTCAAAACAAGGTAACACGTGATCCCTACTAGGCCACGACAACCATTTTCATGCAAAAAACTAGTAAAAGAGTACCTTTCTCTGAATTTCACCAGACCTCTTTAGCTTGTCCCTTTCAGAAGGTGAAGGGAGGGGGAAGGACTTTTTATGTCCTTGCTGTATAGACATACATTCTAACAAATCATTAAAGGATAGATCGAAGACATGCTGTGCTGACACTATACACACTACGTATGTGTCTCAACCATTTGTTGTTTATAGGTCAGTGAATATTTCTTATCAACTATTATTCGCTCAAAGAAAAGTTTGAATCTTTTTTTTACTCATTTTGTGCCTGTGGCCCAGATAATACTCTTTTTAAGGTATCTAGTATTTTTCAGTTCATTTGTGGACTTCTTTCACCACACTTTATACTTGTAGTAGAAACTACTAATAATCTACTACTAAGTAGATGCAGAATTGTTTAAAAATGTCATACTGAGTTTCTGAGGATTGGGAAACCCATTGACATAATTTGCATGTCTGTGATGAGCAACGAGGACTTTATAGCTGAGCATTTTTAAAATGCAAAGCTAAAGGTGAGTAAGGTTAGTATGAACCTCTGAATCATTTTATAAAAAATTGAATCATAAACATGGTTTTGGTTTCAGTCATCACTTGAAACACGAAAAAAAATTGAGGACAATAAGTGTGTAGGTATGTTTGAAACCAATATGATCTGATAAGCTTAGTGTTGTGTAATTTTATTCAGATGATAAGACGTGAATTATTAATCCCATTATAAATTATTTAGAATGATTTCGTTCTCTAAAATCTGGATTGAAGAACGATGAATTCACATTGAATACATACATATACACTCACCAGTGAAAAAAACCGGCCATTCAAAAAAATTAGCCAAATACTTCGCCCTGTAACTTTTTTAATTTTAACAGGGCGTTAAGAAGTGAAGTGTAAGATAGTAACTTCGGCTTTTCCCTGTATAATGATCAAGTCATCAGCTTTTCACGGAAACTAATATTTAGGCTAACATTCCGGAACATGAATCTACGATTTGATAGAAATTTCACAGTAATCGGACATGGATTAAGAAAGTTACAGGGTGAACAATTTGGGAAAATTTTTTGGTGACCGGTTTTTTTTGTGGGTGAGTTCATATCCTTCCCTTCACCATTATTCTCTTTCAATCTTAAGTTTTCAATCATTGATCAGATAGGAACAGCGAATAATGAAACGTCACATTGTATGAACATTTGGATTTGTGATGTGTATGTAATTTCTAGACATTAGAACTAGGATTAAATGGTACTGTCAAATTATTGAATATTTAGTCTATTTAATTGCCTCAGTCTCTGTATTTGACTCCATAATTCACGATAGAAAATAACACGTCGCCCCATCTGACGGCAACAACTTGAACGCTTCTGATCGGTTTGTTTTGATGATATGACCAATAAGCACAAACAAAAAACAAATGTGAACCAATAAAATAAGGCTCCTTTGACAGCTTTCAAGAACTCCGATAGGTGGCGTACCCTTATTTTCTATGGCGAATATTATTACTATTTATAAATCTCATTGATTAGATCAAAGAACCTTGACACATGACAGATACAGGGTGCGGCATCATAACTTCCTTATTTCAAAACGCAATAAAACCCATTTTATGGATTAGAAGTTTTTATTATTTTTTTAATGTAGTTTTGCTTCACACAGTTTTGAAAATCATGTCCGGTAGATGACGCCCCCCATTGTCAATACACTGAATGAGCCGATTTCTGGCGTTTGTCATAACCCTTTCCAGCATGTCAACTGGTATGTTGGCAATTTCAGCCCGAATATTGGCTTTGAGATCTTCTAATGTTCTTGGACGGTTGACATAAACACGGGATTTTAAAAATCCCCACAAAAAAAAATCGCAAGGAGCCAAATCCGGGGAACGGGCTGGCCATTCCAAATCGCCCCTAATTGAGATGAGGCGCCCCGGAAAGTGTTTCCTCAATACAGCCATCGATGCCCTTGAAGTGTGGGCCGTTGCGCCATCTTGTTGAAACCAAACGTCCCCTAAATCCAGTTCATCAAGTCGGGGGAATAAAAAATCATCCAACATGTTCACATGCTGGTCAGAATTCACTGTCACTGTTTCCTCATTTTCTTCAACCAGGGACCAATTATCCCAGCAGAGGAAATTGCACACCACACTGTAACTTTAGGGGAATGCAACTCGCGGGGGTTGGTGTCGGCCCAGTTTTGTTTGGTAACGTATCCACTCAAGTGGAAATGGGCCTCATCACTGAAAAAAACAATTGCGTCCTCAGGAATGTTTTCGAGAATGCCTCACACGTATTCCTCCGAGAATTGAAGTCACGCTCGAAGAGTTCTTGAACAATCGTCAACTTGCATCGTGGCGACTGACCGGATGGGGAACAAAACTTTAGATGTACGCCTACTGAATAAGAGCAGTCTCCGCCCACTACGATTTACAGTCTAAATGGCGCGCTTTTCAAAAAAGGAAGTTATGATGCCGCACCCTGTATAACCAATAATAATTAACGATGTCGAATGTCAGAGAAATACACAAATTTCACGATCTTTGCAATTTTCAAATTCTCAACATCACGTTTTCGCTTCCAGGACGAAGATTTGGGACTAAACAATCAATATAACCACTATTGGGACTGAGACAAAGTTTTATCATTGGCCTAATAGCCTAATTAACAAAATGTATGTATGTACTCACGTTGCACCCTTGCAAGTTAACCACTTCCAACTGTTGACAAAACCTCGCCAGACAAATGACAGCTCGCGAAGTTATCTGCTTACAGCCCTTGCTGATAAAACTCTTCAACCTCGGACATCCTCTCGCCAAAGCCTCAACTCCATTCTCAGTTATGTTGCTGCACCAACTGACATTAACATGCGTCAAATTCTGACACCTGTAAGAAAAGGCTGGCTCTAAGTTCTAACAAAGGTGATCGGAAATGGAGCACTGATTGAGGGCTAACATGAATTAATTGTCCACCACATCGCGCTACTGAAAAGTGAGGTTAGAGCTGGTGGAACTGATAAATATACTTATTCTTTTCATGTATTTGGCCTCTTCGATATCGCATTCTTCGTCAATGTCAGAATTGGTCGTGAAATCCCGCATTTAGAGTAAAAAACGTCTGCACAAGTCTTTCTTTCCATAACTTGCAGTTTTTGATTTGTGCAGATATTCTACAATCTACATCATTTATTCCGAATATTTTCGATAAAAAGGGCCACAGCCTTCAGGCTATCTGGCAAAATCTTGGGATTTTTGACTTTGACATTGACCTCATGTTTTAGTAACGCCAACTGGTGAGACTAAAAATGTAAACCCTCATTGACCTAACCTAACCTGACCTCTTTCAAAAGTGATAAGAATATTATGTTCAACTTCCTTCGTATCCTCAGTACAAAATAAAGTGATGTATGGTCTGCAGAAATCATAAAATGCGAGTCAATGGTGATATTGTTTTGTTTTGAACTACCTGCAATATTTCACTGAACTGAATCACTTAACACGGGTTCTTTCAAATTAATGTTTGGGAGTGAATGATATTGAAGAACTGAGATTTTCTTCAATCACATTGTTCACTTGTCAAGTTCGGTCAGTACTGTCCATCGTCGAAAAAAGGAATTGAAAAATGAATAAAATTCATTCATCTTCACTATTCCAGATTTTTTGAGAGTTTCTCTCCTTGTTCTTTTTTTCATATTCCTGAATGGAAAATAATTTACGAACAATAGAATGAGCTAATCAAAACCTTAAACCCGAAGTTCATTTTCAGTGGCGTACCTACGGGATGGATGAGGGGGATATATCCCCCCATATGCCGATAAAAAGACACTCGTTGGTCGTTGTGTGAGACGATCTTAATAGCGTATGCGCTTACCCTTTTTCGTTTTTGGTGCACTCTAGGTTTGTGTCTCAACTTTCGATGGGATTTTCGGTCTTGAGCTGTGATTCCCCGATATTATTTAATTGGTTTGTTTATGCCATGTAACCAAAGCCATTTATTATGACATCTACAGCAATAATTATTTTATGTCAACGCTAATTTTGCTTTCTTATTCTTGGATATATCGTTGAAACCACCAACGCTGATAGACCAATCATAATTGAAAGACGACAAGTGTTCTCGCGTTAATACAAGTTTCTTTGGCTTGTGATAGGTCAGATTATGTGAGAATTTTGAGATGAGTGAAATAGTCACCATCAAAGGTGGTCCTACGAGAAAATTATAGGAGGTAATTACACCCTCTCCTCCCAGAGCATAACAAGAGAATTACCATGAAATCAAAATTCGCAATTTTCCAACAAAATGTCAGCAATTTTCATTGCGTGCCTACTGACTACTGCAATTATGCATCTTTAGATTCAAATTGATTGTTACTGTTTTCATGGCTTCTTTTACCAAACTCGAAACTAGATATTCACCCTAGCGAAATACTCTCAACTTTTTTTTAAATCAGATCTTGATCACCAAAGTAGCATTTCGCGCTCTAGATACAAAAATAACTATTATTTGATAACATATAATTTTCATCCGACAAGCAGATGAGTGAAGGTCGGCCTTACTTGGGATCCTCTACTATTAATGATGTATTAGGTTTAGAAAGATAACTTAAATTTGGAACACTGATGTTTTAATTAACTGTGTGTTTCTTAGCAGATTTTTTCCAATTGATCCATCTGGAAGAGGAACTGTTTAAACGAAATGAATTGCACACACTGCGGAATGTTGAGATTGGGACCAATTTTTACGAGGTATCGAAGATATCCACTTTTTTCGCAGTTCTTCATTTTTAGGAAATTTTAAAATCCTAACATATTTCTTTTCCGAAGCATAATTACTAACTACTTGAAACCTGTCACACAGCAATTATGACTTACTTTTCTCCCAGAAATAAGACAACATATAACCTCAATTCAAAAACAATTTTTGATGAGACTTTCACACACACACAAACACCCTTTCACTTATAAGTCGATCATTAGAATAGTCCTTACACTTTTCACTAGCTTTCAACAATATTCCACATGGATAACACATTAATTTACTCTTGAAAACTAAAAACAGTCACTCTATTACATCCAGAACCCATATATCGTAATTGTGCGAATGGCTGGAGCCGCTGGAGGTAGACCTTTTGAACAGTGTTGTCAGACTGGGCTCACCGCGGCTTTCCTCTTTAAATATGGCTATGATATTGTCAATAAATTGAAAAATATCTTTATTGTATACTAGCAGACCTCGCAAACGTTGTTTCGCTATATACATTATTTCTATAATATATTTTTCAGTTCAATATTCATCAAGACACTATTATTATTTTATTTTCTACTTCTTTTAAGTTATCGCTATCTATGAAAGCGTGTTTCTATAGTTTTTCAAACTAGGTACTATTTATTTCGATTTCTTTTGAGTTCACTTGAATTTCACAATTTTGACGATAGAATCATAATATCCGACTCCTAAAACCCCAAATGAAAATTTTGAATAGAATCGGAACATAATCACAAAACTCGTCCGGAATATTGGATCCACCATCTTGAATTCCCTAATTTTGACGAAGGAATCATAATTTTTGATCCCGAAAACGCCCACTTACAAATTTTGAATTGAATCGGTATATAATTACAAAGCGTCCGGTATATTGGTTCCCCGCCCTTACCAGATTTTGACAAAAGAATCATAATCTCCGACCCCGAAAACACCCAGATAACATTTTGAAGAGAGTCGGATCATGATTACAATACTCGTCCGCCATATTGGGTCCGCCATCTTGAATTTCCTAATTTTGACGAAAGAATCACAATCTCCCACCCCGAGAACCACTAGATTTCAAATTCAAATAAAATCGAATCCTAATTACAAAATCCGCCATCTTGAATTTATCAATTTTGACGAAGGAATCATAATCCCCGATCACGAAAAGCTTTAGGTACCAATTTTGAAAAGAATCGTATAATAATTACAAAACTCGTCCGCCATTTTGGTTCCGCCATCTTGAATGTCCAAATTCCGCCCGAATTTTCAAATTCTGACGAAAAAATCATAATCTCCGACCCCGAAAATCCCCAGATACCAATTTTGAATAGAATCGGACCATAATTACAAAACTCGTCCGATATATTAGAGCCGTCATCTTGAATTTCCTAATAGTACCGGGATAAGAAGTATCCTATAATCTTCTCCTGGTTCTGAGCTACCTCCCAACCAATTTTCAGCCAAATCTATCCAGTAGTTTCGGAACCTATTCAATACATACAAACAAACAAACAAACAAACAAACAATCAAATCTTTCCTCTTTATAATATTTTTCGGCAATCGTCCGGGAAGTGCTCACTTCCCTGACGCTTTTTCTTTGAGAAAGTAGCATTTTTCCGACCTAGTCCGGGAAGTACGTACTTCCCGGAGTAGGCCGGGAAGTATCACATCGTTGTTGTCACTGTAACTATGAAAATCCTGGTAGATATGGTTTTGATAAATGCAGATTATTATTACCATAGCAGCGAAATATCGGCTGACAGCTATTTGACATGAAATTAGTTGACATTTTGATTTTTGAAAGTTTGGTTGCAATTATCGCAGTAAACTATCGAAAGCAGCTGCGATAGTGAGTTTGAAAATGTCCATACGAAAATTCCAATGCAACAATTAGTAGCCTATACCTACTAACTGTTCTGTTCAAATTTCAGTATTTGATACAAATGAGGATTAAAATATAATATGTTATTTTACATGGTTGCCGAAAAAATAGTGTACTCAACACGTCCGAAAACAGTTTTTTTGGACTCGCAGACTTGAAGGACTAGCCTACGGCTCGGCCTAGAATTTTGTCTACTCGCAAAAAACAAACAGTATTTTCCGGACTTGTTACGTAAATCACTATTGTATGGATCAATTGAAATTCTCAAAATAAAGACGCACCCATCGCTCAGCGCCTTCAGTGAATTGTCGGTGATGGCGGCGCAGCTGTCGAGATTGATCCTCTGCAGCTTGGGGCAGTGTCTGGAGAGGGCGGTGCTCGTGTGGTCGGTGAGCTTCTTGCAGCCGTTCATGTTGAGGTCCTCCACGTTGGGGCAGAGCTGGGCGAGCGTTTTCATCGAGCCGTCCGCTATGGACTGGCAGCCCCTGAGGGACAGCTGGCGCAGGAAGCCGCCGCACCGGCGCGATATGTTCTCGATGATGGGGCCCTGTATCGAGTGAAGATGACAGTAATCTGCTTTTACCCACTACCAATATGTAATGTGAAACATTACGACACTGATTTCAGTTTCGTAACTAGGAATGAGAACTAATCGATCATAAATATAGCGGGTACTAAAGTTTGAATAGCCTCATTTGTCGCAATTTCTATATCTGAATCTATAGGCGAATCTTGCTAACGAATACGCCCTCTACCGTTTTCTAATATTACTAACGTATGGGCCATTGCACAGTTGCTTTGTTTTCAACAGTTTGCATGTGTTTTGTATGAGAAGTAGTTGTGTTTTAATCGTCTATAATTTTTTTTTAGAACTTTTATAAACGTTTAAAAACATAAATCATTATTGTTGTGTACCCCATTGTTCATCTTGAGCAAAAAAAAACCGAATACAGCTTTCATACCTTTCCAAAATCAGAACAATCCTAAGTTGTATTTGACACTAAGTTGGAAAACTAGGAAGTGATGGATAGAAGGAACGTGTGGATTCATAACTTGCAGATTGGAAAAAAAGTGTCTGAGATTATTCTTTTCACTCCACTGAAAATGTACTCATGAATAAATAATACCTACTTCTTGGGGTAATGATAAAAAACCAACAAATTTTCAACTGATTATATCTTGAATCATAATATTACTCATGAACAGTAGAATTTATAAACAGTAATAGTATATTATTCAACGAGTGGCAATGTAGGTCATAACTCACGCAGATGAAGATTGCAGCACGAGCCACAGGCGAGTGCTGTAATTCATCAAGTGAGTTATGACCATTACCGCAAGTTGAATACTATACTTTATCTACGACTATTACAATAAATACTAAGTTACAAGTACAGAGAAAGAACTTTATTGACAAATATCTCAATATACTTAATACAAATTTTAGATTCAATCACTTATTTTGTTTATTGAAAAAATTATCTGTGAAGTTTGAACTGAATTATGGAAGTTCATTGTTTCTTTTTGTGTTTGTTGCATATATGTTGTTGATCTACTAACTGATTGAGCTGTTATAGAACTGTATATTTTATTTGTAGTATCTGTCTTATTCTTTTCGGAATCATCAACGTACCCCTCAGCCACAGTAGTTGATCGATGATCGCCAACCGCCATGGCGTTTCATCAGTGCCGTACGGCATCTACTAATAAAGTTGCCGACGAGCGGAGAAAACAATGCATTGTACAGCGTACATACATAATGTATGTATACGCTGCATGTTGCATTGTACATAAATCACAGTCTGGTAATTTCAGAAATGTGGCAATGTCTTTCCCCATTACTCCAAATTTATCAATGCCATTCTTTGTGAGTGATATTTTCCATATGGAAATTTAAATGATAATCCATCTTCACTATCTGAATTCATCAAAAAAATCACAATAATTGTATCAGCCTAGTTTGAAAACGTCAAAATTATTCAATTGACATCACTCCCCTCAATTACAATAATGGACTGTTCCCTTTCGGCCAACTGGCTTGTACAGGAGTACTGATGAGCCATCTTGATATTCAGTTCGTAAATAATTCCAAGAGCCTTTCCCGATGTAAGTATTATAGTGAGTTATAGTAGCGAAAGTTATTATAACTCACGCTGTTTGTTTACAGATACTATTAATTGTACAAAGGCAGTTGAATCATTGATATATAATTCAATAGGAGTAGATAAAGTATTTTATCAACCAGAACCCTGGGTTTCCCATAAAACATGTAACAATTTATCAAAATAATTATCTTTCTTCTTCAATAACATAACATGTTCGTCGCAAAACTCGAAATCAAATTCAATGCATAACCAAAATAAATTCAAACTAATGTGAAAGTAGAGCCAGCCATAATTGTTTCTGCCCATAATACTTATGTAGCTTCTTCAACTAAATTCACCATTTCCTTGGACTACATATAAGTGATGTTTTCTATAGCTTCTATGATAGTCTTCCGACCATGTTTCTGTAAAACAACAGGTAGATATTTCCTTCCAAAAATATTACGCTATCAGGGGAATATCCCAGCCATCTATTCGACTTGGAAATCACTATCCCATACAGGTTAAATCATGATAATTATTGTTCAATAATGATGAGAACTCACAGCTTACGTATGTTGGTACATATAAACCACTAGAGGTAGGTAGGTTATCTACTGTTGAACAGATATAATATTGTCCTCTATCAAAACATAATGAACCACTGGAAAACACTAAGTTCAAGAATACACAAATAACGAAGCTAAACGTTTGAAATATCACAACGAAATGAATATAAACACCATTACCGAAGAATGTAAACAATCCGCCAATGGCCCATAGAGTAGTACCGACATTCGCCGTTCTGGCGCTACGATCTTGATCTCAATCGCCTATACTTTCGTGAACGGAATTCATGTCATAAATTGTTATCACAAATTGAGCAGAACGCGTCATCGCGACAAAGTTGACAGTTCGCAGAACGAGTGACAACCGATAACACAGATTATAGTCCGAATTCAACTAGTCAGTACTGTCAGAAAATTCACTGACTGCTAAAAATCTGTGTTCCGAAATAAAAAATAAAAAATGCAGTGCTGTAATTCGGTACACATTTTCATGGTTTTCATCAGTAATCAGTAGCAGTTGATCAGCTGGTGACATTTGAATATCATTCTCAGTCAATTAATTTATAACAGAAATTTTCTGATTTTTTTTTTACTTGTTTCTTTAACGTCGGCCTTTTTCTGCTACTGAGGCTAATCACCGACGCCGGTGAGCACACTATACCCCCAACCGGAAATTTCGCCGAATCCTCTGGTGTTCCAACCAGAGGTAGGATCTTTAACGAGTCCAACATCCATGGTCTCGGGACCGCCGGCTTAACGTCTCCTCCGAAGGACGGCATATCCGTACCTATGATATGCTATTCCGCTACAGTTGTAGGGGCTTTTTCTGATATTAAACATGATATTATTATTCATAATAATTCATCATATTCTGCAGCGCAGAGCCGTGCGGATTTTGAGCTGCCTTGGGTATCAGGATGATTGCAGAGATGCTTTCATTGATAATCAAATATTAACATTTCCAAATATGTACATATTTGAAAACCTTTTATACATCAAATGCAACTTAGACCGGTACTCGGAGGCTGGCGAAATGCATCAGCACGGCACTCGAGGCAGGGAGCAACTCTCGGTACCTTTATGGAGGCTGGAAAGGTGTCGGAGTGGAACAAATTATTGGGCTGTGAAATTTTTCAATAAATTACCAGAAAGTGTGAGAGCACTTTCTGATAAAATGTTTAGGGGAACGGTACACGAAGTATTGCTTAGGAATCCCTTCTACGACAAAGAAGAATTTCTCAATTTTACTTGGAACTAATTGTTTTTATGTTGCTAAATCCTCAAAACTGATTTCTAACTTAATATTTTAACTTGTATTGTATTGTCACTTGATGTACCAGGTTTTAATTTGTATTTTACATTCAACTGTTGTTTCTGAATATCTATAAGTATTTTCTTATATGAAATTTTTGATTTGTAATCTTGACTTGTGTAAACACTTTTTGTGTATTAGCACCAATAAATTATGAGTATGAGTATGAGTATGAGTATAAGACAAGATTCAATGTTTGGAAAACAACGGAAATGAATGTGACATTCCTTTCTCCTCTGAAATAATGACAGTTCACTGAAGCCACACTACCTTTTGATAGTCAGCCATTTCAGCAGAATGTTGAGTCGAAATATTTGGAATGAATAGTATGTCTGCTCACAAGTATCTGTCACTTCAAGTGTTTTTTTTTTATTTCGGAATGAAAAATCAGCAGATCCAGTACTGTCAGTTGAATATAGCCATGTATTCTTAACGAATCGTTAATTCAAGGAATATTAACTATTTTCGAATAAATAATCAGCGTTTTTGGTAATAGGTAAAATATTGTACGATATTCGAATCGTAAATTCAAATTACGATAATCGACGGGTTATCAAACTCGCCTTTCGGCCTCGTTTGACAAATTTCCCATCTCATATCGTAATATGGATCTTCACGATACTTGTATCGTAAGTAATAGTTATTTATGTATTAAGGGCCTCTGGCCCGAGGGATAGCAATTGCCAGAGGTTATTGAGGCTCTATAATTCCCGTGATACATAGATAATTTTATTTCTGACTGATTTCATTCATTAGATACCTTCCCGATTGGAAGTTAGACATGTTTTTCGTATAGTTTCAATGTCATCAGAACGTCAGATGATGATCTTGACTACCGCGAATAGGAGATTCCTTATTGCTACGTTATTGCGTGGTTGTTGCTATGCATTTCTTATTTAATTTTAGCTAGAGGAAATTATAGCATCTATAACATCCCAAGGGAGTTATGATCCTCATAATAGATATCGTAACTATGACGATATAAGCTTATAATGTCACTGTCAGAAATAAATATCTATTTCATAGGACTACTTTTGGCGAGTGGACTAATTGTTTTTTATTTCTTAAATAGAATATTCACTCAAGTAGCTTTCAATTTCATATTTTTTAAGAATTTTTTGGTCGATTATTAGGTTCTAAAATCAACAATAATGCCACGGTAATTTTCAAACGGCTAGAAATTTACCGCCATCAAAAACTGACGCCACGATTTCGTAAGTAGGGGCAGACCATAGCACAGTTGCCATGTTTTGAAATACGATTGGGAACTTCAGAAATATTAGTTATGCGATAATTCATAAATTTTCAATTGAGTTTTGATAATACTTTTAATTAGCAATAAAAATTCAATTGTCTCAAAATGTTCCCTTATGATTTGTGACTCATTGCTTGTAATAAATTTGTGTAAATAATAATTGTATCAATTCACACTAGAGGACATTTGAATCGGTCAACGTTACAACCGCTGTGCACGACTAGTGGGCGTGGTACTGTCAGTTCTCACCATTCAGCACAATGTTGCCAAGTCTTCAACATTCACATGATATTCTGCTATGGAGAAAAATAAATATTTGGACATGATGGTTGCTCGAACAAGTCGAGAATGAACTAAAATATCATGGGTTCCTCGTATCATGTTTTATTCAACGACATGACATGACATATTTCTGACAACTTGATTATAATTGGTGACTTGACAACCTTGCTTCATGAGTGGAAATGGAAGATTATCTGACCAATAACGAAACATCATAAAAACTGACGTCACCATTTATTCGACGTATCGCCAAATGGCGGCCATGAAGGTTCGTTTGAAATGAGCTCTGAAATTCAACAATTTCGAACAACGCATAGACTCATTAATCACATTGAAAAGCGTGAGAAGTTTGCAAAAATTAATTTAGGATCCTAACAACACAATGGAGTAATCGAATACCAATAATTCATTATCAGTCCACTCGCCCACTGTAAATGAGGAATATAGTACACAAAACAGTGTCAGTATGCTTCTCTCACAGGTATTTTTTTTTATCGATTGGAGCGCACGAAAGGGAATCCCTATAATGTTCAAAGAACATCGTGCGTTCCTAGGGAGGATAGGGACAGGAGGTAGGTATTGGATTTTTTTTTGAATTTTTGGAGATTATAAGTTGTTGGGAATACTTCCACAGGCAATGAATTCCAGAGCCTAGCCGTTCTATGGATGAAGGAGTCTTGATAAAGTGCTGTTCGACATCTTTCGAGGTTGACAACGAAAGGATGTGCTGACTGGGCTTGTCTAGTTCGTCTGATTGGTATTGCTAGTGAAGGGATGATTGCAGAGATTTCCGAAGAACATTTCCCGTGGAAGTATCGATAGAAAAGTGACAGGTCGCCGACCTTTCTACGGTGTTCCAATGATGTCAAAGAGTGAGTGAGTGTGGCGTCACCCACCAGGCGAATGGCTCTTCTCTGGATGGAATCTAAGAGCATCAGCGTATGTTTTGGTGCTGAACCCCATATGTGAGAACAGTATTCTAGAACAGGCCGTATCTGCGCTTTGTAGATCATGAAAAGCTGTTGAGGTGTAAAGCAGGTTTTCGCACGGAACAAGAATCCCAGTTTTTGTGAAGCAGCTTTTCCGATGGATCTAACATGATTATCCCATGAAAGAGTGTTGCTGATGGAAATACCGAGCATAGATATGGTGGGCTTGGTGGGGATGGTGGAGCCAGACATTACAATATCGGGCATACTGAGTTCCGCCTTTCTAGAGAAAATGCAGGCTTGAGTTTTGGTGGCGTTGAATTCAACTAGGTTGTTCGTTCCCCAAGCTGTGATTTCAGTAAGATCTTCATTGACAGCATTGACCTGCCTGCGCCGTGAGTTCTTAGTTTCCTGGGAAGAAACGGGAATTCTGGAAGAGAACGCAGTATGGAGGGTACTATCATCTGCAAAGCTGTGGATGGGGCAAGTTGTTACTCCCAACAGATCATTGATATGAAGCAGGAATAATGTTGGTGCCAAAATTGATCCTTGTGGAACGCCGGAATTGATGCCAATGGTATCAGACGATAGACCGTCCACCACCACGTGAAGCGATCTGCCTGAAAGAAAACTCGATAAGAGATGGCATAGCTGAGGTGGTAAGCCGTATGATGGTAGTTTGTGGAGGAGTCCTTCGTGCCAAACACGGTCGAATGCTTTCGATATGTCCAACGCGACAGCTAGAGATTCCCCGTGTTTTTCTATTGAAGATTGCCATAAATGGGTGACGTAGGCAAGTAGATCTCCAGTAGATCTTCGGTGGCGATATATTGATAGATGACTGTTTTGTTGCTTAGGCGATGTGTCAATTTCAGTCATTGTCAGTAGCTAACCTATCTTTTCATCGATGAATCAAGTTATCAAACGAAACCGAAAGTAGGCAAGTGATATATTTTGAAAATGATTATTTGCTGTTGATATTTCATAATTTCAGTTGAAAAATGTCAGGCGATGACGATGAGATTGTTTTTCACCACCACCAGAAATTCTTGAAAGAGTAAAAATGACAACAAATGAGTTGCTACTCGTGAAGTCTCGTGAGAGACACGAAATCGCTTACAAAAAATTCGTGGACTGGAAACTCGGGAATAATATCATGTCATTTTCGGAAAATATTCTACTTTCAACAACTGCACAGTGATAATAACCATTATAAATGTTAATTTTATATGGTTATCAAATGTGTTATTTTGTTGTTATGATCTTTTTAGTGCAAATTGAGAGAAATGGCTCGGTATGCAGTTTACCAATCAACAAATACAAGAATAGTAATTTGTACATTTTCATGCTCAAGGAAGTACAGTGTAGTCGTAAAAAAGTATAGTACATTCTTCGAGTTGTAACGCAATTACGCACTCTAATAGACAGTGTTTCGTCCTTGGTACATAAATAACTATTTTATAAGAAACGGACTCAACGTTCAATGACTCAATAAAAAAAAATTATGAAAAGATCCATTTCTGTCGTTAGAGTGGAAATATTATATCGCCTTCGTAATATCTAGAGAATAACTATGATATTTTTAAAATATTTTTTTGTTAGGTTTCTTCAGGCATGAAAATATGTTGCGTAGGTAGGAAGCTAGTTTTTATGCTATTTAATTGGTTTGGTTGAAAGTTTTATAACCTCGGGTTTGGAAAAGAAATAAGATAATTTTGAGTTAGACCCGGAAAAATCGATGAATAGATATTAAATTATTAATCGATAACTATCGATATATCGAACTCGATTTATCGATATTCGATAAACGATATCCAATATCGCGCAGCCCTAGTGACAACTATCTGTGGAAGCAATTGTAATAGTGGGGAGAATATAAGTTCAATATAAAACAAATGCCACAATCTTTGAATGGTAGATTTTGAAATTGAAAAGCCATAGGCGTTTGTTATTGCACTCTTTTGTTTCAGTGTTTTTTGCGATTTCTTGCGTGAACTATAGTTATATTTGTTAAACATGACTTATTTCAGTTGAAATTCAAGAGTGGAGTGTAGTTTAAATTGATAAGATGAAAATATTACTCAAGCCACTGAAGGTGGTCCCTAAATGTTAACAACGATAGTCATTTGCTTTTTAGTCGCATTTAGATATTATTATAATATTTGAAGATAATAAATCAATAAACTGAAATAATTTATTTTCTCTGCTCTTTTCTAATGATAACCGAAGGTTAAATGCGTTTCACCAATTTTTAAACAAATGCATAACATTTATCACATAACACCATTGCACCATCAATTCCTAACACAAGTATTTGCTAATATTGTATGAATTGAGGGTTAAACCTTCCATTTTGTTATTGCTAATATTTTACTTGATTTATTTTGAAAATACCTCTAATAATCTATTCTTAATTTGCTAGTTACTGTGAAAACTAGAATAGTTTATTGGAGAGTAACCATTAAAAAATAACGAAATTTCAAGTATTTCAATATAATTGGGTTCTGTGAACGTTCTGTCTTTAGTTAATGACATTTTTCTGTAGCATTCATATTCCAAGTAAATATTAAGAAACTATGAAAAAAACGGAAACAAATCGCTATTTCGTAAAGTTTGTGAGCAATATCTGAATGTTTTCACAATAAGAATATTTGAATTAGAAAACCTTACCTCTACATCCTTCTGAAAATTAAATAGGTCAATTCGTTGCCAATTTGAGCCATCAAGAGCCAAAATATTCCATGCTTTCGAAACTTGAGCACATCTACATAGTGAAACAACATCTAGGTAGGAAAAAATTCGTAGCAACAGTTCTTTTGGCAACTTTTTGTTGATCGGAGCCTCATCTTCAACGAACACTTTGTTTAACTAGAACAAGAAAGTTAAAGCACATAAATTTATTATTGATGGATAAGTTATAAATACTCCAATATCTTCTACAATGTAAAGAAGTAGAGTCTGAGAATCGAACAGATATTTGGAATTTCCTGCCGGGTGCCTAAGGAAAACACACTAGTCCGGTAATGTAATCCCTCGATTCGGCGCTATTTATTTATTTATTTATTACCCAAAAAGGCTATTACGCCTAATTACAAGGATAAATATAAAACACTATGGAATTACACAAAAAAAATTGTAGCTTCTTTACATAATACTTGTTAATTATTAATTAAATTATTAGTTATTTACAAGAATTGTAGTAGTAGTTATAAGCCAGGGAGAAAATTATTTCTATATAACCTGAGCCCTCACGGTCTTAATGAATTGTTATTATCGATCATGTTCTACCACTTATGCCTTACCTTTATGAGAATAATGTAAATTTTGGTGAATTTGATCATGTGGTTCATGACAGCCCTACTATTGTTATCACTAAACTGAAAGATTGCTCGTCTCCCATGGTTTCATCATATTTATTTATCAACTACGAAATAGCCATTATGCCCAAAGTGAAATGAAATGTTGAATAAATACAAATAGCTCAAAGTCATTTCCACACAATGTTCATAAACTGAACAACAATGGTAGATTTCGCGAGAAAAACAACTACTTTCCTGGCTAATACCACGCAGAACATTGAATTACATCCTGCCGAAATCTATGCATCGACTCTCGTATAAACGAATACCGATACAAGTGATTCTTTCCTGAATGCCTATTGATTTCAATTTAGCCAGGCCACGCTAGACACCTACAGACCGGTTTCGAGCTCTTTGAATATCATCAGTGCAGGGCAGTCTCCAGCCAGCAGTACTAAGACCGCCGACTAAGCGTAATCTAGAAAAACAAAAATCAAGTCGGCATTATATTCCCTCAGAGACATCTTCCATAGATAATATGAGAGCAACGCCATCTGAGTAGAAAAGACGGAAAGAAACACTCCAAAACCAAAATTTGTTTGGCTAGGCTACGCTTAGTCGGCGGTCTTAGGACTGCTGGCTGGAAACTGCCCTGCACCGATGAGAGCCAAAGAGCTCTTTAGGTGTCTAGCGTGGCCTGGTTAAATCGAAATCAATAGGCATTCAAGAAAGAATCACTTGTATCAGTATTCGTTTATACGAGTCGAAGCATAGATTTCGGGAGAATGTAATTCAATGTTCTGCGTGGCATTAGCGAAATCTACCATTGTTGTTCATTTTACGAACATAGTGAGCAAATGACTTTGAGATTTTTGTATTCATTTAATATTAATTTATTACAAGCAGCACACGACGAAAAAAAAACATAGCATTTCAAAATATACGAAAAAAAACATAGCATTTCGACATTTTGAAAACACATTAACCAACTTTTTGAATTGACTCGGTCGTTAGTTGATGGTTTTTTTTTCTTTTTCTCTGAGATTTTATGTGAAATGTTTTCGAAAGAGGAAAAAATTAGATAGAACCTAATAGAATTCGGATTTTTCTGCTGCCTGCTATTGCCATGGGACAACACTAGGCGCTTGTGATACATAGACCAACATCACATTTTGAACAAAGTATTTCCAAAATTTTGAAAACACATTAACCAACTTTTTGAATTGACGCGGTCGTTAGTTGATGGGGTTTGTTTTTTTCTTTTTCTCTGAGATTTTATGGCCTTCAACTAGTATGAAATGCTTTCGAAAGGGAAAAAAATAGAAACAAAAATAATATAGAATGGGGCAACATATTGCTGTGAATATTTTTCTCAAAGAATACGACAAGAAGAATGAAAAAAAAATCTGAAAGACGATGATCATTCTGAAAATGGTATTCGATAGTGATGAGTATTCAGGTCAAATTACAACTTCATTGAATGAAAGGAATCAGAAAGCTGAGCATCTTAATACGGATGTTCTAAATGTAGGTCCCACTTACCCCACCCCACCTTACCATGGATTGAATTTATGGAGTCTTCCCCTTTTGTCGCATTCATTTTACTCTTTTTTCACTCAAAAAATCGAAAAAAAATAGGAATGTATCATTTTGAATAGGGGCGAAAAAGGGTAAATTGTATGCCACAGAATCAGTAGAGACTATGAAATCATTTCATGGTATATATTCTGTATTTTTTTACCAACAATTCATAGCAAGATATTTCTTTCCTATTCAGAAAGACAGATTTCCATTTTTTCCAATTTTCAGGGTGAAAATGCAATGCTTGTATAAAACATCCCATTAAGCTGTTATGATTTTGCCAATATTTGTTTTGTTCTAAAATTTGTTCTATCCGTCATTCGGTTGCCCCCTTACGAGCAACTCTCAAAAGTCTTCGAAAGTCTTGTGCGAGCAAGGAATGACGGGGGCCTTACCTTTTAACGTGTGATCCCAAACACTTTCTTGGGCCATCAGAAAAATTTCTGCAGTCGACGGGGATCGAACCCACGACCGGCAAGCGAATGCGAATTAGAATATAGACACTCTGTCCGCACGGCTACCTGGCCACCCTTTATGATATGATATATGATATGACAAAGAAAAAAGTTAGCTAAAACTCCAGCGGCAAAAAACGGAAGCTAACATTTGAACGCATGACAAAAAAATTGCAATCAAATCTTTGATGCCGTTTATGTCATTTTTTCTCAAAGTTGCGTTGATGCACTTTTTTTGGTCAAAGTTTAGGAAATGACTAAAAAAACTGTCAGGAAAGATTACTCGCCCTACGGACTTTCTTCGACAAAAAAGATCTCCTGACACCATGAACTTCATTGTACATCTCTTGAATTCTTTGACAATGATCCATAGCAAGATTTTTTCTTCCTCACTTCTACATCGTTTCGAATGTTGATCGATTTTTATGGTGAAAAAATGGAAAATTGTAAGAAACTATGAATCCATTTCATGGTATATCTTTTGTATTATTTGACAAAAAAATCTGGATTTTTCGCTGTTAAAGTAGCAACTTTCCAATATTTTTTCATTGATAGGGGTGAAATAGATTTGTCAAAATCAGTTCATATGATGAATCCACCACTACGACTGCAATACGTCGTTTGGTCGAAAATTTATTACTCAACGGCCTGCTTCAGGTAATCAACACCGTCGTACCAACTCGACTCCTTGAACCTACCATCTTTTCATCATGGATCAAATGGAAAAAATTAACAACCCCTATGTGAGGTTTGTTTTGGAGTCCATTATCTAATTATGCAGTCCATTATCTAATTATGCAGAGAATAAAACCGTCAGAGAGCTTATTTTATTACCAAAAAGCCTTTGGTTTTCTGAAATAGGGATGAATGAGTTACCCTATATGAGTCGTCGATTTGCCTTTCTGTATTGGATGAATATATTTGGAAGAGAAATTCAATAGATCTTTCAAAGGAGGTATGACAGGCCACTTCCTTTCCTTGAAAATGCTGAATGATTGTGACTGAGAATAGTGAGAATTTCAATATTCGCCAAAAGGTAGTTGTCAGTTATAACATACATAATAATGTCAATTTATTTTTCAAAATCATGAAAATTTGTTCCACAGTTAACTCGATAGTTAACTAAGCTGGAGTGACTTTATGGATATATGATATGCTCTATGTATACAGGGTGTTAGTGAATAAGTGCGACATACTTCAGGTGGTGATTCCTTGTGATATTTTAGGAAATAAAGTTCATATACACATGTGTCCTAACTTGCATCGTTTTTGATATACAGGGTGTTTCAAAAAAACCTAACCCCCTTGCTAGGTTAGGTAGAACATTGCAAAATAAGTTAGGTTTGCTCAGTGAAAAAATGTCGTAACGGCATCCGTTTTCAAGATACAAGGTGTTGAAAAAATTTTTTTTACACATTTTTTACGATTATGTCGAAACTACCGGCAACATTGTGATGACATTTTGTATGGATGTGTTCTGAAAGCTGACACACCGCATGAATTTGTTTTTATATCTGACACTCATAGAGGGCGATAGTTACAGGGTTCGTACCGAGTAAATTTGAACATAACTTTTTTGAGGTTAGATTTTTCGGTCCAAATTCAATGTGAACTTGAACACCATTCAATTTTACACCAAATGATGCTCTTGGTAAAACTCGATACTGTGTACCGTTTTCGAAAATTTCGATTTGAAAATGCTGAAGCAATAACTCTGGTATTAGAATAAGTATTATAAAAAACAATTATCTATTTAATAAGGACAAGAAACATTAACATTATTTTACTGCTGAAGTTATCGATTAAACAAAATCACATCAGAAAATATCTAATTAAATTTAACTAAAAAGATCATCTAGTTAGAGGAAGTGTCCAAAAGCACTGAGCTCCAGCAAGATAAATTCCAAGCTTGTATGGAGCTGCATTGAATCCCTAGAAAGCCTGGGTGCTAACAACAGAGTCACTTTGCTGTGGGTGCCTGGACACCAGGGGGTGGAGGGTAACGAGAAAGCCGACATCCTCGCCAAACAGGGAACCGAATCTGTGTTCATAGGACCAGAACCATATTTTGGGGTCACCGCAAGTGCGGCGAAAACAACTATCTCGGGCTGGGCGGAGGGAAAAACACTCAGGTACTGGTCCGAATTACCAGGATTAACCCATTCGAAGGCGTTCCTGCCTAAACCATCGGAAAAAATAACCAGGCAGATCCTAGAATGGAGCAGGGGTAACCTGCGAATTCTGACTGGACTGCTTACGGGACACTGTCGTCTAAGATACCACCTGGGAAGGATGGGTCTGAACCAACAAACGGACTGCCGGTTCTGTTGTGTGGAAGACGAAACGGCTGAACACATATTATGTTCATGCTCTAGCTTAGAAAGACTAAGGTTCGACACATTTGACTTTACCAACCTAGAACCTATCGATTTCAGACAAATCTCACCCAATTCAACCATGAACTTTGTAAAAAGATGTGGATTGTACGGTGAACTGTAACCTCTAGGGGTGAGCCACAATAGACCCATCTGGGGTTGCAGTGGAGGGGAGGTGTTCGCCCCACTCACATGGAACCTAACCTAACCTAAGTGTCCAAAATGTCCTCCGTTTTCACGAATACACAATTCGATCCTTCCTTCTGAAGATCATCGAAGTGATGTTCAATTCTTTCTTGCAGCTCTTGACGTGGTTATCAATAAATAGGTAACAGTATTTTATTATACTTACTTTCAACTAGAAGTTTTACCAAGAGCACCTTCTTAGTGTAAAATTGAATGATGTTCAAAAAAATCTAATCTCAAAAAAGTTATGTTTAAAAGTACTCTGTACAAACCGTGTAACTAGCGCCCTCTATGAGTGTCAGATATAAAAACAAACTCATGCGATGTGTCAGCTTTTAAAACACATCCATTTGAAATTTCATTACAATGTTGCCAGTAGTTTCAACATAATCGTAAAAAATGTGTGAAAAAAATAATTTTTCAACACCTTGTATCTTGAAAACGGATAGCTTTACGACATTTTTTTACTGAGCAAACCCAACTCATTTTGCAATGTTCTACCTACCCTAGCAAGAGGGTTAGGTTTTTTTGAAGCACCCTGTATGTACAGGATATTGAAGTTGAAAGTATTAATTGTTTTTAATTATAACGCCCCTGTATAAGCTTTCATGGTGCCAAAATTCAGTATGGTTGGAAACTGGAAAAGTCCCTAAATTTCAAAATGATTCTCATTGAGGTTATTGAGTAATCTCAATGAATGTTTCGAGAGCACCTACATTAAAATTTGGAGTCAAATCGAATTTTTATTGTTTCCTCAAATACTAAGCGAGATTGATATGTCAATTGTTCAATCTAATAAAAATATTGAAGTCAGAAAAAACAGTGGCGTACAATGATATTACCCGTAAATATCGATAAACTAAACCACTGTGACGCCACTGAGAATATTTTTTCGAATTCAATCACATCAAAAGAAGCTCCATGTTACATTCAACAAAACCACCAAGTTTCATTGAAATTGGTGAAAATACATTTGTATCTTGAAAACGAAGCAAGTTAGGAAACATGTTTATATAAACTTTATTTTCTGAAATATCACAAGGAATCAGCCCCTGAAGTTTGTCGCACTTATTCACTAACATCCTGTATATTATGGATGTATTTATTGCCCTTTGAAAAATATACAAACCTGTTCCCTAACTACAGATGGATTACATCGTGATCTAACATGCATTGCTTTTGGTGTACTTGGTGTACCTTTACCAGTGTCTATATTTTCAGTGGAAATGTTGGTACTACTAGAACATGCTTCTTGACTGGTACTATTCCTATTCCTGGGTGATTTTTCAGGGTGCTTTTTGTATTTGTGTAGCCACCAACGGCCAGAATCGGCCTCACCATCTTCTCTGTTACCATCTTGATTACTTTCTTCTCTATTTTCTGTACCGATTGACTAACAAAAAATATCAAACCAAAATAAAACCAAGCAGAACTGAACGAAATAAAATGAGTTCATTAAGAATAAAACGAATTGATAATATGAAGCAAAATAATATCTAAGTATTACCTCTACTTATTACCGACCGGATCTGTTAGTTCAAGCCAATATTCATCAGAGTATTAGAATTTAGAATGCTCCCAGCAAAACCCTATCAGGGTTTTGATTGTTAGGAGTAATTCTAATGAAAAATTACAAGTAATAAATAAAATACTGTAGGATAAATTTAGAATTATTTTGAAAACAGCATTTAGAAACATGAGTAGGAACCTACTAACAAAATATTGAATAAGGAAATTAAAATAACTGAAAGAGGTAGGCTGGTAAATGTGTAAGAGGTCATAAGTAGCTCCGAGAATATTGAGGAAATATACAAGGTGTTTCCGAAATTTTAGTAATGAATAGAAAATAGTGTAGACGGTGTGAATAAAACTTTTAATAAATACATGCTTTTACCAACCATACCCAGCGAGCACAAACATCCCTGGGATGTTTTGGGATGTTTTGAAAATGTTGGCATGAAGATGTTATTTTGAGACGTAATATGCACTGACCAAAGAGGTATTTGAAGGATATTGAAGTATTGTTCTTGTTCTTCTGTGGCATTTCTTTGTTTGCCTACTGAGAGGTATCCCTGGGATGTTTTGGGATGTTTTAGAAATGTAGGCATGAGGATGTTTTTTTGAGGCGTAATATGCACTTCCCAAAGAGGTCTTAGAAGGATATTGAAAGTATTGTTTTTGTTCTTTTGTACCCTTTCTTTATTTGCCCCACCACAACGTCTCATGCTTACGTCACAATACGATGAATTCTGATTTGTTTTCGATTTTGTTCTTCTCGTTCGCAATTGGCATTCGCGTTTGCAGCGTGTCACGCTTACATCACGCTGCTAACGAACAGAAAGGAATTTGGTGAAGTTTATTGTGTTAGAAGACTTATTTAGTTTGTAATAATGACCATCAGATGCAAGATGTGTTGTTCGGTGCTTCAGTATAATCAATATATAAAAGTACGAATTTATCAAAACACAGCTTCTCCGCAGTTGCAAAATTATGCATTGTGGAGAACATTTCAAAAATTGGGAAACCTATTTCCAATTATATGTATGTGTGCACTACTCAGAAACCGATTAAGAAGGTAATTTCATATCAAGAAAATATTTTTATGTTCAATCTATTTTTAATGCATTTTTTCATTCAAGGGAAATGGAATCCTACTGCAAAATTTCATTTTGACAAAAGGCTTCAGAAAAGTACCTCGAAAATGTTTTTTTACAGCGATTTAATATGCGCAAAACGCGTTGAAAATGTTCTGTTGTGTCCATGAAAAGGCTTTAAAAAGACCTAGGTAGAAGGTAGTTTTGTGACATATCAAGGACATCTCGATAATTGCCGCCTGCGGCGGACATTGGCTTTTCTATAATAGTTCTATTCATGTGTGAACAGAACATCGCAGTGGAGGTTGGTTCAATGTCTCGAAATCTCGTACTTTTAACATCTCTGAGATGTTTTTGTGCTCGCTGGGTATAATCCGAGATATTATCTATCAACTATTTTCATTAAACGATGAACGTCCGGACAACATTGCTTGTCATTAACACTTTCTGTGCTTCTGACGATAGTTTAAACGCTGTTAATATAGGGTATTTCGTGAATTCAAAAACTTTTAAGAAATACATGCCTTTACAAACCATATTATCTATGAACTATCAACATTAAACGATGAACATCCGGACAACATTGACACTTTCAGTGCTTCTGAGGATGAAAGAAAACGATCGGGTTCGACAGTTGACCTATGATCAATGATTAGGAAAGTCCAGGGGAATTTTTTTTGGTTTTCTATTACTCTATTACCCACCTCATGTATCACTCTAAATTTCGGAAACACCTCTATAGATGTGGAGATGATATAGCCAAAAAGAACAAAATAAGCAGGTTGATCCGCTGGAAATTTTGTATTTATGGTCATGTTCTCATCACTTTTTTCGAATTTATTTGCACAAAAACCAAGGCCTACTGCATACATTTTGAGGGTGGAATTAAAAAAAATTAACAATTACAGAATTCAAATGTTTATGGTATAAACAGTTTTGTGGATAAATCGAAAATCCCATTTTACTGATTTTATTTTCTGATTCAGTAACCCACAGGATGGAAAGGGAGTACATTAATCTATGGATTCTCACATTTTCTGATTTTCGATACTATTGACTTATGGTGAGTGTCAAAAATAATACACATAGCAGGTTAGAGGATTTGAGACCAACATTTTTTTTCGGAGATTTTTCCAACAATTTCAACTCAACATCCATGTGAGTGCCTAACCCAGCACTATATTCGGAATTTTCCTACTAGGTGAGTCAAGAGGTGAGTACTACTGTCTTCTAGACACAATTTATGCTTTTGTAGCTATCTAAAAAATTTTTTTTTAATACTTACTCAATAATGAAAATGAACTTTCCTCTCTGAAATGGTCTTAATTCGATTCTCATTTGAGAATTTCATGTTGAAAGAACCAGTGAAATTTGTGCTAGTTGTGAAAAAAACTACCTTATACAGTGTGTCCCAAATTCGATCCTCACCATTGGGATCTCAGTAACTATGAGAGATAGAGAAACGGTTAAATTAGCAAAGTTGTAGCAAATTTAATGTTGAATCATAATCTATCGAGAAATCCGGGCTAGCTTCAGTCATTCTTGAGTTATTTGAGAAAAACTGAAATCTTGTATTTTTGTTTTTCTCGAATATCTCGGAACCTATTGATTTTATGAAAAAATGACTTCAACATTCTCATAGCACTTTTTAGTGCTCTTTTCAATGGTTTTGTCAGTTTTCCATCAAAATGTCAAATTTCTGAGATATCACCTACAACTTCAATTTTTCTTATGGACGCCATATTGGATTTTGACAGATTTGAAATCAGCATCAAATTTCCTTTCTAGTGATGTATCACACTCACAGTTTTGTTCTATTTGGGGTACTGATTTCCAATTTTTGTTTTTATGTCAAGTAGGCTATGAATTCTGTGTTCAATGTTCTTGCATAACTTATCGCATGGAATTGGATGTGTACTATTATAGCAGAAAAAAAATGTAATAACAATTGAATAATACAAATACTTGAAAAAAAAATCAATTGAACTGCTCGAAATGGCCCCCATTGTTCTCGATACATTTTAATATTCGCGAGCGAACATGATTCGCTGCTTTTCTCAGATGAACTCTGTTGATGTTCTGGAATGTGTCCATCACCCTATCTCGTAGATCATCAATATCTTGAATTGGATATTCAAAAATTTTATTTTTGGCGTAGCCCCACAGGTAGAAATCGAGAGGCGTACAGTCAGGCGACCTTGGAGGCCATCTCACAGGTCCATGGGTAGTAATTAATTTAGCACCAAATTGATTCTCGAGATATTCCCTAACCAATCGCGTATTGTGCGGTGGGGCACCATCTTGCTGAAACCACATTAACTCATATTCAGCAAGTGGTATCTCGTCTATAAAATTCGAAATTTCATTTCTCAATAGCTCTAAATAACGTGGGCCATTCAAGTTATAATCGTAGATTATTGGACCTAGTAGTCTACTGCCTGAAAAAAATACACAATGAGAAACAGTTATTCATGGACCAAAATTCTAGTAAGGTACCAAATATCCCACACCAAACATTGAAACCAAATTTGTTCTGCCACTTTGATTCTCTGATGACATGCGGATTATTTTGTGCCCAGTAATGATGATTATGTTTATTGTAAATTCCATTATTATGAAATCTCGTTTCATCGGTCCAGCAGATATTCAATGGAAAGTTCTCGATTCTTTCACACTGGTTATGGAACCAGTGACAAAACTCGAGACGACGTTCATTATCACCAGGTCTTAACCCTTGTACTATCACTGGTTTGAAAGGGTGGTACTTATCATTCACTAAATGTCTGTGGATTGTTGTTTTCGGCACAAGAGTTCTCCGACTAAGCTCTCGAATTGAAATGGTAGGAGTTTGATTGATGATTCCTTCGATATTTGCAATATCTTGTTCATCCAAGCGCAAACCATACCTTGGCCTAGGTGCAATGAAACTTCCATGTTCTTGCAAATTTCTTTGTAATGTTAGAAAAATAGAAGGATGCGGTTGTTGTCTTTCTGGATATAAATGGAAGTATTGTCTAGCTGTTTCTCTGTTATTTCGATTATTTCTGATATAACAATTGTACATATCAAATTTTTCGAGATTTGTGAACGGCATTGTTTGCCCCGAAATAATTGACTTGTATTTTTTCTTGACGTTTACAGAAATGTCACTTGGCTCACCTTTGCTCCAAGCATACTCTATGAAAGTTGTGCCAGAACACATTATCGTTAATGTTTATAGAGAGCTTAGCGCATAGCCTATACTGGACATAAAAACAAACATTGGAAATCAGTACCCCAAATAGAATAAAACTGTAAGTGTGATACATCACTAGAAAGGAAATTTGATGCTGATTTCAAATCTGTAAAAATCCAATATGGCGTCCATAAGAAAAATTGAAGTTGTAGGTGATATCTCAGAAATTTGACATTTTGACGGAAAACTGACAAAACCATTGAAAAGAGCACTAAAAAGTGCTATGAGAATGTTGAAGTCATTTTTTCATAAAATCAATAGGTTCCGAGATATTCGAGAAAAACAAAAATACAAGATTTCAGTTTTTCTCAAATAACTCAAGAATGACTGAAGCTAGCCCGGATTTCTCGATAGATTATGATTCAACATTAAATTTGCTACAACTTTGCTAATTTAACCGTTTCTCTATCTCTCATAGTTACTGAGATCCCAATGGTGAGGATCGAATTTGGGACACACTGTATATACCTTATGATAACTATTCTCACCTGGCTACGATATTTTAATAATTAAGTTGGGCATACAAAAAATGTCTGATGTACCTTGGCATCTTAATAATTAGTATCTCAACAATCACAATGATGTATTCTTAGATTTATTGAATTATTACCAAGATTGCCCCCAAAAATGTATACAGTAGGGTTGGTTTTTGGGTAAAAAAATGCAAAGTTGTCAAAGTACTGTTTTTGCATGTTCTACAATCAAAAGTTGAGTTTGTTGAAATCTTGAAATCAGATGATGAATTTCCAATGCCCAATGTAGGTATGCCACTTCCAAGTGGACCACCCTGTAGGTACCTATATATTGTATGTATATGTATGTGCAGATCATTTTCAGTAATGAATTTCTATCATTGCAAGTGATTTTCAACTGATTTCTTTAGAATAGTGTAATGAAATAAAGTAAGTAGGTAGGTACATTGAGATTTGTACCAGACCAGGTAGATAGGTGTATTTTCTTCACAATTTTCTTTGTGTTCATGCAATTCAACATAGACAAGAACATGTCAAATTTGAACTGTATTTTTCAAGTTCTTCAGCAATTCATCAATTGAATGAGGAAGACAGGAATCAGTTATATGGTTATACTAGAGGTAGTCAATGGTTTTGCATAATAGCACCTAAACCAAAGCCTAAAACAATCGGATGACAACCGAAATGAAAATAAAAATGTTTATTAGTTGGTTATTGGTAAATGCAGTCAATAAACAGAGCAAACAGAGGACGACATTATTATGCAGAACCACTATTACGTCTCATTTCCAGGGAACAAAGAAAGTTCATAATAAACATTAAAAAATACATAATAATAATGATGTGAAACTATGAAAACTCTAGTTCAATGAATATTGAATACAGATTTGCATCATTTCGTCAATGATCCAAAACCAAATAATCCGTATTCACCAGACATTTTTCAGAATTAATTGACAATAGCGCGATAGATATCAGCTGTTTTACATCAACACCTCAGGAATTAAACAAACGAAACGGACTCATCAAAGGTTTAATTTCGCGTAAATACATGCCAAACTTACCTCAAACTTATTTCTACCTGCATAAATCATAGTAATGCAGGTGGAAAAGCGGAAAACTCCGAAAACCTTTTTATATTCACTGCACAAACACTGAATGAAAAATGAAATAAATGTAAATGATCGCCAGCAAAGTACAACGTCCTTGGATCGCAGTGGGGCCTGCGATTCCTGCGAATAATAACGAATAACATGCAGTGGATTTGTTTATGAGCTATCCGATTGGCTACAGGAGTTCAAAACAAAAACAACCCTGGCCGACCGTCTGTGAGAATTGCGACGTTGTCACAGTAAAATTCAAAAGGGTACCTAGAACTCCTAGAAGGTTTCCACAAATTTTAATATAATAACTAGAACCTAGGTATTTATACAATGAAAATAATATTAATCAGTTAAATTGGTAAGTACCTTATTTACCAAACAATAGGTATTATGATGTATACAATTTTCTCTTTGTAATTTCTAATTCTGAAATCTTTAATGTAATAATCATCAGAGGGAGCGCACGAGAGGAAATTCCTATATATCGAATTCTCATCTTTATCTATAAACATATTTTGTATAGGTATATAGGGTGCGAGCACGTGCGAGCGAGGATCGCCGCACCGCGCAGCGTTGATGGCGGGTTTGAAGTTTCCTTTGAACTACTTTGAAGTGAGTGCAAGTGCGGCACGAGACTCCAATTGATTTTGAATAAACTTTATACTTACTTGATTTTTTTTGAGAATGAAATGAAATAAATTACCTCTATTGTATACAAAAACTGAAAGGAAAAAAACGCCGCAGGCTAAATTTTTTGTTGTTCAGGGTCGAATGCCTTCAAATTGATCGTTAGGTTCAAAATTCAGTTTGTTATATTCACCTGGAAATTTGAATTTCCTAAAGGCGAAAAAGTAAGACGATTCAAAGAAAATATACGCGTAGGTAATTATATATATATACCTACAATAAGATGATATTTTGTTGATGGTTTTTCAATTTTGCCACTTCAATACTCTAAATCGAGAGATTTCCACAGATTCAATACTTTTCTGACAAAGCAAGTTTGAGAAAAAATGACACATCGCACTTCGTTACAGCGTAATTGACCTTGAAAGTAAAAAAAAAGAATATATTTCATGTATAACTTTTAATCGGTTGCCATGGGTTTGAATGATATTCGAGCAACTAAAAATTAACTCATATAGGTACTAAATGCTCCTTTCGATATGTAAAATCGGCTGTTCATAGTGATTAAGCTATTATACAGGATGGGACGATGTTTTTCGTTTAATGAAGGCATTTTTGATAGAGCTGACAAATTTATTTTGCTTCCACCGTTTGCGTTTGATTCCTTCATCTTTCTCCTCCAAAAATAGTATAACCTTATTTTAACCTTTATCTTGTTGGTACACACCGTTCCAGAGAAAATCGCATTTTAAGAATATTTAAACATACATACCTGCTACAACCCGACCGTTTCAAGGGTAGATAAAAAAACTTTAATAATACCATATATATACTATAAGTAGAGTAATATAAGGATAATACATATGGTAGTTGCAGTCGAATGCTGGGCATTATTTTTATATAAAGTAATTATTTTGGCTCACTATCTCTATCAGCCATATCATTTATTACGACATGGCCTCTCCGGAGAAACCCTGTGTATAAACTGCCTCTCATTATTTTCTTGATCATTTTATTTTGAGTTTGTCCACTCCTGAAGTTCATAAAATATACCTAGTAACAACATATAGGTATCATGGGAGCTTCTTTCAAATCTCTCAACGCATCAATTGTCGTTAGAGCCCTGATATGCTTTCTCCTTCTGATATGGTCGGGCTACAAACTTCGCATCGGAACCAAAAGTGCCATTTTATTAGTTCCTGATGGGGTTTCTAATCTACTATATTCATTATTCAATTATTACAATCACTCATCGTTGGTTTCTATATACTAAGTTGAAATAGTAATAACGTTCTCGACCACCGGGCCATTGTACTGTGAACACTGATGACTGTACGTGATGACTGATATGTATAATATAGTCTTTGCAAAGTCACTTTGAGACAAATTCAGCAAAAAAACATATCGCCGGCGGCACGCAGTCGTCCCCGTTTGAACTTTTCACATTCGATCAAGCAGAATCAAGCTGCCTCAAGTGACTTTGTAAACACTAGGTATAGGTATACCCACTGTTTATTCTATACCCAAAAGAGTTCGTTGCGCTTCACCCACAATAGGCAGGCGGTCACAGCGGCAAGAGAGTAATGTAACAAAAAAAGTGAAGCTGATAGGCAATATAATATCCTTTATTCAACAAGAAGTTTTCAATTTTTTATTCATAAAGGTCAAAATGAGTTGAACTGAAAAAAAATTGTTAGGAAACGTTTTTCAGGAAAACAATTATATTCGTGTTCATATGGCAACATCGCACACACCCAGCCGAGGTTATTGAACATGAAAATGTACAATGTCCTGGCCACAAAAAAGCGACAAAAAGGAAAAAGCCCTTTTCGGAAGAGAACAAGTCTCGTGCAAGTCGTCTGTCATCAAACTCAATGCACACGGGTCAAAATTTTAGCGAATTGATGGGGCATTCATAACCCTTCATCCTTCTCTATGCTTCAGAATGTGCAGTTCCCCAGTGGCGTAACAATTATAAATGTAAATGGGAACTCGGGAATCAATATAGGTAGGTATTACTGTTGGAATGAATAAAATACAAGAATGATACGTGTTTTCTTTTTATGGCAGTAGGTTATGATAATACCTTATTGTTCTCCACTTGAATCGAATGATATAAAAACACAGAACATACAACTACAACTGAGAAATGTATGTGGTCAAAATAGAAAATAATGAGGTTGTGAAATATCTGAGTTTCTCATTAAGTGATTTTTTTCTTTGTAAAAGAAAGCTCATTATATTTATTTTTCGTAAAGAATAAAATTCTAAAAACTTTTCATTTTAGATAATTATTGTGTACAGCCTCATTTACTCAAAACATGCAATCAATATTTCTTTTCGCAAAAAATATGGAAGTATTATCAAGGTATTCATTTTCGAAAAAATCTGTTTTGGATCATGAAAAGGGGGGATGGAAAATATTAGATTTCATCGAAGTATAGGTAGGTCAACTTATAAACATCCCAATAGGTAGGTACTGAACGGTTATTGTGTATCCTCCACTTGATATCAAGTATGTAGTTACTTAGGTATAGTTTATGCAAAGTCAGTTGAACAGATCATCATCAAACAAATGTCGGGCCGCGCTGCCGCACTCTTTGAACTTTCAAAGGGACCGACGGCTTGCGGTGAACTGTCTTTGCATAAACTTTACTTAAATTTATATTGGGTTATCCAGTATCCGTCAGCAGTCATCATATGCATTAGTCTGATATGATCAAGTCTGACAATTATAGTATACAATATAGATTTATGTACGCTGATGTCACTCGGTTATATTTCAAAATAGGTAAGGTACTGCCGCTGTAGGTATAGGAATTAGTTTTTCTTCATTTTTTCGCAAGTCGGTCGTACAATATCCTTTCCGTGTTTTCCTGTGTCAACCACACATCTAACTGGATATCCTGATCCAATGTGGCAGTATTCTGAGCAGTACATTCCTGGTGGACATAAATTCTGCCACGGGCCGGCTCCGCTTAATGAGTCTTCAAGGGGTAGCCCTCTCTCATGTATGTACGGAGAAAAATCGGATTTGTTCTGAGGTGTATATTTTCCTTGGTATTCTGACTGCATACCCCTGAAAACATGCGGTAGATTTCATGATGGGTTTTCAGATTGCTGTGAGGAATAAGTTGGTTTCGAAAGAGAGGACGGTTAGAAATAGGTAAGAGAAAGTATACAGGAAAAGAAAGCGGTCCTGTCGTGAATGTCGAAACTAGGATTGTATCTACTCACAAATTTGGGCATCGCTTTTGACCTCTGGTAAGGAATTTATTGGGAAACTGTTGCTTGAATAATGCTTTATCATATATAGTTTTATTTCCAGTAAGGGAACTGGGAAGTTCTTTCTTGAGTTTCTATAAAAATAAATTCAAGCAGTGAAGAGGCTATGAAAAAAAGGGGAGAAAGTATTTTTGTGACACCCCAAGGACATTTTTATAAACGGTGGACATTTGCTGTTCTATATGAAAGTTCCATTCATGTGTAAACAGAACATCGCAGTGGAGGTTCAATGTCTCGAAATTTCGTACTTTTAACATCTCTGAGATGTTTTTGTGCTCGCTGGGATGCGATAATACGAACCTTATACTGTCCAGTACCCGTATAGTAGGTGATAATGTCTTCTCTTGATTGTTCAATTTGATCTTCGGTATAGGGTACATACTGAAGTCGATTCTCGGTCATATAAATGTCTAAGTATTTCCAGTACCCATTATTTTCGGGTGGGATCGATGGTTGAAGAGGTCTTTCTATACCTGTAATCTTAAAAATTCTCATGCATGTATGCGTTTGTTCAATTCAGTTAAATATTTTCGGTAGAATTTTATGATCTCATTCTACCTCGCATTTGGATGATAAAGCTGGTGCCAGTTTCTGTCTGAATTCTGTTGGTTCATAATTATTTCTTCCATAACAATCTTTCATCTCTGATATTTTCGGAAATGTCGTTACTGGTGGATTTTGGGTTACCTAGTCAAAGAAACTCCTCAATCCTTTTTCAATATTTTTATAATAAACTCACTTTTTCCTGAATGATTCTAACAGATTTAATGGTATTAGAACCCAAGCTCCGAGGATATTGTATTGATAAGTCGTCTTGATTCGTTTTGAAATGATAGTCATTGGCATAGCTGCTCTTTATGTTGTCTCTAAGACCCACATCTTTTTCGATAAGTTCTTTTTTAATTTTTGCTTTCACTCTCTGGAATATTGAAACCAAATAAGTTAATTTCACACATACACTGATGGTTTCACTTTTATACGCATATTTTCAGTAGGTATATAATATAATTATAATATATATTTGATATTTTCGAATAAGAGTCTATTCAAAATTATCAAATCATACCTATACCGGCGGGTGACATAGACTCATATGGTTTACCCCCCATTTTCTCCTATGTTTTTCTAGCTATATTTTTGAAATTTGGACCATCAACTATATATTCTCAATAGAGGGCACTTTCTATAACATTTTAGTAATTTTTTTCTTTCCGTTTTCCTGAAAACGACATCTACATTCGATTTTCAAATGTATTTCATTCCACAGTCGGTTGAAGATTATTATCGGGGTTGATTGATGAGTTATTTCAAACGATTACAAAGATATTCGCGTTAATAATTTTCCAAATGCTCAAGCTAGTGTGACCCAGAAAGAAGTTTCGGTATTGCGCCATCACAGTACTCACTATGGACCCGGTATGGTTGAATTCGTTATGACGGATTATGGAATGATATATATATATATATATAAGGTGTTCCATTTGATAATCGAAAGTTGATGTCATTTCCAGGAAAGCCGGAAGATAAAAACAAATCCTAAAATGTGAGAAAGTGCCCTCTAGTGAGTATATTCGATGGTCCAAATTTCAGAAATATAGGTAAAAAAATAAAGGAGAAAAGGGGGGTAAACCATATGCATATATGGCGGCACAAAGACTCATCAGTCTTTTGTCACTCGTTATAAAAAATATCATCGGCAACAAACCGGCCACATTGAAATATTTTATAAAGTTCCCTTAACTGTTAGGTAAGTAACATAAGTAAATAGTTTCAGTTATCATTTTTAATAATTAAAGGGTTGCTGTTTTTTTGCCGGTGTGTGCGTATATAGTATATATATTCAAAAGCAAAGAATACTCACGCAGTCAGAATATTGTGGAAAACTAGGCATATATTGATGATATTTTCCTGTACATGTTCGATAATCTGTACATCTAGATGCAATTAACGGTATTCCATAATCTACGTGACCTTGGGTGTTCGAAGTACAAATGAGTGGTGGCATATCGTGCTGTCGTCTTCATGTATTGCAATTATTATTCATTTAATAATGTAAATGGCAAATTATAGAATTAGATTCTTTTGAAAGAACGACATATCGATCAAACAAATATATGTACTGTCATCGGCAAAAATATAGTGCATCAGGTTATATACTATACCCTTTTATCTTATATATAGTCTGTTTCCACGACAACATGACCCTATTTTCATTACAATTTGAATTTCAGAATTGTTTAGAAAACGATCAGCGCGATATATGAGCGCGATACCTATTGTTTTCAAAGCATGTTCACTGACTCTATCACGACCCCTGTCGATTCCAAATCTCCTCTAAACTAATGCTTAATTGAATGATCGATTCATTATACCGGTACTTATTATCATTCCTTATTATTAAATCGTTCTCAAAACTCGATCAATAATGCATTATATTATAATTTTTTCCTATGATTCTACTTATTTTCAACGTGGGCGCTGGATGAAGTGATGAAAAAATATAGAGAGCTTTGGCTCACCCTGTATGATGATAATAATAAATGATAATAATAATAATTTACTTATCCTCTTCAAAATAAGGAAGGTTACGCCAATGGACAAATGGTTAATTAACATTGAGAGGAATAAGAAGAAGAGAAGAAGACGATAAAAAATTTAAAAAAAGAGAAGAGGAGGACTTTTATTTGAGGTTAGATTATATGACATTCAGAATTTCAGATTTGTTTTTACATTATAGATAGTAATTTTAAAAATTCTCTGCATTTTATTTTATACATTGGTTTTGTGTTCGAGGTGAGAATTGGAATTCGCATGTATTGTGGAGCCAGACAATAATTATATATAAATAACTGTATTTTTTTTAGATGGACAGTCAAGTCACTGTTGAAGGATATTTGGTAGATCTAGTTGATGATTCTTGGCGTTCAGATAGTTTACCTGAAGACGATATCGCTGTTCCCACCTGGGAACTTCCTGACCCAGAAGCGGATTCAGGTGATATTCACTTCACCTTGAAAGAACAAGAACAAAAGTGGGCAGATATTCTGCTAACTTCCCTTAGTGAACATCTATAATTCTTCCTTATCATTAAATTTTCCAAATGGAACTACCAAGTATTGGTAAGCATTGCAATAATTTGGAATGCAAACAACTAGACTTTCTTCCTCTAAGATGTAAATGTGGCAGCATTTTTTGTGCTGATCATTTCAATTTGCATGTGAAAATTTGTGAAACTTCAAAACACTTAACAGCAGATGAATTGAAAACTATTGAAAACCTATATACTTGTTCAAATCCTAATTGTGAAGTGAGAGATATTGTACCTCTGATTTGTGAAAGATGTAAGAAGCACTTTTGTGTCAAGCATAGGCACTTGGAATCTTGTGAACCTAAAGACAAAAATGCCATATCCAAAGAAAAAGAAAAGTATGCTGCACCTATCAAACAATTCAATACAGCCAAAGCTGCAGTGGATGAACAGGTAAATTTCTGAAAAGTTTCTATCATAATTTCATTGTCTCATACTGCAGAGTAGTTCTTGGTCAATTTCTTCCCCAAAAAGTCAAGAATTTTATTGAATTTTATCAGGTAATTAGGGATGTCAATCTATTCAACTTTAAATTTGCACTAGCCAAAGTCACTGCTGGTACAAAATGCAGATAGATGGAGAAGACTTTTATTGACTGGTATGGTGTCTAGAAGCCTCTAATATATCTGCTTTGGTTTGAGCTTATTTGTGGTGACTTAGTAGTAATTACCTTAGATAATGGCAGTCTTCTCTACTATAATATAATATAATTATTATCATAACTTAATCTTCAGCTCATGTTATTAGTATTTGCCATAGAAAATAAGCCTGCCCTACCTATGGGAGTTCTTGAAAAGTGTCAAAGCAGCCTGTTACCTTTGATTTCATTGTTTCACATTTGTTTCTTGTTTGTGCTTAGTGGTCATATCATCAAAACAAACTGCTCAGAAGTGTTCCAGTGTAATTTGTTATGGGAATAAGTGTTCACCTAATTGTTTACTAATATATTATAGTATAAGGGGATATTAAAGTATTTAAAACACACTTTCAAGCATGATGGTGCAGCCTGAGTGCTCAAAATAGGGCAAGTGTTTTAAAGAACAGTTATCTACTAATACTTTAGGCTATTTTTTTATAGTTACACTTTGAGATCATATATATGGAAATAACAACTAATAATGTGAAATGGTTGAACATTTGTTAGTGAAATTTTATTTGATGTTGTCATTCATTGTAGTTTAGAGAGTCAACATATATTATATCAGCTCTTGCTAATAGTACAGTGATAAATAGCAGAAAAAGTCAATAATGTCTTGTGAAAGTGATGCAAGTTATAGTGAGATGGAAATCAAAGATGACAGAAATTGGAAAAAAGATGGCAGAACAATTAACAGCAAGTGCAATCAATGAAATAATATTAAGTGCCAGCTCCAGTACTAATGAACATACCTGAACAAACCACAAAAACTTTGCAGATGAATACTACACAAAAAATTATCAGCAGTGAATTATTCAATATTGATGAATCAGATCATGAATCAATCCTACAAAAGTATGTTTTATGTTACCACACCTTAAAACCTGAATAGATCAGACCTTGCAAACATGTGGAGTTTCTGGTTCCCAGATACTAAGGATATTATCTTGAAAACTACTGCAGGATTCCTTATAAAATCTAAAAATGATAACATACTGTTGAAATCATTTTTAGATAATTTAGTACAGGAAAAGAAAATTGACTTCTTCTTGGAAACACATGAAAACCACCTTACTCCTTGCCTTACTCCAACAAGAACTCCACATGTCACATGAGGCAATCAGTAAACATTGGACTGAAAAAAATATATTACACAAATACTGTGAACAAATTACATCCAGAACCACTGGAAAATTAACATATCTCATTAGAGTGATCTCTGGTGATGTACCTTCTTTCGAAAAATGGGTGAATGAAGGAGTTTTCTTCAAATATCCTCACTACCCAGTTTACCCTACTGTTCCTCTAGCACCCATGATGATTCCATGTTCCAATTGCCCACTTCACACTCACACTATGGATATATGCAATCCACCCTTAAAATGCAGGAAATGTCTAGACAAACACTTGGCAATCTCTCACACCTCTCCACTACCACTGAAATGTGCAGCTTGCAATGCTGCATTCTAGGGGTCTATCCTTGAGCATCATTCACGAGTTCTATCTTCTATTTCTTTTCAACATACATCACATACGTTAGTGCATCTAATTGGATTCTATTGATTCAAGAATAGACCCCCAGGTCTTCAAAATGTCCACAAAACCTACCCAACCTATAGGTAGGAATCCCTATTAAAAGAATTAAGTCAATGAACAAAACAACTCTTGATATGAAATCCAAAACTACAAGATACAATAAAATCCACACTACAAAAACACTTCATGACCATATACTACAAACATATGTCAATAAAATGAACAAACCAAAAAATGTGAACAGACAAGAGCTACTGCCGAGGCTACTGCTAAAACTCAAAAAACGCTTTATTGTATAATATGTTTGACCTAGACAATACCAATCACAAGGAATAAGGATAATATCCAGAAACCACCATCTACCAAGGATTAATCCAGTACAGCTGCAACAGGAAGACTAATATTTTGTGATTACCTGTATAAATTGTGTCTTTTTTTCTACACATATTCTATTAGATTCATTATGTGTATTTTGAAATCAAAGTGTATAAGTTTGTGAATAGGCTGAAGACTTTGATTGATAGCCTTCTGGGTAACCTTCTAATAAAGATTTTTCCCTCTCTCTCTATATGATGTTACATGGGCAACCATGACCATTCAGACTTCATAGGGTAGTTGAAATTATTGCCATGTGTTGCCTTGGTAACTACATTAAAAAACGGCGCGTTTTTTAAAGTGAGAATCAAACAGGCTGAGGCGGTCTTTAAATAAGCAAAACAGGGTACAAATAAATAAAAATCTCACAACTTGCCATTGCCGAGATTGCTAATAGCGATTGAAAATAAGCTTGTTTTCATTGGTTCCCATTTGTTCTTTTTTGTGCTTATTATCCATCAAAACCGAGATCAAAACAAACCGATCGGAAGTGTTCAAGTTATCGCCATCAGGTGGAGCGACCTGTTTTCTATCTCTATACCAGGTGACACATACTCATGGTATACCCCCTTTACTTCTTTGTTTTTTAGCTATATTTCTGAAATTTCGAACATGGAATATGCTCACTAGAGGGCACTCTCTCACATTTTAGGATTGTTTTTCCATCTCAAATCGAATCATTTCCGAGAAAATCGGAAGATGAAAAAAAAATCCTAAAACGTGAGAAAGTGTGCTCCAGTGAGCATATTCGATGTTTCAAATTGCAGAAATATTGTTGGACACAAAGAAGAAAAGGGAGGATACCATGACTCTTTGTCTATCTGTGTATTATTCAAATACTGATCACAGATGGCATTAGGAAACTATAGGTACCTATCTCCTGAGTAAATGATTCATCCAATTTATTTCCCATTAGATAATAAGCACCCGAATTATTCATTATTATTCTTTTCTAGTTGGAAAATAAGTTGAAAAATGCACAGAAATCAAGTAAACACCATGAAATGGCAACCAAACTGCAGCTGATGAAGATAAAGAATAAAGCAATTGGATTGAAAACCATACCTACACCTGATAGATTATATTTCAATATCTCTTATTCCGGAAAATCTACACCTGTTTTTGTCTCCAAGCAATGGAGTGTTGGTAGGGGAATTGATGCCATTGCTGAAATTATTAAACTCACAAATAATAATAATAAAGGCAGTGAGAAAAAGTTGAGGTTATTCAAAAATGATACTGGTACAATTATATCAGAAAGTATGTCAGTGATACTGAAAATTTTGCTGGAAGAAGAAGTTATCATAGATGGGGAAACGCTAGTTATTGAATATGTTGATAATAATTGTATCAAGTTATAATTTTTCAATAAATCTGCAGTTTAATCAATATTTCATTCATTTTGATTTGACAAAGGTATGTGAGGCTGCTAAGTATTGCAAATTGTAATGTTCTTTTTATGAAGTTTGGAGCTGATAGACACACTGCTATATGAAATGTCAATATATATCCTAACAGTACATCAGATCTCTTATAGGTATGATGATAGTAAATGTTATTGGAAATGACAACCTATTCAATTTTACTGGTCTGATGAGAATTTAAGAATGTTTCCCAGAAAATTACCTAAAAAAATCATGTCTTTACGTTTTGAAAAATGTCAGTTTATGGCACCTATGGTTGCATACAATGAATATCCAGTTAGCAGTCAAAGATATAAGGAAACGTTCCAATACCTTCACATTGTTTGGAAATGGCTCCATTGGAAATAAACATGGTAAAAACCGCCGTTAGTAGGCTCCTGAAGATGATATCTTCTGAATATTTTCGAAGTGTTCCATCATAAAACAATTGGAAGTGGTCTACATGAATTTTTCATCCTTGTTTCAAAATGTATTGGGATCAAGATGTTCTAATCATCCTCATTAGGTCCAAGTTCAAAGATCTACAGGACAAAATCTGCCCACTACCCAATTCAAAGACATTCCAATGGAACAAATTTTGTGATTTTGTTTGGGTTGTGTGTATGACGTTTTTTTTTTTGTAGAGGACCTAATAAACCTAACAGAATTTTGTGTTTGTAATAGAGTGAAATCCTGTATCACTCTTAAATATATAGAATCTCTGACATATCATTTCATTTAACAAAAATTGAATTATAATGCTGAAGATCAAGATCCCTTTATTCTTCTCATGAAACGAGCAAAAGAGCAAATATGAAAAAATATAAGAAAACAAAAAAATGCCATTTATAGAAATAAGTAAAACATAATATGCATTCAATATCTTACAATACAGATAGTGTTTTTGCTAAAAAAATGCCGATGAAATTAATATTATTAAATTAATTGCAAACGAAAAAATGAACCTATACATACAACAAAGCTTTCCAGAATCGGACTAGTGTTTTTCGAGATATTTTTCAATTCTGGAAAGGGATAAGTAATAGAGGTACTGAATAGTGGTCCACCAGTCCATCAGTTCATTTATGCCATGATGTGGCCCAATGTAAACGTGGAAGAATTATTTCCAAATTGGGTAAAATATAGTTCCAATTTTATTATGGCTATTTGTCAACGATTTGGACTCGAATTATGAAAATAGTAAACCGTAGTAAACTTATTAATACCATTTAATACAAATAAGCGGTGCATTATTTGTTCTATTCTGTAGATGCGTCGTTCTCAAGTGGAATACATTCTAAATAAGTCGAAAAACAAACATCATCAAAGGAATATATTATCTATAGAAGCTGTTGGTGGAATAATGTCTTCTAATTTCGGAACACCCTATATTTGCCCAAAGTTAATTTTACATCTTGTATGTATCAAAGATTATATACGTACCTGTGTGGGATTCTCTATAGAGTTCTCATGAACTTATATTGACTGAATCTGTGTACAGGAGAAATTAAGAGCAGTCTACATTTACTTTTATCTGAAGGTGTTCGAATTTCAGTTCACTTTGAAATGTTTGTATTTGTTATTTTTACATAATTATGATTAAGTTCCTTTCACCTGGTGAGGTCATCACACTGAGTACATATTCCAAAAGATTATTTGATTTGGAATTATTCAAAATTTTGTGGTAGTACCAGCATGTGTAGCCAGTAACTGTAAACCAATTTTATATAAAAGGAACCGATGTATACATACCGTGTTTCCCGCTAGTGAAATTTTTAGTGTGCTGAAAATTTTCGGTTTGTTGAAATGTTCAGTGTTTTTGTACTATGGCTCATTTTCAAACATGCATGTTTTGCCAGCGTTTTTCCAACTGAAGCTCTTCATAGGGTGATGACTGAAGATGAGTTGGCTTACTATTTCCAAACGGCTGACGAAAATTTGATACCTGAATATGAATTGGTTGATTTACCACTGGTATTGCCCGTTAAAGAAGCTCTAGAATCAGGTGGAGGCGATGTAGAAGAGATAGATTACAACTTCCATGCTTTCCAAAGGTAAGAAATTTGGAATATTCTCGAAAAAATATATTGATTGTAATCAAGTTACAAGTATTGATTGGCTATTTGAACATTTACTGTTTGAGAGTTCAAAACAGAAATAATTTTCAATTCCATCAGGGTTTTTTTTTCATTCATTTATTTTACTTAAGTACCTATAAACACTACAGAATTCGATAAAAATTCCAAAATATACAGTATAGGAAAGTATGACCGAACTAAACGAGCCAACAAACAAAACATCAAAAACAAATAAAAACTGAAATATGCGGTGTGCGGTTTCAAAAATTCCATAATATAGCACTCAACAAGCTCTATTCGAAAATGTGAACAAATTTGAAATATTCAGATTTTCAAGGCCTACTTTTGTTTGTTGAAAGGGTCAAGATTTCAAAAACTACTATTAGGCATTTTTTTTTCGAAATTGTGACTAGCCTATTCGATCCAGGTATAGCTGAAATACTTGATAATGAAGTTTCGAATTTTCAAAGTATTTCAATGCTGCATCGTTATTAAAATATTTACAAAGTATTCATATATTATATGTATGTATATTTTCTGTATGATATTATCAAAGTATGGATTGAAACCGTTTAAGGATATTAGAATACCTATATCTTAAAATGTTTTCGAATTATTCGAAGATAATATTAATATTTGAAGACTTTTTGATATGATTAAGGTAGAATAGAAATTCCTATGGTATTTTTGTAATACCATTACTCAATATTCTTCAATTTTCATATACCTATTGATAAATATATGTAAACAAAATATAATGCCCTGATCTGAACAAAAAGAAGAATCTATTCAAAAGGAGCCATAACAAAAAATATTTCACACTCTTAGGCCTATTGAACTGAAACTGAAGAGAAATCCTAGTATAACATCATTCAATTTCAAGACCTATGTCCATGATGATGACGGAATCAGAATTTTAGAAAACTCACCTAGGAAATGTCATTATCTACACAGGGATGATGGCTCGGTTGCTTCCATAAGTATCTGTTCACCAAAGAATGTGGTAAGTACTATGGATATGTCATATTGGCTGATTTTTAGAATACTAGTACATAATATTCAAACCACTTCATCCAGTTGACACAGATTGATCCCAGAGATAATAGAGGGCATCACATTCATGCCACACATCCGTTACCACCGATACAACAAGGCCAGTAGACTCTGACGTAAACAGCTCGTGACGTCACCAAGAGAGGCCAGTGTTTTATTTTATCGCTTGTCGACTAACGCGTCAGTTCGTGTTAATTCATCGGTGATTCACGTATGTTTTTGAAACGGTCCCGAATTTTGTTGTTGTTTATTCATCAAAATAATTGGCGGAAAAATTACTGTTTTGTGAAATATTTTGTGTTGTGATCGGCGAAATAACAATGCCTTTCAAGTGTTGTGTTCCCTTTTGTCGGAGGAATTATGTGTGTGGTTCAAAAGTTCATGCTTTTAGTTTCCCGTTGGACGAGGAGCTATCGAAAATGTGGGTATATGCAATTCACCGCGAGGATTTTACCTCATCTAAGTTCAGTAGTAAACAGAGCTTAATTTATAATGATGAATTAATAATAGAAGACAATTGCTCTCTCATAAAAAGTATAAGTAGAGGAAAAATAGAAAAGCTTTGATTGTGCAGTTAGTTTTGTATTCGTATATTGTAGTCAACAAAATCATCTCTGAATTCGAGGAAATTTTCTTGAATGTTCATAATAAACGGGCATTTTTAATTCTCATTCTCAAATTTCTTTCTGAAAACGGTCATTTGCCTCGTGGCAATGAATGCAGAATTCATTCCAATGATCAAATTGCAACTATCATATTAACATGAACTACAAACACTCTACTTAAAAAGGTAAAACTGCATTTATCATGATATTTATCATGAAGATATTTGACTAAAAAGTTCCAAATTTCACCTTCTTTTTCACCTGTCTTCTGGATGGCATTTAGAACAAATTTCCCTTCTTTTTTCATCATATTGGACAATTTATATATAATTCAACTATAAATATGATTTTCTTGAGATTAATCCATATTTAGTGAAAAGAAGGAAGAATATCATTCAAAATAATGGCGTGTGTAATGTCATTCGAAAGCAATCTATTGACATTTGACATCTCGTATTTTGATTGACTATTGATTAAATGGTCGTCATCTGGAATGCTTGCTCACTAAATATGAAAAACTCGCCATAAAAATCATATTTCCTGTTGAATTTTCTATATAAAAATGTGTCATCGAAGTACATCATGAGTATATAAGTGTCCAATGACAAAATAAGAGCAAGTAGCTTCAAATGCCCCCAACACAAGGGCTGAAAGAAGGCGAAATTTCGAACTTTTTCTTTTTCTTGAAATATCTCAATAAATAGTGGTTTGTTCACATTTACATTATAAAATTCGGTTTATCAGACAAAAATACGTGAGTACCAAAAAAAATTTCAAAAAAAAAACCATCGCATGATAAATGCAGTTTTACCCTTAAAAATTACGGTTTCAAGTGTAACGATCCACTTGGGTGAAAAATCCAACAACAGAAAATTGAAAACACTCACTGGTTATTTTTTCAGGTAATAGGAATTCTCCAAGATAAATATGGGTAATTGTAACAAACGGCATGTCAATCAAAATAAAATACATTTTCCACAATTTTCTTTCGATCAATCTCACGATAAGTTTATGTTCTGCGGGCCCTGTATAAGTAGGTGTGAAGTTTACCTTCACCACAATTTTTGCCAATATATTTAATTCGAATGGGTTGCTGTAGGTGGATATTTGTGTTTTATCCTGGTTTTTGCTTTAAAACTTCGTTTTTCCATAATAAAATCGAATGGGGTGCGAAGAAGGGCTCAGTTGACGACTGGCATCCTTTTTTAACCGGAAGCCCTTCAAAAAACAGCAAAATCGGCTCAATGATGATCTAAAACTAAAATCGAAATACGCGGTCGCCTTATAGCGCTATAAGCCGCTGGTTAGGCCTCACTAAGTGACGTCACCCACGGAGCATGCAGGCCTTGTTGTATCGGTGGTTACGACACATCGCATAGTCCAATAAAATGGCATTTGCACGTGACAAAATTCAATTCAGCGGTTTTATCTGTTTTTGGGAGTGCTGAATCTGAAGTTTGCAAACAAAATTTCCTAGAGCGTTCCGATTCGCAAAGAACAGCGAAATGTTGGTACCTTTTGCAGTTTTTTGCATCTAACTCGGAAACTATACAATTTTCCGATGAAACCATCCTCTAGTTGCAGTAAATGAAATTTTCTATACAGGGTGGCCGTTTTTCGAGCTCCACCATGGGGATCTCGCAGTTATTATAAGATATACGAGGTCGGTTAAATTAGGGCAAAGTTGCGCATTTTCATGCTGAACATTTATCTGCAATAAGATTCGATGTGTCCTTTTCAGTTTTTGAATTATTGATAGAAAACGAAAAATTGTAATTTTCTTTCCTATTGGATTTCTGCATTTTCGAAGTATTTTTTTTCTGATTACAATCACACGATATGATCGAATCTTCCCTGTTGATCAAAAATACAATGACAGATTCAGATTCCTTGAGAAACGTGTAGGTCTTCTGGTTTCCGCTTCAAAGAATAATTAAAAAACCAAGAATGACACATAAAATTTTCTTGCAGATAAATGTTCAGCATGAAAATGCGCAACTTTGCCCTAATTTAAACAAAAAGAAAAATACTACACAATAACACTCGGCATCTAAGAAATTGAAGCAATCATTTGTATAGTAAATTTCATTTTGTCCCAAGAAATATCCCCTTAAATTTTTCCGCAATGATAATGGAACATCCTCTTTATAGTACACAGAATTTACCACGTGACCCGTTCGTATAAAACGTCCTTATTTCGTATCGTTCATAATTTTTGATGGCTAAAATCATATAATATGTGCCATATAATATGTGCCTACTTTGGTAATTTTCATACGTTTACGAATAGGTATTACAATATTTTTGTAAACTTTTGATATTGAATCTTTTAAGTTTGCATCAGAGCAAGAGTAGCAGATATTTTGAAGTGAGATTAAGAATTGCATCAAAACTTATACAGTGTAGTCAAGAATATCTTGTCATTTGGAGGTTCTTGAACGTCCCGAAAGTCATGCCTACTTTTCAAATTAATGACCCTGTATATTATCAAATACTTGATGTACGATTGAATTCTGCTTTCACTGATAGAGGGTTCTATACAGGGTGTAATTTAATTGATGGCTGAAAGTATAGGATGTGATGGTTCCTCAGCTTAATTTCAAGATGAAAAGTTCATGTGAACATATACATATACGTCTTAACTTCCGAGCTTATAGGGTATTAAAACATTTTGAAAAATTTCGATTCCTTATCATAAAGTCAATGCTGTTCTAGATATTTTTATGAAATTTGGCAGGCACCAATAGGCATTATTTGACGCAGGAGATTTTCTAATATTTCTACCATTGGCGTCCGTATGGGATGTACAATGAAGATTTTACTAAAAAAATATGGTAAGCCCTTTCCAAAAATAAAACATACGCTGATGCTCTTAGATTCCATCCAAAAAAGATCCATTCGCCTGGTGGATGGTGCCCAACTTGCTAACTCTTTGACCCCATGAGAACACCTTTCGTGCGCTCCAAAAGATATTAAAAAATATATATATTGCAACAATGGGCCTTTCCAGTATCGTGAAAATTCACCTGCTCTTTTCGCTATTATATTATGATTGGAAGTCAGAAACGTTATCCCTACCACATATTTATCAAAAATACCAAACAACAAATGAATTATTACACAGTAAGACGCTTTTAATATATAGTTTGGTTTTTATTATGATATTGATATTTCTTCGACTAATTGTTATAATCAACAAATTAAACAGTGATACTATATCTCAAGTACCTGCTCATTCCCGGAAAAGGTAACTGCAAATCTGGCAACTATGTCTATCAAAGAGAAAGAGATGAAGCAAGTGGCGCTAACACAATGTTGCCAAGTTAATAATACCCCATTCCCCGCATAACTTCACTGTTCTCATTTCTCAATATTATTGACCAGAAGGCAGTTATGCTTGTACTAAAATCAATGAAAATAGAACTAAGTAAGCAACTTAGTATTGATTGATTCATAATTTATTTCTTTGCCTATGGTAGGTAGATAGGTAGGTACATACATACCTATATAGGTGAGTACTACTATGGAGTACCGAAACTTGAAATTTTTAATTCAATACAAAATAAAATTTCAATTACACGATTTTCAATAATCCACCAACAGAAATCAACCATCTTATTACTAATTATGCAATGCAATTTTTTAGTAAGTACCACGCATTTTCGGGTAAGTATAGTTTTGGATCTAACAGCATCTGTATTATTTGCTAAATTGAAAGAATCGAGAAATGAATATCCGACTAAACATAGATTTTTGAAAAAATTGGCAACATTGTCAAGTCCATTATGCATTTCATTGACACCCAAGAGAAGGTGAGGGTGTTACCAATCCAAATTGTTCGCGCACTGACGTCACACGTTTTGCGTCCATGTCTGATCATTTGAATTCGCCCGTTTATTTTGGCGTTTTCAATAATTTTTTATACGATGAATTGTTGGAAAAAAAATCTAAAAAAGTATTTTAAGGTATTCCAGAATCATATATTTCGAGATCTATTTTTTATAGAAATGACTGGAAAGGCCCATTTTCGATTGAATTTCTCTTATGGGTTTCTAAATATTGGAAAATTTTAAGCGCAGTAATATTTCGGGGCACATCAGATCTGATTTGACCTTATATTGAAATACTACTTATATTTTTACTAATAGAGACGAGGAGAGGAAATCACAAAATTGGGAGAAATGAAACCCCAATAAACTTAGCAGAACCACTTCAATATTTCGGATTTGCAATAGTACTATAATTTGTTACTAATTTAGTACTAATTTATTATCATATTCGCAAATTTATTACACTTCATTAAACAGAAAAAACCAACGGCTCTGCTAGCTTTATGTCAACCTAGCAGAACCATAGCTGAAAATTTAATATTTTGAAAATTTTAAATATACCATAATTTATAACTATTTTATTACTAACTCATAACTATAATCACGAATTTTTTACTCATCATTTCAAGGAAAAAAACGACGATTTGTCTATCTCGATCTCAACCTAGCAGAACCAAAACTCAAATCACATGTTTTTTGAAATTCTGTTGTATCATCGATAAGTTACTAATTTATTACTGATTTATTACCACATTCGCAAATTTCTAACACTTCATTCAACAGGGAATACCAACGGCTCTGCTAGCTTGCTGTCAACCTAGCAGAGCCATAGCTAAACAATTATTATTTTGATTACTTCAAATATACCATAATTTATTACTATTTTATTACTTACTTATAACTATAATCACGAATTTTTTACTCATCATTTCAAGGAAAAAAACGACGATTTGACTATCTCGATCTCAACCTAGCAGAACCAAAACTCAAATCACATGTTTTCTGAAATTCTGTTGAATCGTCAATAAGTAATTAATTCATTACAAAATTACCACATTCGCAAATTCCTAACACTTCAATTAACAGGAAAAATCAACGGCTCTGTTAGCTTTATGTCAACCTAGCAGAACCATAGCTGAAAATTTTATATTTTGAGAATTTCAAATATACTATAATTTATTACTATTTTATTACTAACTCATAACTATAATCGCGAATTTTTTACTAATCATTTCATTGAAAAAAAAAGGCCGATTTGTGTATCTCGATCTCACCTAGCAGAACCAAAACTCAAATCACATGTTTTTTGAAATTCTGTTGAATCGTCAATAAGTTATTAATTCATTACAAAATTACCACATTCGCAAATTCCTAACACATCAATTATTAACAGGAAGAATCAACGGCTCTGTTAGCGAGATAAAAAAATCGGCGTTTTTTTCCTTGGAATGATGAAGTTATCACAGCCGTTGATTTTGATGATTCAACAGAATTTCAAAAAAACATGTGATTTTAGTTTTGGTTCCGCTAGGTGAGATCGAGATAGACAAATAGGCATTTTTTTCCATGAAATGATTAGTAAAAATTCGTGATTATAGTTATAAGTTAGTAATAAAATAGTAATAAATTATGGTATATTTGAAGTTTTCAAAATAATAATTGTTTAGCTATGGCTCTGCTAGGTTGACAGAAAGCTAGCAGAGCCGTTGGTTTTCCTTGTTAAATGAAGTGTTAGAAATTTGCGGATGTGGTATTGAATCAGTAATAAATTAGTAACTTATCGATGATACAACAGAATTTCAAAAAACATGTGATTTGAGTTTTGGTTCTGCTAGGTTGAGATCGAGATAGTCAAATCGTCGTTTTTTCCTTGAAATGATGAGTAAAAAATTCGTGATTATAGTTATAAGTTAGTAATAAATAATAAAATAGTAATAAATTATGGTATATTTGAAGTTTTCGAAATAATTATTGTTTAGCTATGGCTCTGCTAGGTTGACAGCAAGCTAGCAGAGCCGTTGGTATTCCCTGTTGAATGAAGTGTTAGGAATCTGCGAATGTGGTAATAAATTAGTAACTTATCGATGATACAACAGAATTTCAAAAGAAATGTTATTTGAGTTTTGGTTCTGCTAGGTTGAGATCGAGATAGACAAATCGTCGTTATTTTCCTTGAAATGATGAGTAAAAATTTCGTGATTATAGTTATGAGTTAGTAATAAAATAGTTATAAATTATGGTATATTTAAAATTTTCAAAATATTTAATTTTCAGCTATGGTTCTGCTAGGTTGACATAAAGCTAGCAGAGCCGTTGGTTTTTTCTGTTTAATGAAGGGTAATAAATTTGCGAATATGATAATAAATTAGTACTTAATTAGTAACAAATTATAGTACTATTGCAAATCCGAAATATTGAAGTGGTTCTGCTAAGTTTATTGGGTTAGAAATGAATATCCCACCTCCTCCATTAACCTTCAGAGTATTTGATGCGATCCAGTTTGATAAATGTATGCAACGTAGACTAAAACTATCGAGTGATTTCAAGAAAATAGAATATATTCATGCAGCATGCTCATGGCGTTGTTTTTCTGACCTGCGGCACCGTTAAATTATGTGATTATGTGTGATCTCTCGATGATAATTAATATCTTATTTTTGAATCTATTTCAGCAAGGTATTATTCTTCTTGAAAACACGACTTTAGAACTACACCCTCTGACAGAGAGGTTACAGGCTTTGCTTCATCTGAAGGAACCACTTGTTGAAACCCTAGAGGAATATGACGACATAAAGATACCTCATCTCATAAAAAGAGCTAATTTTCTGCCAAATGTGCCAAGCTTCGATCATAACGAGGTCTTTCCAATAGCTGGGAGTGTATGGGCAGACAATGCAGAAATTATTCCGAATTACGATAGGGTATTCGATAGTAATTACAATTTCAAAGGCTATTATGGAGATTTTGAACAAGAAGCTGTGAGGTATAAATCCTCGAGTTTGACTGTGGAGTTGGCTTTGTTCTTTGATGAAGCAGCATACAGAATTTTTGCACCATACTTCAGATACGATGAAATGAGGATACAAGATATGCTTTTAGCTTATATGAACGGCGTAAGTTATAATAATTGAATTAGCAGAAAATTAAATTCAAAGGTTCCGTTTCTCACAGACAACAAATTCTCATTTATCTTTCAATATCAGGAAATGTTATGAACATACCCACTACATAGATTGTGGAATGAACTTAAGAACCTCCTGTTATCATATTCCATTGAATGGTGTGAAAGATGTACCTAGTCATAATAATTATAATAAAAGTAGCAATTCATATAACAATAAGTTGCAAAATGAGCGTTTGTTTGCACTATCCCTGAATATTTTAGAACATGCTTGCTCTTTCCATGTGTAAATATAATAGTACTTTTCTATTATCATGCAAAAAGTTACTAGTTTTTGCACTCTATAAATATCTTTGTAATTTGAGTTTACATAAGATCCATATATGGTAACAATAGGTACTTGAAAGTACCATAAGCATAACCAAATAGCAAAAATTAACTTTCACCGTAGCAGTGTTTTGAGATACATGCATTGTGGAACCTGATATGAATGACAGGGATGTTCAATATATTGTTCCCGCGTGACTACACTAGTGGGTTGGGGGATCATTTTGATAAATCTACTGCTTTTGGACAAAAACACTACTACTGGGGATGACCTTTATATTCGTACAACTGGTACAACACAACTTCAGATGATAATAATATCGTTCTGTACATAACTACGTTTTCAATTTGTTTTCATGAACTACTACACCTCATAGTGATTATATTAATCAGGACATCATACTGTATTCTGTACCAATAACAGACATGACATGACATATAGGATCAATGACAGTTTGGCAGTTCATATGAATAAAATCCTAACACATTTGTCATCTACATGACATGAAATACATGAAAATAATATGAAAGGAATGGTTATTTTTGTATTAATTGCGTAAAATGAGTGTTTTTTTAATGACACATAAGAGGTCAAGGCGAAAAATTCTCTCGAATGTGCCATAAAAAACGAATTTTATACAAGTACATGCAACATTTTTTGTACCAACTGTGAATTAAAAAAATTAGATTTCTAATGAAATATTCAATAATTGTCCATCTTCTTCCAAACAAATTAAAATATCTGATGAAATTTTGGAATCAACTCTTCAGAAAATATCTAATGTTTTCTGATCAGAAGCAACATGGAACATCTTCGGGAATTTATGTTGGAAGTAATTGTTCAAACTTTACTATCAATTATGAAATTGTTTATGATGAAGAATCATTAATAATTGACTATGTTACAAATAAATCCTTCATTAAGTAATATTTCATGTTTATTTTGTGAATTATTTTGGCAGTGAAAAAAGTGAACATTTACGCATCACTTGAGTCGCTGAAATGTCAAGTTTTTTTGACAGTTGTACAAAAAGTGTATTTTATCTTTAATCCATACGTTCACTAGGATCACAAAAGCACAGCACAATGTACAACGAACGATGAAACATCTTAACGATTATCAATGAATTTTCTTTTTCTATTCACATAACTAAAATGGCATTTAGCGTACGGATATGTACCACGCTAAATGATCGATTAGTCACGGATTGACGATCTGTGATTTATTCAAAATATTAAAAACGTTACCATGGCAACACGATTTATTAAACACATTACCATGGCAACACAGTTCATTAAACACAGCTTCAGTAATTTCAGACATGTCTGGTCTGTATTGTATTAACTGTCAACTGTTATTTTCAAATTTGTATCAGAATTATTCAAACAATATTCGTTTGTATAAGAATTCATCATTGAAAATATATGCGAAATGTAGACGAAAGTGAAATCGAAGAGAATGTTCTGGTACTTGCATATCTCCAAGAAGTGTGAAAATGAAGCATCCATCTTTGAGAACAATTTATTTCAATAGAGAAAGAAACCCAAAGTCGTCTCCACAATATTTAATTTATAATGTAGCAGTCAATCCTGCTTCATTGGTAGATACATGTTTCGGCCATTCAAATGGCCATCTTCAGTCAAAAGAATACAACAAAGTGCATCTACAATAGAAAACATGATTTTATATATAAGAAAAATTGAAACAATTGTAAATTCAAATTGAATTGATTAACAAATTTCAGTTAAGTCAAAGAGCAACAGTGATTTTTATGAGTATACAATGATAATTGATCGATAATAGAGAATAAAAGTGAAAATCAAAATTTTTGTCAAATCAAAATTCTGAAAAACAAAATGGAGAACCATAGGTAAGAAGGTTGTACTCACGTGGAAATACTTTGGGTTTCTTTCTCTATTGATATCATTCCACTCCACTTTGAGCATGGACTACTACAGAAGAACAATTTATTTATTCTGCGCTATAAGCATGACAATAAACGTGAAACAAAGGTTAGTAAGCAATGGACTGGACACTACATTCACAACCAATATCACTCATACGTGGCTCGCTGGTTGCATGCAGTTGCATATATTATGTTCTCAATTCCCATTCCTTTCGAATTATTTTGTAGGTTAGCAGGAATAGCAGGTATGTTAATGTAATTTTCGGAGTTCGTAGAAAAAGCATAGTATGTAACGCGTTCATAAACTCTTCTAGACACTCGTTTATTAAACACTCGCTCCGCTCTTGCTTAAAATACTTGTTACTAAAAGGACGTTTATATTGTTACATAATATACTATTAACACATTTCCTCACTGTGAATAATAAACAAAGATTGACAGCTGACATGACCATCAGCTTCACCAGTACCATCAGCTTCGAGCTATCTTGATTACCCATTCAAAAATAGCCAATTCTCATGTTTTGCCCAAGTCGTAAAACATGTTATAGTTTTTGTATAGAGTGCAGGTACTTAGTAATAATCGATTTTAGGTTCAAGCCCTCTACCACCATCCTAGTTTAGGAACTCCTTTGGAATTGGTTTTAGTGAGGCTTGATATAATGAGAAAGCAACCTTCCAGTTTGCCCCATTATGATGGCGAAAGAGGGAAATTGTTAGACAGTTTCTGTGCCTATCAACAACAGTTGAATCCATCTGGCGATTCTAATCCAGAACATTGGGATATGGGCCTATATATATCGGGGTAAGAATAAAGATGAATTAAATGGCTAGTTTATGTAGGGTTAGATTCACGGTTTATGATAAAGGAACCAAAATATCTGGAGCTAATTGTTGGTGCCAAGATGGAAGAGAAACTTTCTGAAAAGTTATCCGGAAACATCGTTTTCAGGGTATGTTGAAGTCGGAATAAAAATACCTACCACCTTGAGAACAACTCAATGAACATTCTACATTAGTATTTTTTTTATCGCTTGGAGCACACGAAAGGAAATCCCTATAATGTTCAAAGAACATCGTGCGTTCTAGGGAGGATAGGGACAGGAGGTAGGTACATATTGGAATTTTTTTTGAACTTCTGGAGATTATATGTTGTTGGGAATATACTTCCTCGCGGGCAATGAATTCCAGAGCCTATAGCTGTTCTATGGATGAAGGAGTTTTGATAAAGTGCTGTTCGACATCTTTCGAGGTTGACAACGAAAGGATGTGCTGACTGGGCTTGTCTAGTTCGTCTGACTGGTATTGTTAGTGAGTGTGGCGTCACCCACCAGGCGAATGGCTCTTCTCTGGATGGAATCGTAAGAGCATCAGCGTATGTTTTGGTGCTGAACCCCAAATGTGGGAACAGTATTCTAGAACAGGCCGTATCTGCGCTTTGTAGATCATGAGAAGCTCTTGAGGTGTTAAGTAGCTTTTCGCACGGAACAAGAATCCGAGTTTTTGTGAAGCAGCTTCTGCGATGGATCTGACATGATTATCTCATGAAAGAGAGTTGCTGATGAAAATACCGAGCATAGATATGGTGAGCTTGGTGGAGATGGTGGTGCCAGACATTACAATATCGGGCATACTGAGTTCCGCCTTTCTAGAGAAAATACAGGCTTGAATTTTGGTGGCGTTGAATTCAACTAGGTTATTGGTTCCCCATGCTGTGATTTCAGCAAGGTCTTCATTGACGCATTGACCTGCCTGCGCCGTGAGTTCTTAATTTCTTGCGAAGAAATGGGAATTCTGGAAGAGAACGCAGAATGGAGGGTACTATCATCTGCAAAGCAGTGGATGGTGCAAGTTGCTACTCCCAACAGATCATTGATATGAAGAAGGAATAATGTTGGTGCCAAAATTGATCTTTGTGGAACGCCGGAATTGATGCCAATGGTATCAGACGATACACCGTCCACCACCACGTGAAGCGATCTGCCTGAAAGAAAACTCGATAAGAGATTGCATAGCTGAGGTGGTAAGCCGTATGATGTGTAGTTTGTGGAGGAGTCCTTCGTGCCAAACACGGTCGAATGCTTTCGATATGTCCAACGCGACAGCTAGAGATTCCCCGTGTTTTTCTAATGATGCTTGCCATAAATGGGTGACGTAGGCAAGTAGATCTCCAGTAGATCTTCGGTGGCGAAAGCCGTATTGTCTATCATTGATGATTCCAGAGCTCTCCAGATATTTGGTAAGCTCAATATTGATGGCTTTCTCCATCACTTTGGAGATTACTGATAACAGGGCAATGGGCCTGTAGTTGTTGGGCAGGTTCTTGTTCCCTGTTTTGGGGATTGGTTGGACTCTAGCTGTCTTCCAGCATGATGGAAAAATACCCGACCTGTACGAGACGGTAAACAACTTACAGAAAATCGGTGTTAATTCTGGTGCACATTTTTTGAGGATAATGGGTGGGATTCCATCAGAACCGTTAGCCTTATTCGTTTTGAGACCAATCAAAATTCATCTGATAGTGCGTTGACGGAAGACGATTTCGGGCTTTCGACTCTCAAAGGGTGGAATGTCAGGCGGCAATTTTCCTTGGGAATCTGAAGTAGAGTTTGCTGCGAACATCTCTGCAAAAATATTTGCTTTCTCCTGCGATGTTGTTAATGTGCCGTCGGATTTTATCGAATTAGTGAAAATAACTATCTCTAGTGGCACTTTAATATATATATATATATATATATATATATATATATATTCTTAAAAGTGTTTTTAAAAAAAATATATGAATGAACATTAACTTTTATAGAGGAAGAATCCATCATTGAAACTTGATATTGCCAATCCAAACATCCTGCATCACAGAAAAGAACTGTGTTTCACAACAAAGTTTCCTTTTTTATCACCTATCCTAAATTTTATATACAGGGTGAGTTAGGGTAATTCTCCTATTCTAATTTTTACTTCATTTCAACGCAAGTAGTTGCAATCAACGTTTGTCCTAAACAAGTCTTAAAGTTAGTATCCTGCCTTAGATGTGAGATGTGAAAAATGTTCACTTCTTTTGAACCTTCAAATGAAAGAAGTTGAAAGTCGATGTAAACTATTCAAGGTTAATTATTGTGATGAATTAGGATTTAAATTTTCTCAAATACCGTCTGTAGGAAGGCTGTAGGTTAATCGAAGAGGTGGACCATTCATTTTCCCAGATTTTTGAGGACTTTTCCAATATCTTTCTTTGTCTCCTTCAAATATTTTTCAAAACAAACGTTTGAATGTTTCTTTAGGCTCTCTAATAGTAAAATTTTCAGAGGGACTGACATTTTGGGGAAAATCATCTGGTTTGTCTTTACCGCATGTAGGTATATTGATCAATAAATACTTATATTCGCTTTTTCCATCACCTACCTCCTCTCCCTATCCTTACGCACGATATTCTTCGAACATTATAGGAATTCCTTTTCGTGCACACTCGATCACCGAGAAGCTAGGGCAATTTTTCCTATACCTATTCTTTCTTATGAAATATTTTAAAATGTGTTATAATATCATCACAGACACTATAATTTTCAAAATAGTTGTTAGACTGTATCATATTGATGTGCTGAATATATATACCCATTTCGAAAACAACTCGTATATTGATCGCATTATTGAAAAATTAAAACTTGAAAATTGAAAAAAAAAAATTGAAGAATATGTGATTATGCCTTCTCCACTTGCTCCAAATTATATTTTGATCCGTATAATATTTTTTTTGATGGTTTCATTCAATAGTACATCTTGGATCCTTCTTACATATGTATTCATTTAAATATCACCCTGGATCTGAAATAGGTTGCACTAAGAAACCCTTGAAATGAAGTAAGGAATTAGAATACGAAGTGTTTCGATCTTATATTGACTATTTATTTTCACAGATTGGACTTTTTTGCATATGAAAACGGAAAGAGAAGTGGTGTAACAATGGGACTAGCAACCGTTGGGGGAGTTTGCCTTGACCAATATGCTTGTATCATAGCTGAATTTGGAACAACCAATGTATTTGGAAAGCCCTATCCCAGCGCTGGCTTTACAAGTGTTTATATTCTGGCTCATGAAATCGGACACAAGTAAAATACCTTTCAAATAAGTCATTGCCTTGACAAAAATAAATTTCCACTCAGGAATATTCTATAAATAGTTTTTGCACTGAAGACGAATATTGTCGCAACTTTCTTGTGCTCTCTTGTTGAATATAATGTTGCACTTTTGATATTCAAACTAAGTGTGTTTACAATATTTTCTCTGCAACCAAAAAAATGCATTTTAAGAAAAAAAATTGTGATTTATTTATGAATTATATATCTTGGGATATGTTTCATGATATTAGGGGTTTGAAATTTTCATCAACCAGAAATAGATAGTTTTTATAGGCACCTAGGCAGAGCTTTTATTCCTATGATTCAGAGTTACTCCTGATGCTAGGAGTTGAAGTGCAGCTTTTATGCCTTGGCTATGAAACGCCAACTGCAGTATTAAATCTTATTTTCTGCCATGTGAAGCATATCCAAATTCGTTTCAATATCACGCAAAGTCCAAATAGTCCATCATTTTGTATTCACCCAAAGTCATTGTCAATTTTGATTACCAATTTGATTCAAATTACTTGGAACGTTGCAACAAACTTTTTCTGCCTAGGCAGTATAGGACACTTTTTGCTTGTTTAGTGTCATTGAAAAGGAATTTTCAATGTCATTTGGAATAAAAAAATGTACCGTTGAATGCAGATACTTTGGAACTGCGGGGTAAATTGGAACAAAACTTCCTTTTTTTCAAATTATTCCTGAAATTTACAGCTGATTTCATTTTAAAACATCGTATCGTGCATAGTTGTTCAGTATCGTTATATATTAGATTATTGAATTAAAAATAAGCGGCGTATAAATTTCGGTTCAAAAATGTTGTTCATCATATTGAAAATATAAGCAGGGATATGACAGAAAAAAATTGCATTGAAATCTTCATGTCAGAAGACATGATTGGATCAATATACGGCGTTCATTCCATATAGATTATATGAATAGTAATCATTTCATTCCCCTCGACCACCACCACCACGAAAGAGTTCATTTCAGACTTTGTTGCTACATGAAATTCTACTAGTCTTTTTTTTTGTTGGGAATTATATTATATATGAGAGATTTTTCAAGTTTTTTATGAAATGCATTCATAACAAGCTAGGTAATATAATGTATTACCATTGAAATATTTCATTTATTGCATTACTTCATCAAAAACTGATTCTTGATAGATTTAGAAAACCCATGATCCAAGTATATCCACGTATCAATAAATTGAATAGAACGGGACTTTTGTATTACTGTTCCAAGATTTAGAATCAGCGGGTAACTTTTGGAACAGCTATCTTTTTTTTTAAATCGCCCCAACGATTGAACAGGAAAGATGAATAATTATTTGAATAACTAGTATATCAACCCATACATCTTTCATGACACGGCATATTACGGCACTTTACCACGTATATTTTAACCTGAAAAGCGTTCCGAGTATCCCCATTCTACGGTATTTCATGAAGTAATCCTCCATAACTGAATCTGATTAATTATGTTTCAGCCTTGGAATGCATCATGACAACAGTGGTAACAGGTGTCCCAAAGAAGGTTATATAATGTCTCCATCCAGAGGTACAAATGGGGAGACTCAATGGTCAACATGTAGTGCGGATGTTGTAGCAAAATTAGGGTGAATAAAATATATGATATACTACAACAATTCAAAATATAAGTGTGACTATAACACCTGTGACTATAACAAAATGTTTGATGAATTAAATTGTCTTACCGAATCACCCTCTAGCTTTTTTTGATTCGAAGTAAACTTGGCATTTATAATTCGAATTCTGTTGCCATTAGGTAATTCAACTCAAAAAACTGACAGAAAAAATTACTCGTCCTACGGACTGGTGATCTTTTCAGAGGCAGTTTTTTCCATCATATTGACAGGCAACAAAATTCTTATTGATACTAATTACTAATTATAAGTAAAAAATGAGTAACAGATTTAATTTTCACTATTCATCATTCAGAAAATAAGTCCTCTATGTGTTTTTGTTTTAGATGGGCAAAATGTCTAAGGGATCCTGGCAAGTCTCCTAAGCATATGGATCACACAAGATTTCTGGACGTTCCTGGTCAAGTAATTACTGCAAACAAGCAGTGCGAAATTTTACTTCGTGACAAACAAGCTGTTATATTACCAAACCAGGATTTAGCTACAATCTGCTATAATCTACAGTGCAAAACACCACAGAGAAGTGGATACTATTTTGCTGGGCCAGCTTTAGAAGGAACTCAATGTGGAAACGGAAAGGTAATGTTCGGAAAGAAACAAGTTGCTAGTCAATAGACAATTAAAAAGCACTCTTGTTCTGGACTTTACCAGGTACCATCTTAAGGTTCAGAGAGTAGAAGATTTTTTTATGGGGAATCGGAGAACTGTACTCACTTGTAATTTTTGAGACGTTGGTATATAACTGACTTAATTAAAACATATTCAGCCTTTTTTTAATAACATGTTTTTCTCACACAGTAACTAGTAATGAAAAAAAAAAACTACATTGGATTTGTCTTTCTCAAGAGAGTGTTTGCTATAAGTACTCTGGGAAAATTCAGAGGGGGATTGTGTGTTTTATTTTATAAAAAAATCCTTGAAATGATATTAAAGTTATTAATGGTAAATAAATAATCAATATAATTAATATCATATGCTTCTTTACCGACGAGAGATACCGTCAGTATTGCAGAAAAATTAACTACATGAAAGGAAATCCCTATCATGTTCGAAGAATATCGTGCATACCTAGGGAGGATAGAGAGAGGAGGTATAGGCATTGGATTTTTTTAACTTCTTGGAGATAATAAGTTCTTGGAAATACTTCCTCAGGCAATGAAGAAACATTTTATCAACTATATCATTTTGTATGCAGTATTGTTATGGTGGTAGTTGCATAAGGAGAAATCTGCCGAAACCAGTGAAGGTCATACCAGGTGGATGGGGACCATGGAAAGAAGGAAGCTGTAGTTCTGGATGTACAGAAAAATCGATGGGTCACATTTCGAAAAGAAGATTCTGTAATAATCCCACACCGGTGAACACCGATCAAGGATGTACTGGTTCTGGTGTCGAGTTTGGCTTATGTGACGATAATAAGGTAAAAAAAAAACACCAATGCCAATACAAATGATACCGTTTTTTTAAAATGAGCTCTAACAAGTACTGAATCCCAAACAGTATAAGTACTAATGCATTTCACAATCGCGGAACTTTCAAAATTAACTCTCATTTGACTATACTAGAACATGAACCAAATAATTATCAATATATTTTTGCAGATATGTAGGTATAAAAAGCAATCAGTCATTGACTTTGCTTCCAAAAAGTGTCTTGAATTTTCGAAAGTGTTACCAGAGTTAGATAGGAATGGTTCGGGTCTACAAGCGCCACATGAAGAAGGTGAGTAATAGTATTTTGAGTATGGAAGGTGTAGGTTTATTTTTGTCGAGCTGGTTTGAAAGTGAGTTTCCATTGAATTTTTATTGGACTTTTTTTGTAAAATTTGTATATCGCTACCTCGAAGTACCGTATTGTCTTCCATATAATACTCCAACAAATCAACTGTATAAGGAAGCAAACACATTTTCTTTGGAAATTTCCTATTATATCATCAACAACTTATAATAATATAATAACTTGTTTCATCTTGAAGCTTCAAATTCTGAACTTGGACAAAAAAAGGTTGTACATGAAGCGGTTTCGAAATTCAATAACAGCCCAAATATTATACAATTCAAAAATGAAGTGAAGAAATACAGGGTGTCCCAAAATTAGCTTGCCAAACTTCACCAGCGGCTTTTACGACTAAAAATAGAAAGAAAACTCTCAATGAACATGAGTCGAGAAATGTCTCCTAAGGAAGCTACGGCCTCCTGAAAGGGAGGTCCTGAAGATGATATTTCTTGAGTATTTCCGAAACTCCATGTGATGAAAATGTGCAATTTAGTACAAGAACTAAACTTCCCATGCCCAATACAGCGAAAATAAAATCATTTCAAAATTTCAATCAGGAGTGTATAATACAGGGTGGGACTACATTAAATATTGCTCAAAATTTTTCGTATGCCAATTTAGTCTCGGATTATAAAAGTACACACCTCTTTACAGAAAAAAAGTACCCTTGTTCCGTGACGATCAGATGTATTATTATCGAGTAAAAGCAATTTAAAAAAATTGTTACATCTCAGATATTATGCATATGAAGCGTAGTGGAAATGAAAAAAGAAAGCAAAAAAATTTAAGTAGTTTTTTCATCATCATTTTCCTATTTTTTGCGCTTCTTTGAGACTGTTTGGTGAAAAGGAAGTACCTAATTTTTTTTAGTCACTATGATTTGAAAATTGGCAACGTTATGCATAAGATGTGAGTCCATCAATATTTTCAAATCGATTTCACTCGAAAATGATACATCTGATCGATGCGGAACAAGAGCACCTTTGTTCGTGAAATGGTGTGGATTTTGATAATCCAAGATTGAATTGTCAAAAAATATGTATACGAAAAATTTTAGCAATATTCAATGTAGTCCCACCCTGTATTATACACACCTGAAAGAAATTTTGGAATGATTTTATGTTCACCACATTGGGCATGGAAAGTTTAGTTGTTGTACCAAATTGCATCATTTTATCACGAGGGGTTTCGGAAATATCCAAGAAATATCATCTTCAGGAACCCTCTTTCGGGTATCAAAGATCGAATATGTCGGAGAACCGCTTAACAGTACTTGCCTTGTTGAATATACATCGTTATATGAGAATTAGTATAGATAATATTATAGACAGGTTCAGTTGAAGTACCTGTTTTTGTTTTTTACCTATCTGTTTTTTTATTCAGATGTATTTTCTGTTATACATTATCTCATTTTGGAGAATTATATTTGGTTCGAAGAACATTTTGTTAATTTATTCATAGTTACTCATTATTTCAAACAGAAAATATAAGAGCAAGAATTTTTTTGATTTTACTCATTAGAACCTTCCTATATAGCGATTATCCCCCCATGGAATTACCCTAGGTAGGTAGTTCGCAGTTTCGACGGTAACGGTTAATCAACTATTATTGTTTTAGCTCGGGTGTGGATGGGTTGTGCAATTTTTTGTAAAAATGCAGCTACAGGCACATTTTATACCCCACGAATCGAGCTGAATGATTTAGGATTATCAGCATATTTTCCAGATGGAACGTGGTGTCATAGAGAAAATGATATAAACTATTATTGTGTTCAACATCATTGTTTACCAGAAGTAAGTTTTTTTCCAATCATCAATATCATTATGAGAATTTTTTATCAAGTTGACGTTGTCTACCGTCAGGATCATCTTTTTTTATCAATAGTATATATAAGCTTTTTTAATAATCAAAAATAAATGATCTAAATGAACACCAAAGAATTACATTCTCCACAATAAAAATAGCACTGAATTTCGATACAACGTTCCTCTATAAACTACAAGTCCAAACAGTTATAACTTTTTCTTGATGTTCCAGAATTTCAAATTCACGAAATCATCAGATATTTTGGAAGACTTCTCATTTTTACAAAATGCAAGGCCCTCTCTTGACATTCCACAAGATATAAGAGATTATCTATCTCTGGATCAGAATGGAAAACCGATAAAGACAACTCTTTCCGAAATTGATCCCAAACCTAAGGATGAAGACTGGGAGACCAATGACTATGTTGAAGTACCAGGTTTGAAAGACAGATACAAGAGATTGCAATCTAATAATGTCTTTTAATGTAATATGATATTGTTTTTTTTTTAATTAAAAGGTTTAACAGCAATTTCAAATTTTATGAAATCCTCATAATTCACAATCATAGAATAATAATTATTTTTTCTTTCAGTACTATTTAGGATGACAACTTAGTTCGAACATATGTATTTAGGCTTTTTTGGGTAGATTTTGTATTTGATCTTAGAGGATATACAGGGAGCGGCAGAAAGTGTATGACTTTTATGAGTACTTCCATTCTATGTCTCTGGACATCCTTGAGATAATGAATTGGAATACATAATTTTCTGCACTAACCAGAAAGGCTAGTAGCTAGAGGTAGTACTACGTAGTACTCAACTTGCGGTTTAAGCAGGGGGAAATAACCTCGATTTTTTTAAATAAAAAACCCTGTATGTTACCTATAACATTATTGAATACTCATAACATCAAATTGTAGATATTTAACAATATAGCGGGTGACAACGAAATCATTTTTTAGATATTCTTTTGACATTTGGATCAAAGATATAATTCCTCAAAGCTGATATACACCATGAAAAACAATAGAATATCACTTCCGGTTTCACCGGAAATGCATATATAGGTCATGCATTTCGAATGGAACCCTGTTGATATTTTCACTCCAATCGATAGAGTAAAATATACCCTTTTCATAGACTTATCACGAATAGACATTTGTTTTTAAAATGGCGGCGTAGGAGACATCATTTTCTACAATCAATATGGCGACACTGTGATGTCATCGATTAAATTTTCGTCAAGAAATCTAATAAAATATCAAATAAACAAAGCGATAAGATTTTTATGAAACATGAAAAATTGAAAATTAGTATTTTTCAGTATACAGATAATTGCTCGACACACTAAGAGGTAGTAGTGCTCTCGTTAAACAATTTGTTTATTTTGAGCAAGTTTCAAATAGAACCGAACAAATAATATGTGAGGTCCCTCAAGTATCGATCTTAGGTCCTGTTTTATTTCTGATATACAGTGTGTCCACCCTGAGGATTTACCACCCCTGTAAAAACGTAATAATCTTATAAATTTTGAACGCGGGTCTACGGTTTGTAGTGACGGCCCTGTAAGAACAGAATAAAATTTCGTCAGAATCTCGATGCATAAAATAACAAGTAGCCTTTAGAAACAGCTAATCAACAATTATTATTGTTGTCAACATGATGGTTGTCAACCTTTTGTAATTATTCTGGAAGATACTCGAAGATTGAATGGTTTTCCTTATATCCAGAGAAACAAATAAAAAAATTACAATTTGCTGACTTTTGTGATATTTTTCAACGAAATGTTGATTTGTCATGTTCACAAAAAGAAAGGGAATTGAAATTTGATATTATAGGATCACAGCAATTTGAAGACAATTAATCGAATGCCCTAAAAATAAACATACTTGAAATGAAACACTATTGTTGAGGGCTCCAAAGGCTAAACGTTGCGAATATTATTTTCAGATCCGGCACTACTGATAACTCTCTCTTGAGAAACCCTGTATTTCTTCTATATTCCTCGAAATATTGGCATCTCCACACTAGGCATATTTTTCTCATTGATGATAATCACAGACGCTGGAAATTGTTTTCTTTTAGTTTTGAAGGCATTTTGAGAAATATAAAAGACACTTTCATCTACAGACAAAAATTATATACGGAGTGGCCTTTTGAAAACGAAACAAAGGCTCTGTAGGTCGCCAGAATCGGAATGCAATTTTAGATTCTCCCTGGAGAGCTGATTTCGTCAATGTACCACACTTGGGGTCTAGCGGGAATGATTACAGAGATATGGGGTGTTCAAAATCGAGATTTTTCAATCTAGGATTTTTTTGTCGAAACTATTCATTATTGATTAAAACGGTACGAATGTCCCTATCTCAGTTTTCGATTTACTATCTATTGACATTTAATTGAAACAGATACAGGGTGATCAGAATTCTGAACCTTGAACCACCCTGTATTTGTTCCCCACCTAAATGTCAGTAGGTAGTAAATCAAATTTCAAGATAGGGACATGTGAGTCGTTTTGACCAATGATGAATACTTTCAACACATAAAAATTCTGAAGTTGAAAAATCTCGATTTTGAACACCCTATATTTCTGTAATCATTACCGTTAGACCCCAAGTGTGATGCATCGATGGAATCAGCTCTTCAGGGAGAATCTGGGAATGCAATGGAATACAGGGTATTCTACATGAAATAACAAAGTTGTTTCTACTTTTGGATAGAAGCGGCAACGCCGCAGCGCTGAAAATATTTTAGAACGATGTCCCCCTTGAAAATGTAGTTGACATGTTCCAGTGTTTTTTTTAATATCTCGTACTGGTGACCTACAGAGCCTCTGTTTCGTTTTCAAAGTGCCACCCTGTACATATATTTGTAGGGGGTGATACTTTGCATAACATGTAACTTGTTGCAGAGAGTTCTACGTTTAGTCAAGCTCACTCGACAATATATGATAAATGGCAATAACCATTATAGGAGTAATTAAAAAAAAAACAGATTTTTTCCAGAAACTGAAAAAAAAAAAATAAAGACAAGTCGTACAAATCACATTTTTTGTGATCTTTTGTTATTTAGGGGTTCATGAGAACTAGGAATGAAGCAAGTCACATTAAGTATTTTGTAGGATAAAAGGAATATTTATTCAACCATGGAAGTGAATTACAATACAAGTTTTCGATAGTAAAAGTTACCACCTTCAGGCAAGTAGCATCACAAGATATGAAAACAAAATTACAGACTGAATAATAGTGTATGATACCGCTTTGTTCAATAATTGTTATTGAACTTTTGGATCAGCCAATTAAAAATATGAATAAAAACTGTCCATATTCCACCACATTTAAAATAAACTTAAAAACAACAATAATTGATACTTGGTTATCCTTAGAAATATAATGTATATAAACATAAATGCATCTCGCATTTTGTACCGGAAATTATTTACAAATTATTATTGGGAAACATATTCATAATAATGCAGGTTTCCCAATAACAAAACTGTACACTGTCGGACAACTGAAAACATAATAAATAATGAATACTTTAGTAATCTTGGTACAATCAGTACATATATGACATTATTGCAGCATCAAATCATTTCGTCAATTTCACAACACAAAATGTATAAAATATCCATAATTGAACCCTATGCTGGAACAACGTTGTAACCGCCAATATCTATAAAAACGGTATTTCCATGGAACAAGGCTGTATGCGACCTATACAATCCGCTGTCATGATAGTGTGGGCATAGGAAATTTTTATGGTGATTTCTGGTGTCATTTCGGTTAGTCAAGTTTGGAGAGTTTATGGAACAACGTTGTATGTGCCATCACGGCTTCTAGTTTCCCGCGCTCTTTCTTAGTTTACATGTGTTTGGTCTGTAGTTTATCGTCGTTATAAGCAGAAATGGACGTTTATTTGAAAGACTCAGTTATGACATAACTAAATAATAATAAAAATTCTTTGCCTTTTTTCACTTGTGCTTCATTTTCGATCTTGAAACAACGTTGTAACCGCCCTAGTTCCCTGGAATAACGTTGTAACCGACGTGGATATATAACGTTGTTTGATTGAAAAAGGAAAAATATGCTCGTAAATCATAATTCTGCATGTGGTCAGGTCTATTTTGCGTATCATGCAGTCAAGGTCTTCCTTGCTAGTCATATCAGGCAAATATTCACTCCATTTGATGGAACAATCGAACATATATATAGTTTTTTTCGATTTCCCAAAAAAAAAACATTTTTGGCGTTTACAACGTTGTTCCAGCATAGGGTTCAATTATTGAAAGAAGTCCAATTGATGGCAATTCGAAGCGATTTAGAGAGTTTATCGATACCAATATTCAGCAATGTATAGATCTTACTACTATCAATGCCTAGTAATGAAATAGATAATTTTCATATAATATTTGGGATGACAACGTTCGAGTATGAATCCTGGAATATCAATATTCTTTTTTGGTCGAATCGAATCCCAGTCTGAGGCAACATTTTTCACTTATGGATTATGCCCGAACGCTATCAGAATTGCGTTGAGTAACATTTAAAATTTCAATATGTCAAATAGATGTTTAATAGTTTCATTTCAGTTAGTCATAGAAAATTAGAGAAGTCACTGATTTTTAATTCTATAAACAATAGTGATATTCGATGTGTCAGCAGTGGCTTTACGAGAACTCATCAAAAATTGTTTTTCTACGATTACATGAAACGTGGAATTTGGTGTTTTCATTTGAGATCACAAAAATCACGTAATCTGAGGAGCAAGCAGCAAACTGTTTTTTTTTTTGTCACCACCAGCGCTAGAACCAAAAGACTACAGAAGTGAACTAAACTGGTCAACATTGATAACGTGGCCCAAAATATAGCCTGAAAACTCACGAATTTCCTTACCAATTTGAAATCGGTTTCCACCCATGATTAGCCTGATCTCTTGACAGTTTGTTGTGGCAATATGAATCTTCTGTAATTTCAGATAACATTGCAACAGGGTGATAATGGGCGTGTACACCTTAGTAGAACTTTTAACTCAAACCATGTTTATAATGATTCTTGTATACATAAATAATGATTGACGACATAATTCGATCGAAAAATTAACTGGAATGTTTTAGTTTTGGACATAAATAATAGTACCTTCTAAAAACGGACTTATGACGTAGAAACCTCATCTCGTCATAGTTGAAAGAAAATACCAAACGCCCGACGGGGACTGAGGCAACTGATATATTAATTCTTTCAACTGTGATCTCGCGCTGATTCACTCTGTCAGAAATCATGTATCATTCATCTCTGTCTGGAATAGTCTTGTTTCAGTATTAGGAATTTGACGTCACATCATCGCCTCCTTTTCAGAGGTCCGAGAAATCGGGGATTTCAATAATTTTTTATAAAACGTATGGAGCTCACAGCAAGCAACGGTTTGCGGTGGTGAGCTAGTTTGGGTGAGTTCTATCGAATTATGAATTTTTTTGTGATATAAGCCCATTGAATGGGTGTAAAATTGCATCGTGGTCGTTACCTTACCGTTTGAACAGATAATTTTTGTTATTTTTTTCCCACCTGTATCCTCTTGATTGAAGCTTCCTCTCGAAATGTTTCCGGAATTGTCAAATTCAGAGCTTTGATAATCGTTTTATGAATATTCATTCTAAATGATGCATTTTTTCGACGATTAATTGAATAAAATTGGAAGTTGGAATTCTTTTTCGAAGAATCAACGTTGAATGTATTGTCGTAAGATATGTGATTGTGTTCGAACACAGAAATTCTGGAGAAATCAGCGTTCATACATTAGACGACGCTGCAATTTCACACCCATTCAATTATCACCCTGTAGCAATGTTATCTGAAATTACAGAAGTTTCATATTGCCACAACAAACAGTCAAGCGATCAGGCTATTCATAGGAAAAAAAAACGATTTCAAATTGGTGGGGAAATTCCTGAGTAATTCTACTTTGAATTCCGGCTATATTTTGGACCACGGCGTTATCAATGTTAACCAGTTTATAAGACGAGTCACTCGTTCATTTACCGACATCTAAAAAGTCGCACCGCCCACTGGATTCTGTCAGTAACTGCCTACCGGCGCTTTTGAAATCGTCTCATTACCTGCCAACCGACTGGCGGCGGCGAAGGTACACTCGTCTTCAGAGATCATGTCGCACATGGACGGTGTCAGCTCCATTGATCACCGCTGCAATAAGAGCGCTCATACCGTCCAACCGCGACATGTTCGTTGAAGACGAGTGTACTAAGATATTACCTCCGGCTGGAATTTTGTGAAATGGTTAGGGGGGGGCATGAGGAAGTGCCATCTGCAAGGATATTGCTCAAAACCCCTGCAAAAGACACGTCAGACGACTCAAAAATGAAAAAATCCTTTCTCAGAAAATGATCGTACATCCAGCTAAAAATGCACACATTTCGTCAGACCTCTAGATTGCTGCCTAAGCGGTGTCAGATACAAATCATTTTCTTTCAGAAAAATTGTTTTCTCACCTCCGTCTGATGTTTCAACTCAACATGTTGCAACAGATACCATTCCTAGCACAAATTAAATCGTCAGGAGAAAATGTCACTGCAAAGTTTACATGTGATCATTTTGTGATTACAAAACTAGAATCTATTTGAATTCAAATATTCTGAAATGCGATTCCGCAGACAACAAATGAGATACATTATTATTAAAAAGTACACGTCTCAGACGGGCCGGAACTTAGTGAATCTTGTAGGGAGAATATGCAGTGACATTTTAATAATAATAATAAAGCGTCTTTATTCACAATGAGGAAACAATAAATGATTACATATAAATTTTGTGAGTCGAAGTGGGATCAAAGTGAAAGGGCGGAGTGTCAGCTTACGCTGTTTAGTGTCAGCTTACGCTTACATTTTCGTCTGACAATTTTAATTTGCCAAAGAAGGGAAGATTTGTATTTCGTGCAATTTTAATTTGTGCTTAGAATGGTTTATGTTGCAATATGTTGAAACGTCAGACGGGGGTAAGAAAAAACATTTTTTTTAAGAACATTACAACTTTGAGGGCATCTGACACCCCTTTGGCAGCGATCTAGACGTCTGACGATGTACATACGTACTGTGACTTTTAAACAGGTAATGTGCAAATTTTCAGCCAGTGGTACGATCATTTTTTGAGCAGGGATTTTTTCATTTTCGAGTCGTCTGACGTGTCTTTTGCAGGGGTTTTGAGCAAAATTCTTGCAGATGGCTCTTCCTCATGGATCCCCCAACCATTTCACAAAATTCCAGCCGAAGGTAATATAGTAGTATCTCGGCAGCCGGCAGCCAGAATTTAACAACGCCAAATGTGAAAGAATAAGGGGAGAAAAATAACTGTTTCGAGAATGGAAAACTAATCATAAATCAATTTCCATTCCAAATGAATATTCAGGACCTATAGAAACAAAGTTTCGAACTCATTTCTAACCGAATTATAATGCCACAAGCAGCTGAGTTGGTCAGATCATCGACTGTTGAAGTTGGCTGTCAAATCTTGCAGCAGAAGTTCGTTCGGAACAGTTCGAAATAAATAAAAAAAATTCTTCACGCGTTCATGACTGGATTTTCATAAGAATAAAAATTATGCGCTAATCTATTTTCTTCAGTTCGACGAGACCACGACAGAAAAATGTCCCTAGTGGTGGAAGAAATAAACAGGGTGTTGATGAATAAGTGCGGCAAACTTGAGGTTGTGAGTGATTCCATGTGATATTTAATGTGAGAAACTAAAATTTATATAAATATGTGTCCTAACTTGCTGACTTTTTGGAAATACAGGTTGGTGTAGTTAGATTCAAAATAATATTACCAGTAGCGTCACAGTGGGTCAATTTATCGATATTTATGGTGAATATCATAGTACGCCACTGGTTTTTCTGCGTTCCATACTCTTATTATATTGAACAAGTGAAATAACTTGTATCTTGTATCTCGCTTAGTTTTTGAGGAAACAATAAAAAATCGATTTGACTCCAAATTTTAATGTAGCTGCTCTCACCCATTCAGATTTCTCAATAACCTCAATGAGAGTCATTATGAAATTTTGGGACTATGTAAGTCTTCAACCATACCGAATTTTAGCAACATGGAAGCTCATACAGGAGGGTTGAAAACAAAAAACAATTGATACTTCCAACTTCAACATCCTGTATCTCAAAAACGAAGCAATTTAAGACACATGTTTATATGAACTTTTTTTTCTAAAATATCACAAGAAGTTTGTCGCACTTATTCATTCTGTATATACCATGGTAGTAAAGAATATTAGTATCACGAAACCTCAAACTCCTCGGCTGAAGCTTCGGGATATAATCTTGATCTCTTTTAATAATGATATTCTTTACCACCATGGTGTTTAAATAACTATTACTGCTTGTTAGTTATCATTATATATGTAATTATAAAATAATATCAAGTGATTTTAAATGTTAACTATGAACGTAAAACTTCTGCATGATTTAACATATATTTTTCAATAATTTCCATTCAATTAGGCTTCGAGACAGCCGCGCAATATACCCCTCTTATTGGGCAATGGCAAGAAACTAGCTTTATTCTCATCACCAATTTCATGAATTATAAGTGTTTCTAGAATTCTAGTATAGCACCGAATCTATTATGAATGCAACTGGAACAACTGGAAGTGGATTTCTATTTGAACAAGAAGTAATTTTTCATTTATAGTTTAGGATAATTTATAAATGGTGTAACTTTCCAAACATTGATATTAAATTACAAAATATCAAGTAACCGACCACATTCATCTCAAGATCCTCGATCCCTCAACATGTCACAATTCACTCCTTGGATTCAAATAAAAGAGGTAATAATAATAAATTGCATGAAAGTTACCGATAATTTTGCAAGAAAGCATATATGAAAATAACCGAATGCAATTTGAATAAGATATCACGCTTGAATGCAAAATTATCTGGTTAATTTTATACACGAATGTAATTCATTGAAATATTTCACGAATAAAGACATTCTCGAAAAAATGATGTTTTTTTATGGTGCACTCACCAATACGCGATACATTTTTTACTTTTTGAAGTCTTGACATTTATTTGTATTGTTTACACGGTTTCAGATGTGTTGATGTGGCTACGGGATGTTTTCGCAGTACAATGTTCGCTCTGCAGTCCAATTTCCTCTGTAATTTCTCGATAATTGCATTGCTTTTATGAGACATTTTATATATGAGAGAAATATTCATTGAATCGAGTATTATATTCATTCCGGTTTCCAGTTTCCTATTATTGACACCCCAAATAACCATACAATTTAGCATTGTCTGCTAAATATGGAGAAAAAAATCTAGTGAGCTGGAACTACTGGTCTTCCCAATAGCTCAGTTGAGTGTAGGACCACTAGAGGATGTTACCGTATCGTACGATATGATCGTCACTTTTTTCTAGAAAAATTTCGAAATTTGTGGTTATGTAAGTTGATTGTCAGTGTCAAGAGCTGTCATGCCATCGTGACTTGTTTTGAATTTTTTTCTAAAATATCATTCTTTTTCAATTCTCATTGTTCTAATATTCCTTTCGTTTATAGATATAGTTTTGTGTTGTGCTCCCAGTATTATAGTAGTTTATTCTGATCATCAATGTGTAACAAACTCTGTCTCCTCATATTGTGCCTACCAGAAATTGTGAAACCATCTCCATTCATGGATTTTCAAGTGATATTTCTTTGTGACATAATAGTGGATACATTCGATATTGAGTTCCCATAGTTTTGAATCTGAAAGATGTGGATCTTCTCCTTGATAAACATGTTTTCCTGATACAAGATGAGATCTGTGGATAAGATTCTTCATGATTCCTTTCTTTCTATTATAACCATATATTTGCTTATTCCTGATGAAAAACTTCATTTCCACAATTGATCCACAGCTGAGCACATCAAAAAACTGCACAGACCATAAAATAGGAATCACTGCTTTCCGAGCTGATTTCACTATTTGTCTTCCCACGCTTCACATCATCATTATCATGATCAATATGCACAGAATCCCGTATTTCGTCCAGGGCTGTAAGGGCCAGTATGCCAGTAAGGGGGCTCAGTCTCTACATATTTGTCATTCGTCCGTTGTAAAGCGTACCGTCGTGGCACGTTAAAAATCGCTCCTCTTTAGCTCGCAGTTTTAGGTGGTTAAAGAGTGTTTAATAGTTTCGTAATTTTCATAAATTAAAACTTAAAGAGTGTACTAAAGTTAGTGAGTGCAAACTTCATCAAAAGTTGCGTTACATCGAAGATATCCTTGATTTATAATCATTGGGTTCATCGTTCTTGGCTCAATCGAATAAGTTAAAACACAAAAAGGCGAATCGTGTTTTTCAGCCATGCCGGACATTTGTGGTTTTTGCTCGAATAATGTGAGTAGGTCAAACCCAGGAATACCGTGCAGTGGCGGGTGCTCGAAACTGTTCCACCTGAAATGTGCCAAATTACCGGCCTCGTTCGCGGACATACCGGGTGATGCAGGAGTGAGCTGGCTATGCACAAGCTGTAAAAATTCGAGGAAAACAAACAAAACTGCTAGCATGGATTCAGATCTGGTTGAAAGGCTGGTCAATTCCATAGATAATATGCAACTCGAAATAAAGTCTATTAAAACCGAGTTTCACGACTCTCTAAATTTCTACGGCGGCAAAATCGACGAATTTACTGCTCGAATGAACGATTTTCAAGTAACAGTCAATGCACTTCAAGGTCTGCGGGAAGAAGTAGATTCTATTGGAAAAGAATGTAGGAAACTTCGAACTGAGCTCGAATTGCTACACCAACAAGGGAGAAATCGCAATCTTGAAATATGTGGTGTACCGGAAGGTCGTAATGAAAATACCAAACGTCTAGTCCAAAGCATTTGCTCAAAATTACAGGTCGAAATCAAAGAAGAAGACTTCGAAGAATGTCACAGAGTGGCCACTTTCCCTAACGCTAATGGAACAACCAATCACAAAAATATTGTTGTGAAATTCTACTCTCGCTCTATCAGGTCTGCAATTCTGGAAAAGCAGCGTAGCTTGAGACATAATATAAACCTGAACGACGTAGGTTTTCAAGGGGAGGGGCGTATCTTCATTAATGAACATTTATCACCATTCTTCAAACAGCTCTTTAGAAAAGCTAGAGAGGCATGCAAAAAACATAACTATAAGTTTTGCTGGATAAGAGATGGTAAAATATTCGTCAAAAAGACTGAATCCAGTCGTCCAATACACATCATAGATGAAGAAATCCTTCGTATTTCAGTCAGAGCCTAACTAACTCACATTTATACCAGTCATATCTCTGGATATTCAGCTTGCAGAATTCGATAATCCGAGACTATTCTATCAAAATACCAGAGGCCTTAGGACAAAAACTAATGAATTTTATCAATCAGTGTGTAGTTGCGAATTCCAGTTCATCTGTATAACAGAAACTTGGCTAAACGACAGTGTGCTGTCTTCCGAACTATTTCCACCATCGTATATTGTGCACAGAAACGACCGTGACCCTGTGTTGAGTGGTAAATGTGAGGGTGGCGGGGTTTTAGTTGCTGTAAGTAGTGAGTTTTCATCAATGCACATCCCTGAATGGTCCAGTACAGGGTTGATTGAAGATATATGGATCACCGTTACGCTGAACGATGGTAAAAAACTATTACTCTGTTGTGTGTATGCTCCACCAATCTGTAAAGCTGTTGACTATATTAATCACATGAACAAAGTCGAAGAAATTATAAATGCCAACCATAATGACTATGTGATAATTATTGGTGACTATAATTTACCGAATTTACAATGGCGTGAAACGGCATATACAACTGTTGGTTTGATACCTTTCAACGTTTCTGATAGCATTAGTGAATTATTTGTTAATAACATTTCTTTGCTAGAACTTGGTCAATTCAACAACATTCAGAATTATTATAGTAAAACTTTAGATCTTGCTTTGTCCAAAAATGTCCCTTTAAAGGTAACAGCCGGTAGATATCCCTTTGTCAAGGAAGACAAGCATCATAGGTCGATAGAAGTTGATTTCTCCTTACACATAGAAAAGTACCTTCCGAAAAAAAGTTACGAAAGGCTGCTATTTTCAAAAGCGGACTATATAGGATTAAATGAACATTTCAGCTCCATATCTTGGACAGACAGTTTACACAACCTCGGGGTGGACGAGGCGGTTGATGTTTTTTATGATATTATTGATCAAGCAATTGAACTATTCGTCCCCAAACTGAAAGTTAGGAATTCCAATTTTCCAGCTTGGTTCTCCAAGAACACCATTAAACTTGTCAGAGAGAAAGAAAAGTTTCGTAAACTTTGGAAGAGGTTTGACAATCAATCTGATTATGATCTTTACTGTTTTTACAGAAGGATTTCAAAGGCTCACATAAAAACAGATCACAAAAAATTCCTCAAAAAATCAGAAGACAACATAAATCGTAACCCAAAACTTTTCTGGTCGTATCTATCAGCGGTAAAAAAAAGCCACATGCTTCCACAGAATATGCGACTTGATGACATATCTGCCTCTGATGACAGATCAATTTGCGGATTATTTTCATCATATTTCAATCAAGTATTTGAGCCTGACTCCACGCCTTCACTCCTCGAAGTCGAAGCACCGAAGGGTAATTTCGACATTAGAGTTATAACAAAAAAACAAATAATCAATGTTTTAGCAGGAATGGATATAAATAAAGGGGCGGGACCAGACGGAATTCCTGCCATTTTCTTAAAGTCGTGTAGACACAGTTTAATCGAACCTCTGTACATTATTTTCAATAGGTCATTGACACATGGTGTGTTTCCTGAAAAATGGAAACTTGCTAAGGTCATACCCATTTTCAAATCAGGTAATAAGAATGATGTCAAAAATTACCGACCCATTTCCCTACTTAATTTGTTAGGTAAAATACTGGAGGCCATAATCACAAATGAACTTTTTTTCTTGACAAAAAATTATATTTCAGTCCATCAGCATGGTTTCTTCAAAAAAAGATCAGTCGTTACTAACTTGGCACCTTATGTTCAAGATATTCACGAACAGATGGAGAGAAGGATACCAGTGTGTGCCGTGTACACCGACTTTTCCAAGGCCTTCGATAAGGTACACCACCCGACCTTGTTAATTAGGCTTGGAAACTTCGGTGTGCAGGGCAACTTGCTTCAGTTACTTTCCTCATACATAAGTAATAGAAGTCAGTACGTGGCTATTAATAACTGTGCGTCAAGATCTTATAGTATAACATCCGGAGTACCACAGGGATCCCATCTGGGTCCTCTGCTTTTCAGCATATTTCTCAGTGACGCTGAAAAATACCTAAAGCACTGCAAAATATCCATGTATGCTGACGACATCAAAATTTTTAAATACATTAACGAAGATTCGGATATTTTAAAGTTACAAACTGATATAAATAATTTCACCAAGTATTGTGCCACATATCGGCTTTTCTTGAATATAAAGAAATGTCACCAGATTACTTTCACTCGAAATCTGAACCCCACTATGATTCAACTACAATTGAATGATGTCCCCATCAATGTAGCTTCTGAGGTGACTGACTTGGGAGTGAGGCTTGATGGCAAACTCTCTTTTGAAGCTCAAATTGAACATATTGTGCAAAAATCTTTGAGGACCCTAGGTTTCGTTCTAAGAAGCACTACAGAGTTTCAGGACTACCGATCTGTGATTAAAATTTTTAACTCGTTAGTCAGGCCAACACTTGAATACTGTAGCACTATATGGAATCCTGCGTATGATAAATACATTAAACGCATCGAATTTGTTCAGAAAAAGCTCGTCAATGTTCTCAATTACAGGTTTCATCGGTACAGACATTACTTTTCATACCAAAGTAATCTGACTTTTTATAGGCTAGAGTATCTCACCATGAGACGTGATTTTATTGACATTTATCTTGTGTTCAAAATTTTCAATGATCTTATAGACTGTCCACATTTAACTGATCGCTTCTATCTTAGATGTAACCCCTATAACACTCGTGTTAAACAAACCTTCCAAATTCCTCACTACACGAATAATTACTCAGGTAATGCACCCATCACACGTTGTATCATAACATTTAATACCATGGTAAGCGACTCCTCTATTGATATATTTCGTGCCTCAAAATCCATAAAAAAAAAGTTGAAGGAACTTCTTGTATCGATGTATGTTGCTCTCCCCTGATGAATGTGATGAATTTATCAAGTTTTGCATACGTTCGTATGGCTTTCTTTTTCTCTCTTCTCCTTTTTTTCCTCTCCTATTGGATTAGTTCTTATTTGTATCATTGATGAATTACACGAACTTATTACTTTGTTTGCATGTGTATTTTGCTATCATTTCTCTTTCCTAATTAATTTTTGTATCTTTTATTTTTTGCACAATTATTATAACTGCATTTATAACTCACAAAATGTTCACCCATAATAGATATTTATTTTCTGTTTATTATTAGGATTCTAGATTTAGGTACGCATATGTATGTATTATTTTGTAATATGTGCCTCCTTGTCATTGGGCTTGCGCCTGTTAGGGGGCCTGCACATAAATAAATAAATAAATAAATAAATATCTCCATTATCTGCATGAACTATTTTTGAATTGTTGAGTGACTGAGTGACCGTGTCCCGTGAATTTCCGAATGTCGTGACTGAACTCAAACTCACTAATAAAACTAAACAAACTATGCCGCCGGCCGAGACTTCCGAGCCGAGAGCACCGCTGAGAGGGAGGGAGGCTTAACTCATTCAGGATTTTTAAGGTTATGTAGGTTTGACAGGAAAACAATTGAATTGAGTGTTTCCTCGAGTTGACCGTATGGCGGTACTACTGTATCGGCCACAGAACGCTGTAGGTGATTTCCCTTGTTTGGGCAGACCAGATACTCCAGCTCACTAGATTTTTTTCTCCATATTTAGCAGACAATGCAATTTAGTATCTTCGTCTACTTCACACCGCCACTACCATGAACTTGAATGTTCAAATGACAATGAGGAGGGGTTGAGTGATACATTTACATTTCATGACAGTTAATCCTTGGATTCTCTAAATAACTAATGCGCGTATTTTTTCTACTTTCACACAATAGTCGAAAAATTCACACTCGATAACTACCGAATCAGAATTGAAAAAAAAATTGTTTCCTTGTCCGTCTGTAGAAGAAAAGAGCATCAATCATAGCATTGTTATAGGTTTCCAACAATGATTGAGTGCCACGTGACCGTTTTGAAAATAATGTAAGTATTCTTGATTATTCATACTCATGCCCTTCGGTGAATATTAAAAAAATTCAATGATTGCGCATATTTAATGGCAATCACCCAGTTATGAGTAAAGTGGAGTGTTGGAAACATGCCTAGCTCCAAACATTTTGATTGACTTTAACAGGATGTTTGGAACGTGAAATAGTTCGGTATAAATAGAATGTCGCCAATATGTTCAAGCACTCCCGCTAGTAATTTCTGAAGAATAGACCGAAAGATACTATACAGGGTGATTTACGTAGGCCACACATCAGAAGTTATGAAATGAAAGCTATTCATGCCGACCCAGCGTCGTTTGCTATTGTTTTGCCGTAACGGTAACTTCTAGTAAGCTGGTATCGGGCAGGTGAAAAGCAAACCGGCATTGTTTGCTGGGAACTGACAGATCTAGAGACCTTTTGTCATTTGAAATTTTTATTGGGGTGGTAGGCTCTAGCGCACCCAGATTACCCACAAGACCCAAAACAATGTCGAAAAAAATACGAATACATAGTGTGACTTCTTCTGTATACTCAGTATGATGCTTTTTTGTATCTGATCGACTTTCAAGTGACGTGAAAACAATATTTTTTTGTGCAATCGTACGCGACGAGAGTACTTCGCGTTCTCAGACAGGACGCCGTTACCCACAGCAATGGCCGCCAAACGAAGGAATTTGACATTCCTAAACTACGAAAATTGCAAGGTTATTCAGTGTCAGATCAAATTTTCGTTTCGTCAAACTGTCGAAATATTCTGTATTCATTCAACATGTTATTTCAGTTATCTAGTTCAATGAACCATTGCACGAAAAATAGTGTGTATACCATGGCCGCGAAACGTTTTGGCGCCCTCAAGATTATCTTGCCTTGGCGATAACTTTTCTTTTGGCACGCCAAATGGTACTTCGCGGCATAGCCCGTTAATGGAGTTTTGTGAAAAACTATAGAAAAATGCATGTCTAGAAGTACCATTTATTATTCAGTTGCGAATTCTGGAAAATTACCGAAATCGTTCCGAGATGAAGTCTCAATCGCTCTTAATATACTGATTTTTCATCAGAAAAAAAAATTCTGGTGCCAGACAGCATCGCACAAATAGACCATAGTCTAATGGTTCTATTTTACACCTTGTGAATGTTTCAATATGCTGATGATCTCAAATTTCATAGCTTTGTTGGAATGGAATGGAATAATGAAAATTCAATGCCGGAAACCGAAAGTCAATCAATAGCTCGATTTTTTCTGAAAATAAACCTTTTCAAAAATATGTCAAATTATTTGTGGTTCGTTTTATGTGTGGAGAACTCTAATTATTTCTAAGACATTTGAACACACTGACTGAAACATGAGAAACTGTACATACTCCCACCACGAACATATGCCCCCGAGAGGAATATCTAATTAGGAAATATCTTCTTCTCTTCTTGACTAATATATAGGGTGATTTACGGGCGTTGGCAAAACTTGTTTTTGTCATAACTTTCCAATATCTTCTTTGATTCGTCTGAATTTTTCATGGAATATTTTGCTAATATTCTCTAATCGACTGATTAATTGAGAATCGGAAAAATCCAGGACATTTCTTGAATGATTTTACTAGTTTAGTTTAAATCAAAAAATTCATCCTGCATATGGTTGTTGTGAACTATGAAAGAGCATTTTCAAAGGTCACAAACAAACATCAAAAATAAAATATTCAAAAATTTCCTCACACTCACTGAATTCATATATCAAGTAAAACCGAAATTTTGGAAAAAAAAGTTACTTATTATACAAGGGAGAAAAGTAGTAGACTTCAGCTCGTGGTTGTGTTGTTTTCCGACGCGTAGCGGAGGGAAACAAAAAACCGTGAGCTAAAATCTAATAAATTTCCCGTGTATAATACACAATTTTTTTCTGTGACAGGAAAGAAGGTCCAATCAATATTGAGAAGATATTACATTATACATCAGGAATGTTTTTAACAGGAGTTACACCTGCGTTGCAGGCTTTATTTTGCAGGCATCTTTATCAATCTTTCGAAATAATCAAATATCTGTCAGTCTAATTCTGTGATTTGATTTCTAAAAATTGTGAATTTAGTGGTTGTTGAGTAATTTACGTTGCCGTGAAGTGGAATGGAAGATATATAGTTTATCCAAAAACAATTACAGAGTCTCGTGCCGCACCTGCAATCACTTCAAAGGGAACTTAAAACTCTCCTACGCCGCACAGTGCGGGATATTCTGCAATTGATATTGGATGTACTATAAAAGGACTTGCTGTTCTTTCTTTGAGGCGGTTTTATTGGCTTCAACAGTGAATATATATATATATATCAGGGCAAAAAGTCGTTTATGAAAAGTGACATTTTATAACATGTCAACAGAGATGAAATGTCAAAATTAATAAAAGTAACTTACATTTTAAATGCTTGAGCTCAATGGACATCAGCAAATTTTTATTTGTTGGCCTGGATTTAGTCATTTTATTTTTTTGTAGAGGTTGATAATCACCCACCCTGTAGATCTTTTCCGAATCAGTGGATGAGGCATCTGTATGGATGTGTATGGATGTTAATGGCCACCGATTTAAATAACTATGATTTTAATCCTCAGTTCTATCTATTTGATTTTTTTATTCAGTTCTTTTGCTCACTAATTTTCCGTATAGAATAAATTATCCCCCTTTGTTAGCCTTTGGGCACGGAAAATTGTGAAAAAAACTTATTTTCTGTTCAACTATTTCAAATAATTAGAATCGATGGCCATCACATCTATACAGATACCCCATGCGCTAATTCTAGAAAGATTAACAGGGTGATTATTACCGTCCACAATGAAATAAATGACGAAATCATTCAACATATCCATTGACCTAAAGGTGCCTAAAGCATTGAAAATGAATTGTCTTACTTTTATTCGTGAAACTTTAATTTTTGATAGAAATTTATAGTTTTTCAAGAAAATCAGTGAAAGTGTGATGAAGATTTTGAATATTTTATTTTTGATGCATCTCTGTGACCTTTGAAAATCCCCTGTCACAGTTCACAAAAACCATATACAGGATGAACTTTTTCATATAAACTAAACCAGCAAAATTTTTCAAGGATGGTCCAAGATTTTCTAGATTCTTAATAAGTCAGTAGATTAGAGGGTAGTAGCATATTCTATTAGAAAATCAGTCGAACCTAAGAAGCTGTTGAAAAGTTAATGACCACGAGATGTTTTTACCAAATCCCATATCACACTATACATTAGTAAATAAGAGGAGTAGACACTTTCTGATGATCATTAGGCATAGTGGAAGGAAAAGATGGTGTGCTCAACAGAAAGCTCAAATCCGTCTTGTTCTGCGCATGACGTCAGCTGGGATATAACTGTCATTGCTATTATTTGTTTTCGTGATTGATGTCTCGAACTTCAGATATTATATGAATACTAAAATTGTATGATATATTTTCAAAATGCCCACTTGTTTCGTTTCTGGTTATGGAAATTCCAACTAACATACAAAAGGCAGAGATTTTGAATTTTTCTGCTTTTCCAAGAATGGAGACCTAATGAAACGATGGGAGCTTGATGCCGACAGAATATAAACTCAAATAATGGTACCTACCTTATATTCCTTATATCCTCATTCCAAAGTATTCTCCTATCATATTATCATCACATTCATATTACAGCACGTATTTCTTCAAAATATTTCCATGCAAAATGTTCCCAAACAACTGCGAAAGTACAATTCTTGACAAAAAATCACAAATATTTGAAACAAGATGCCATTCCTACAGAACATCTTCCGTCGAATATCAAGTCAGAAATAATTGAAAATGAATTCCAAACTCTTAATTTCTCACAAAATATAAATTGCAGCAAAGATTTGAATAACAAAACGGCAAAAATTGATACTCCTGTTGTCGATGTCGGAGCAGAAGCAACGTCAACGTCGTTAACTGCTGAATTTGAATCTGTCAGAATCGACACAGTAGTGGATTATTCAGATGGGATTGGCAATGCATGATAATTCGTATGTTTTTGCTATTTGCGATTGCGAATTACCTCAACGTCACAATCTCCAGAATCAATGAAATAGTAAAATCGAAGGAATAGGTACCTGTTTATATAAATTGACTTATTTCTAAACAGATCGCGAAACTCGTAGAAATTTCAACAAACGTGATTGAATTCATTGCGCCCGCCCATGGCAACGGTAATGTCTGTGACTAGCAGCTGATATGGGTATCCCAGATGACGTCACATAATATGCGCGTAGGCACACCATCTTCTCCTTCCACTATGATCATTAGGTATTCCTTTCAGGGGCATCTATTCATAGTAGGAGTATGTATGTACTCAACCTGTATATCAAATAAATGTAATGTAACATAGGAATCACCTGTGTGACAAAAAGTTGGGACCATAAGGGCACCAGATTTGGACAAGTGATTCTACTAAACTCGAATGGGCCCATTGAGTTTATGCCGGATTGGAGATCGTTGAGATGAACGTCGCTATCATTTAGTATCATAGATAAAAAGTTGAGGATGGATTGGAAAAGGTATATTATTAACCTATCTCTAGGTTGTTTTTTATTATAATTATTATTAGCATGTATCAGCTAAACAACGGTTTGTCTCTGACATGGATATGCGAGTTTTTAATTATTAGCATTCATTTGAGAGTATTTATTGCTAATGGTTGACAGTCATTGCGCAAAAGTATTGTAACATGATGGTGAATCATCCCAGACAATGAATATTGTAATTGGGTTTTATTGAATTGATATTAGTATTTTTACGTAAAATGATGTTATCATAATGATTTTATGTAGTTAGTAGTGCAGAAAGCCTTTAGTACAGTGAGAGAATATCAAAGAATTTTCATTCTTGGTATTCAGAAAACTGGAAGTAGTTTAAAATTGCATTCTCCAGGATACATTTCTAAATTCTTTCACAAATGTATAACATCGAATGGCAATAATTTCTCAAGTTATTATTAATGAATGTCATTAGGTGTTGACTGATTTATTGTTCATTCTTTTATATTCCATATGACGACCAAATTCAACTAACTAGAAATGGCTTGAATACCGTTAAGGATGGAATAATTGATTTTATACAGACTTGCATGATTCTGACAAAATTATACATTTTAGAATAAGATGAATTTAATATTAATGAATCTGAAATTCAGAGCAATGTTTGATTAATAACTTTTTTGGACTTGTACAATATTTCGTGTTACAGAATTTGGTTTATTAGTAAAAAAAACTTACAAAGTAATTACAAATATAGAATTCAAAAATGATCTCTCTGTACATGTTTTAATAAAAATCGATAATATCATCTTACGTTTTCTCTCATTTATTCCTTACCTATGTATACAGTTCTTATCCCACCACCAAAATTCGAGAATTTTTTCAGTAGCCCGACGTGATAATCTATAAATTTCTTCAATTTTATATATCACAGTTCGCTAACAAATAACTCAGGTAATAAACAGGTTGTTTCGGGATAGTTTAGAAAAGCAGTGTCATTGTCATTCCTAACAAATAACTCTTGCAATTTGTTTTCAGGTGTTCGTTGGTTGCGAAGGTAACCTTTCATACAAAGGTTTGGCATAAACATATGAATCCTCACCATTCTTCACAAACAGCTGAAATCATAAAAAGTACTTCTTGGATATATGTTTTGAATTAGGAACACAAACTGCATTGATTGCATATCATACATACAATAATATGCCATTTCATTTAGATGACGACTAATCCAGTGGCTCGAGTTTTTTTTTATTTGAAAACAATGGACCCATAAAGAGTCCACTTCACTTTCGAACTCCAACAGATACAAATGGTACATGCACATGAAATGGCAAGAGGAATGGTATACATTGAATACAGAAAGAAAAAAGTGCAATAACGAACGCCCATGTCTTTTGATGAATCAAAAATTGGTTTTAAAACCGAGCATATGCGCCTCACATGATCATTAACTTAGAATGCCTATTTCAATCACTCACATACGAGGTGTTCTTGAAGTACATATATTCAGCATATTGATTCCCATATCAGATTTTTTTTATTCTTTCAATCAACAAAAAATTGTATCCCGAAAATTCAATAAAAAACGGAAAAAATCAAGTACGCCACTTAAAAACAATTTGACACGTTCGCGGACAGTGGGTGCTGAAGTTGGACTCTCCTTTTTGTACCAAATTTTGGATTTCAACGGGGATTGGATTCCCAGAAATTTTCTCACATTAAGTTCAGTTTAATGAAAAAATGAGGCTGCTACTGCAGTCATGTCACTTCATATCATTTCACTTGATTCATAGGAACACGGCTGCAATTGCAGTTCATATATTTTATAAGTATACATAATGAAATTTGATAGAATGTATCATTTGTGAAAATTTTCGATACATTGGACACATAAATCCGGTCTATTTTCACATATTTTGCACCTCCAACAGGTTTTTACTTTTTTGTAATCCTTAGCTGTCTGCAACGCAAAAAATAGCTTCTACGACGGTAATTTTCAGGAAGAGGCATTTTCTCTATTAAATGTGGATCATAGTTTGCATTCGTATCTGGTGGTTATTCATTAATTCAAGCATGCCTTCGCATTGTGCTGTTGTCCAATGCACAAAAAATGCAGACGAAGAAATATGATTTTTCAGGTAAATAGTAATCTCACTTCGTTATCATTATGAAATGTTGTCATTCCTTATTAAAATTCCTTCTGCCTTCTGCCACTTCTGCAATACAAGATAATACTGCTAATAGATTGAAAATGTCTACAACACACACGATCATCAGCATGTCAGACCAGTCCTCCCGATTGATTGCATGAATCCAATCTTCTTGCATTATTCTAGAAATTTCAGGTATATTTCTATTAGCTCTTGATGAGAAATCAGAGAAATAACCAAATTTCAAAAATGAAAACTACATGTGAGTGACTATAGTAGGTACTTACTTTTAAATCATAATAAACCATCCGGATTCCTTCATCTTCTGCTGCAGTTTTTGTGCATTTTACAACAGCACAATGTGATGGCATGAGCGAATTGATGAATAGCGGAAAAATACGATTCATATGCCAAAATAATTGTGGAAAACTATTTCGATCACTTGTAAACAAATAAGAAAAGTGACGTTGTGTTTCAATGTTTTGCTTCCAGCGTCGGTCATCTGACAGCTCTTGCACGCAACCCATAGACAATAAAAGCGTTCATAGCGGTTATATCTTATGCGTGAAACATCACTTTTTGTACCATCTGATGGATATTGAGAATTATTGTGATGAATATGGAAATCATCTGTTATCGCAGTCGTGCTCTCAATATTGGAATACTTCAAGTCCGCTATTGCAGTCGTGGCCCACTGGAAGATGTACCAAATGACTGTGATTGCAGTTGTGTCCGCGAACGTGTTAAATGACTCCGCCTGATTGTGCCTTCCGCACAAAAATTTGAATAGAGGTGGCATCAGAATTACTACAGTGTAGAACTTTGTGTGAAAAAAGGGGTCTCACCCCAAATTTTATTCTGAACCCTATATGTTTTTTATTGGTACCATCCGATAGTATACGGCGAGCTTTCTCAGGGTTTGAAATATTTGCACTTATTTCAATACCACTCCGTATTACTATGTAGACCACCTAATACCATAAGAAAGAAGCTATGCCAGTCACGAGATCAAACTGGAGATCATAAGAGCCATTTTATCAATCGTCAATCAAAATTCTTTGCTAGGTAACAGTCAACTGTGACTTTCATGTGTTTGACAGATCAAAAAGTGTTTATCCACTATAGCTTCAGCTGATAGTTTCGTAGCTTACAGCTGCCAATACTAATTAGATTGAATATTACCTTTGTATGCCACTCCTCCCCACTTTCTTTCCTATCTTTCGCCTCCTCCCTCTGTTTCTGTTCCAACGCTTGTTTGGCATTCGTCGCCCTATCTATTTCATTGAACTTCAATCCAGCTGTCACTTCCTTCCACAGCCGGCGTGATTCGTTCACCTCCTGTTGGCTAATCGGTTTCACTTGTTTCTTAACGATGTTCAAGGTGTTGGTGTCGACTTGTTCCTCGACCTCCTAGAAAAAAGAGAATGCCATGAAAACAAATGTTCCTGATTGATGGTGACACCTCAGACCCTTCAACTTCGTGCTTAGCACTATGGTCTAAGTGGTAGTTGCGAATGCAATGACAATTTCAAAATTCAACAGTCACCTAATTATCCATAGAAAATATTTTCGTGCAATCGTACGCTAACAGAGTACTTCGCGTTCTCTACACAGTACTCGAAATACAACTTCGCAACCGTTGCCCATAGCAAGCTTCTGCAGACTAGAAGAATGAGAGGTTTGCTGGTATCTGGTTATATGTTGAATGTTGCTCAACAACTGGAATGCTATGTCTCACGCTAGACTATCAACTATTATAGACTCCCCCATATTGAAGTAACGATTACGCCCTCTAAGGTTTATGTCCGGTCACTGTAGTAGTGGAATAGTATGAACTGTTAAAATTTGTGTGAAATTATTTTTGTGCTTCTCATTAATGATAATCAATTACTTATAATCGAAATTGAAGTTTCTCAATGTACTTGACACTATTGGTTTGACGTTTTTTTATATTCAAAGTACGGCCACAAGGACAAGCAGTGGCAGTAAGACAAAACTACAAATGATTTTGAAGCAGATCATATGTTCCTTGGATTCCGCACTCCTTTTTTAGTGACAATTTTTGAATATTTCTGCTATAAATAGTCGAAAATTTTCTCGTTCCATTTTTTGTTCTAAATCAGTTGGTTCTTTTCAATGTTTATTCTTTTTTATGAATCGACTCGGCCGTTACTAGATGGAAATCCATAGTGAATGTAAAAGATTTCACAAACGATAAGATTTCCTTGAAGCAGCTTATGTTTCGTTTCCATTTTTGTTTTAATTAATGGGAATTCGAATGAAGTTAATCGAATCCCAGCATATTTGCAGTTGCAAACAGCACCACCTTGCATCTCATTTTTCTCCCAATTTGTTCATAGGTCGACAAACCATTGAAATTGATGTTATGTACGTTCGTGTACTATCAGTTCCCGCCTTTTCCATCTATTTCTAGTGGTTATGTCTGACAGTAATGGCGTGTCAGTGTTGAAAAAACGTGAACATTTAGTCAGGTCGAGTACATTAAACAACTCTAACCAACATTATCTCAGATTGATATAATTCCTGGATTACGGATTTAAAAACGACCATTGGAACCATGCGAAGAATTCATCTAAAAATATCTTCGCTTAAAAATTTGACGTTTTTTTCAGAGCAGCAATTCAGATATCTAGCGAAAACCCGATTCGCACACCTTGTCAGTCTACTTGTGTACTCCATCGCGTTGTTCCACTAGCCGTTCACCGACAAGAACTACTTTTTCCTTCTCGGGCGCAAACTCCGGCTTGTGACGAACTCGATCGTGCAATTGTAGCCCGTCTTCGGGCAGCCGATCGTCACCGTACCGCCCAACTCTATCCAGGGCACGGTGAGGATGGAGGGACCGTAGCCGTTGGGGAAGTATCATGTTTTTATTTCTCAACTAGACATTTGGCTTTTGCTGTCAGAAAAGCATTCTCAGACCAGCTGACAGAAAAATAACTAACGGCAATAACATGGTGCACTGCATATTTGAAACGTTTACACGATGAAGCCGTACTTTGAATCATTATTTGAAATTTTTCTGAAGATCAGACTGCGCTGACCCAGTGGTTTGGCTTCTGCAGACTAGAAGAATGTGAGGTTTGCTGGTACCTGGTGAAGATATATGTTGAATCGTGCTCAACAACTGGAATGCTAGGTCTCACGCTAGACTTCAAACTATATGAGCGCCCAATTTGAAATTGTTATCCTTCGAGGTTTATGTCCAATCGCAATGTAGTATCATATGAAATGATATCACTCGTATAAAATGGATTTTGGTTACAGATGATAATCAATTACTTACCTTGTCAGTCCACTTGTATTCCATCACGCTGTTCCACTCGCCGCTCACCGACAGAAATGGCTTCTTCTCCTCGGGCGCGAACACCTCGGCAAGGATCTTGTGCTTCTTGTTGCCGTAGAACGGCTTCGTGACGAACTCGATCGTGCAATTGTAGCCCGTCTTCGGGCAGCCGATCGTCACCGTACCGCCCAACTCGATCCAGGGCACGGTGAGGATGGAGCGACCGTAGCCGTTGGGAAAGGTGAGGATGTACTGCTCGTCGTAGTCGAGGACGTCGACCACGCCACGGCCGATGTTGTACACGCAGACGGAGAGGCCGAGGAATTTGGATTTGGTGTAGACGTGCGCGGTGAAGCACAACCGTCTGTTGTAGTGCTCGGCGTAGAAGGCTGATACTGGAAAATGGTCACAATGTATAGTAATCATAAAGATGGAAAGCTCTAATTTCGAGTAACAATGGAAAATGAAATAACTCCACCGCCCCGTGTGAGAGTCGAACTCACAACCTCTGGGTTACATGCCCATCGCTCTGCCAATTGAGCTAACGGGTCATCCGTCGATCAATCGGCAGGGAGTTCGAGTTCTCATCACACACCAGGCGACAGAATCCTTCCAATTCCCGAAGTCACTCAAAATCATGCACCATACGAAGCATCGCTGGCAGGATGGCATTGAAGATGGAAAGCCCTAATTTCGAGTGACAATGGTCACTGGTGGAGTTATATGTTGAATCCTCCTCAACAACTGAAATGCTAGGTCTCACGCTAGAGTTTAAACTATATGAGCGCCCCATTTGAATTGCTATTCTTCAAGGTTTATGTCCGATCGCAGTGTAGTAGGAAAATAATATGAAAAGATATCACTCGTATAAAATGGATTTTGGGGTTTTATAGATGAAAATCAATTAATGATAATGAATTCCTGAAATATGGATCTCTGGGTTTTCATTTTCCATTGTCACTCGAAATTAGGGCTTTTCATCTTTATCATTACATGAATCTTTTGGTTGAGTAACCGACAAACATTATGACTTGACTCCTATGTATGATTGCCTTTGGACATTGCCGTATACAAGGAAAGACAATGCCAGAGGACGAACGGAGAAATATGGAGACTGTATAGTACCATCCTGCAAGCGATGCTTCGTATGGTGCATGATTTCGAGTGACTTCGGGAATTGGAAGGATTCTGCCGCCTGGTGTGTGATGAGAACTCGACCTCCCTGTCGATTGATCGACGGATGACCCGTTAGCTCAATTGGCAGAGCGTTGGGCATGTAACCCAGAGGTTGTGAGTTCGACTCTCACACGGGGCGGTGGAGTTTTTTCATTTTCCATTGTCACTCAAAATTAGGGCTCTCCATCTTCATCATTATATGTATCTTTTCGGTTGAGTAACCGACAAACATTATGACTTGACTCCTATATACAATATACAGGGTGTCCGCTAAAAGGAGGTCAATCCATTAAGCATATATTCCTTGAACAAAAACAATGAGTTTCTGAATACCATTTTTCATTTTAGCCCTTCAGATTCGATATACAGGGTGTCAAAGTTGGATATTAAAAACTGTTTTTTTCTAATTACTCGCGTATTTGATAAGATATCAATCTCAAAATTGGTACATTACTTCAGCACAAAGAGTTACATCGTGTGAGGAGAACAACACAGGAAATAACTGTCAAATATTCAAAATACTGGGGGTCAAGTGCACACTTACCCCCATATTTTTTTTGTACGTGCGCTAACGACTTCCTATCTATTTTTCTTCAAGTGTTCAATCATTTTTGAGTATATTTTGTTTCTTGTGAAATTTCGATAAAATTATTTGTCCTATTTTCAAGATATGAATTCAAAATATTTCTCACAGTGCCTCTGAGTCCCATCGTTTCTGAGTTTTCTATAAGTGTTGTATGATCAACTATGTCAAAAGCATTTTTGAGATCAATGAAAACAGCTACCACATAATTTCCTGAATCAAGTCCTTCCTGGATTGATTCTATCACTTGTAATACTGCTGTTTTCTTGAAAACCAAATTGATTAGAATCAAAGCTATATTTTTTGTTGATGAATTCTACAATGCGTTTCTTGGGAATCATTTCAAAAATTTTAGAAAATATGATTATCAAAGCTATTGGTTTATAGTTGGTTGGATCCTGAGCATCTCCATTTTAGTAAATTGCTCTTACGGATGCATGTTTCAATTCGTGTGGGAAACTTTCTATTATGAAAGATTCATTGATCAATTATGATATTAGTGTAGCTAAAATGTTTCTCAATTCGAATATGTCTTTAGTAATCAAACCTTCTGGATCAGGGCATGTCTTTTCTAAATCATGAATTATAGAAATGATTTCATCAGTGGGAAACAAGAGCATTGTGGAATCATTATATTGTGGACTGACATTTTGACGTGAAAGGTTATTTATTTATTGAACAAATAACTTCCAGACAGAATAGGCTCTGGTATAAGGAAGTACATAATTATATACCTATAGGTAAACATATCATTATACAAAATATATCAACAACTGTAAATTGACAAACAAAGAATAATATTTGTAAAAAATGTAAAATGGCATGTTCAATTTTATCCAGTTCGCTCAGAAATAATCAATTTTTTCACTTTATTTTTGAATGAACCTATATTGCTGCAATTTTTTATATTGTCAGGTAGTTTATTGAATTCAGTTAAGGCTGAATGAGTGAATCTTTTTTGTCCGATAATGGAGCTAGCGGCGTCAAGATGAAACAAGTTATATTGTCTTGTTTCATGATACGATATCATTTCCTTTGCAATATTCTCACCAATACTCGAAAAATGATCATTCATTATTTTGGCTATTTCTATATTCACAAAGAGAGATAAACTCGAAGTCATTACCACACTAGTTCATAAAATGAACGAAAATGGTAGATAACGAGAGAAAAACAACTACTTTCCTGGCTATATGCCACGCAGAACATTGAATTACATCCTCCGGATATCTATGCAAGAATTTGTATAGACGAATAAAATCGTAAGTGTTTCCTTCCTAAACGCTGAGCTGCGCTTAAGTGGTTCAGGAATGCTGACTACCTGCAGACCGGTTTTGAGCTGTTTGCTCTCATCAGTACAGGGCTGCCCCAGATAGCTTCTTGACCGCTATCTGGTGTGAACCTGACCCAACGTGAACGCATCTCAGCATTTATACCATACGAGGCGTTCGAAGTCCGCGAAATGAAAACGCGAACGCCACCTGGCAAGGAAAGAAACACTCCAAACCAAGATCCCATTTCAGGTGAAATGGGAGTGGCTGGTTGCCCGACTGGCGTATTTTCAACCAGGGAAAAAGCCGAATACTCAAAGTGGAATGCAATGGTCACAAAGAGAGAGAAACTCGAAGTCATTACCACACTAGTTCATAAAATGAAGGAAAATGGTAGATAACGAGAGAAAAACAACTACTTTCCTGACTATATGCCACGCAGAACATTGGATTACATCCTCCCGAAATCTATGCAATAGTTCGTATAGACGAATGAAATCGCAAGTGTTTCCTTCCTAAACGCTGAGCTGCGCTTAACCGTTGCAGCGGTGATTAAAAGAGCTGACACCGTCCATGTGCGACATGGTCTCTGAAGACGACTGTACTTCGAAATGGATGGAATAATCGTCAAATACTCACTGGGTGGATGGTGGGACACTTGCTCGGCGACGAAGGCCAGTTGGCTCTTCTTGCACCAAGGCACCGGCCCGTCCTCGGCCAAGCTGTCGTTGGTGCCTATATCGGCGTCGGGCACGTCCCAATGGCATCGGAACACCTCGCCCAAGATGGGGTTGTAGGGCTTCTTGGCCACCGAACTTTTCCTGCCGGCATGGTAGGAAGAGAGGTACCATCGCACGACTTGTACCATCCTCTCGCGGGGGTCCTTGAGATCGGCTATTCTATGGGAAGAGGAGACAACAAAATGAATGGGTAGGTTGTGTTCGGCCCAATTTTCGATTGGCCTAATTTTCGATTTGCCCACCATCTCCGAATATACCCGAACGATGCGTTGTTGCCAAATCTGAATAAGGAATCATTGTGGGCTGATCATTATTGAATATTTCAATTTTTTGATACACATAATATGTATGTATGGTACATATTTCGATTTGCCCGATTTTCGATTTACCCAATTTTCGATCCACCCAAATTTCGATTCACCCAATGTTCAATTCGCCCCAAATTCGATTGACCCAAATTTAGATATCAAATTCATTCTGCATAACGCTTATCGCATCATATATTTCCATACGATAAAGCTTAGCTCGACGGTTCGGGTTTGAGTCAACTTTATCATCGATTCTAAACTGCATAGTAATGGTCATTAACAATATTCCGAAAATCTGCGATTATAGTACATTTTGGCGTAGATGAATATTGAAATAGGTTGCTTATAAATCAATTCTGAAGATTTGTGTCAGTAAGTTTTATTTTATTTTGTAATTTTGCATAACTTGCCATATTCCTGAACTTACACAGTTTCTTCAATATTTGAATAGTTTATTTTATTTTGTTATTCATACAATTCTGGTATGAGGAAGTTGATTACACAACAATAATAAAATAACAACATAAGGTGACAACAACAAAAAATCTAAAAATGCTAAATCGATCAAGTCATAAAAATAGCAATAGGGACTAATCAGTAGATGGCAAAGTATCAATTTCATCCATTTCGTAATAAAATCATGTGTTTTTTTAATTCAATTTTAAATTCAGAAATATGTTTGCAATTTTCATATTATGTGGTAATTTATTGAATTCAGCTAGAGCAGCAGTTTGATTGTCTCGTGTGATGACCATGAATTTCTGAGTTTCTTATTAAAACGAAATTGGATTTCAGATTATTGTTTTTGATATTATATAAAACTTTAAGAGAATCTATTTTATACAATTCATCCAATGAACATTTTTCTGATATCGCATACAGATCATTTGGTGGGATATCAAATGAGAGGCGATACAATACTTTCAGTGATTTCTTATGAAGTGCAGATATGTAGTATCCTCCTTGCGCATAATGGCTCTTACCACGTGAGTAATAGCCATCATTATGCGCTCGTTGGATAATATTATAAAATATACTTACTTTACAAACATATCAGGATGGGCAAAGTAATCGGCATACATTTCCAATAAGGATCTCCTTTCTAAGATGAATGTGGGCAGTACTACTTTGGTTAAATCCATACCTATTTTGACTTGAGACAGCAGATGCCTGATGACACTGCCATGACTCTCTAGTTCTAATAAGTTTTCGTCACTTTCTTCATAAAGTGCTGAAATTGAAAATACAATTATTATTATTTCAGCTGTGGCTACGTGCAATAATTTACTTCACAGTTCACATGACTAGTAGGCGATTCCAATTATATTTATATAATGATTTATGAAATGAAGGTTTCCTGTTGATTTCCAAACAAAGCCGACTGCACCTGCAATGCTATCTACGTTTTGCAGTAATATCCACTATTGATTTAATCAAAATAAATTGTTCACTTCTTTTCAAATCTCGTTTCAAATGAGCTGTGATGTTTATACAAGGTGATCTATATGATAATGGGAATAATCAATCAGTGGGTTGTCTCCACCAAATTGGATTCAAATAATTTTAAATTGAAAGGGAGGATTAAAATGCCATCTACTTTAAGTATATTCTGCTCTTTGTCTTTTCAATTCCCCTAATAGCACTTGATTGTCAGATACGACTTTAGAGGTTGGATTTTCTGTCAAATCAATCATTGTCGTAGATGGAAAATAGAAATAGGGTATATGGGTGTTGCATTTGAAATATTCAATATTGTAGTTGAGCCTTACCGTCGTAGTCTAAGTCTTCGAAATTTGTTGATCTGGAACGGATACTTTCTTGCCTAGTGTTATTCGTTAGAGATGGTACTGTAGTTTTATTGACAGGAACTGGGGTTTGGGCATCATTATCAAATGATCTAATGCTACTGCAAACAAAAATAAAAACATTATAACAAGACAATTTATTTTCCATTAAAATAGAAAATAAACGAATAAAAAAATATACCCATCAAACAAAATAACATTTGGTCATGCCAAAATGTTTGTTTATTTCGGAAACCGAGTTGACATCTATGAAAAAACTTGAGACAAACAAGATAATGCTGATTCTTAAGAAGCTGTTCAGATATTCTACGAGAGTTATCTGGAATTTTGATAATTATTGGAATTTTTGAGTCAATAAAGAAAATATACGATTCGGGATTGTTACCGTATATCAAAATAATCTATCTTGGCAAGGCTAGAATTCAGAATATATCATGTCACATTATGAACAATAGTCAACTTCAATTGCGATTGATAATTATTGATGATCATTCATTTCTCTATTGTTCGTTGAATGTTTCACAAGTTTTAAATTATTATCTGAGGTTATGAGGTGACTACCTATTATCTCAACAACATGTTGGGCAACACTTTGTGTTCCGAATCGACTTTACCTGAAATTAGATATACAGTATCATCCCTAATTAGACATATTTCAAAGATAGAAACCTGAGCTAAAAATCACCTAGATTGAAATTGTTTTTCTACAAGCGTGCGTTATTCACCCTATACCGCCACGCAATTTAGTTTGGGAAGTGTCGTTTTCCCGCAGTAGTGCGGGAAAAACATTCATATAATATTCTCGCAAAATATGAGTGTTGGGAGACACAATATGAAGATTTTAGTTTTTTTTTATGCATCATTTAGTAAGTTTGTACAAAATCATCCATCAAATTGCACTATTGATTGTGAAAATGAAGAAATATTGAAAAATAATAATTGATTGTTATATAAATCCAACTATAGCCTTTAATTGATCTGATGTGGAAAACAATTGTTGACATGTCAATCAAAACAAAAAATTACTAAGTGTAATTCTCAGAGTTACAGACAGATCGTTACTTTCATTTTCGATTCAGTGGAATTGCGATGAAAAACTTCCAGATACAGATGAGTTATTGCCAACGAAGTCTTAAGAAAGGTATGAGAAGCACAACACGGGATTTATTGAATGGTGCAATAGTAGAAAAGTGGAAACACCAAATAAAGAAGAAGTATTTTTGGCTCATTTCCTAGGAATGTCTGAAACCTAGAGGCCAAACACCATGGGCGATATGGGCATGCTGGTTTCCGCAAAAAGCTTACCTACATAATGCTTCAAACGGTACACACAATAGATATATCAGTAATTATTAGAAGAGAGAGAATATATCACTATCGTAGTTGTCCCTATTTGCAGGAATAATTGATTGAACAAATCGATCAATTTCCTACCCTTGTAGAAAAAATATTGTTCCTAACTCATGCGGAATAGTTTATTGTTTAACGAGCACGGAATGTTTGTGATTTCCAACGAGAATGAAGTTTGCAGCATGATCCATAGGCGAATGCTGCAATAATTCGAGTAGGAAATTAGAATTCCGTGCAAGTTATACACTATAATTTTTCTACGGCTATAAAAGATAACTGCGGCATTTTCGATTTCTTCTTGAAGCCATCTGATTTCCTGTCAAGTAATATTCATCTATTAGGCATTGCTTGCAACTTGACATATCATGAGCGATGAGATTTTTTTGAAATAATAACACAAAATGAGTGATATTCTTTCATTCTGAACTGACTGACACATTTCACTTGAACCGAACTGAATCAGTTGACATGCATTGTACGTAATGAACGTCATTCGAAAGAACAATTCAGTTCATTTCTAGTGAAATATTTCAGTTAGTTCAGATTGAAAGAATATTACTATGGAGTCACTGTGATATCAGATACGGAAATAAAATTGATGACATACAAAGTACCTCATTGACGTATCGAACACAGTAAAACAAGAGCAATTTTGTGTTATAGCCGCAGAAAAACTGCCTTTCCCGCACTCGACTCCTTGCCGGAACTCCACTTCGCGCCGTTCGGGTCAACGGCATTGGCGTGCGGGAAAATATCACCTTCCGCACTTGTTATTATTAAATTATTTCTGATTATGTGAATTAAACGTTTCCGGCTGCTTCCAGAGGTATACGACAGGAGCAAGTGACTGGTTGGTGCTTCCAAAATTCTACGACACTGGCGATATTGCCCTTTATCACAATTTTTCGATTCTCTAATACTTATCTACTTGGATATAGTACTCTTTCTACATAGCGATACAGTAATTATTTTTATTCACAATACACATAATTATATGTAATGTTGTCATTACTAATAACGTCATTGAAGGTTGGGAAGTGTCACATTACACACCGCTACTTCCCGTCCTCACTTCATTTTTGAATTTTAGGTATGTTCAGAACGAAAAAGATCGAAATGTGATGATTGTAAATAAAAAAGAATACAAACCTCGGTAGGAAGTTTCATTCCTGTCTCGAGAGAATGAATCTCTTTCCACCTCGGTATGTAATATACTATTAGAGATAAGTTGAACCTAAAGTTCACAATTATTTTGAATTTGATGTGTATCAATAATTATGCCGATATTTTGGATCAATGGGCTGCATTCATCAATCAAATAAAACTTCAATCCATAAAAACATAATAAAATGACAGACAGGAGCTGTCACAGGGTGTTTTACTTTGATTATTTTGAAAAATTTAACGCAAATTCATCGGTATTTCGATAATTTCGATTATCGATTTATTGTATACCCGTTTAGAGCGATAGCTCATAAAATGTCGAGAAATTGACAAAATGTTCAAATAACATTGTTTATATAGCTTTTTCTTTTTCATTCATTGACATTTATTCAATTGAATAAATTTTCGTGTGTTTTCGAGAACGTCCCACTCGATATTTGATCTTCCAGGGACTCTCGATTCCGAAACGTTTAGGAAAATTTAATAGTATATATTTTTCAAGGTCAATTCTTTCACTTCCAATTGGATAGAAGAAGCTGTCAATTGCGGCTGGTGTAGAATAGAAAATAAGATTATTCATCCCAATGAAAGGTTTTCGAAGTTGAGAATATGTGTTGATGGAAGTAGGTGAATTACCTTCAAAAAGTAATAGACATGTGATATGTGAAATCCACCAAAGAGATCAATTGATTTATTCATTCATCAAGTTGTTATTGGCCTTGGTTTTGGGAATTAGATCTTTTATTGTCTCAATAATACTACCTATATAGTCAAGTAGTGAATCACTTTCACGACAATATCGCAAAAAATATAGAAACTTTGACTATCTAACTGACCTTATTTTGAAATGTTCATAACGAATGAATTATAATGAGGAACAAGAAACTTCTTGAGATGAGATGGAAGTTCTCAGTTCTCGCGTAGGCAGGTACATTTTTACATTCTCGAGATCTTCTCTGTTATGACTTGAAGGCAGAGTCTCTGTTGAAGGCAGGAGTATGTGAAGTACCTATATACCTCAAGTAGTTTATAAGCATAGCATATTATACAGGTCAGCCAACAGTGGCCACCCTTTTTTTATATATCAGGAAATCTTGAAAATCAGAAATATTTACAGTGTTGGCATTGGATCAAAAGAAGTAAAATAGATTTGAAAAAGTGGGTTAATCAATGTTTATGAAGACTATGCTTTTGGAAAAATATTTGGTAAGTGGCCATACCGTCAATATACACACAAACATATATTTATTGATCAGAATATCTCAATACATCTTGCCAAGAATACGGAATTCGCTTGTTGTTTGCCACTCCTAATGAAAATGCAAATTTTCGGATATTCTTAGGTGTTAGTCCATGATGCAATTTTGCACAAATTTGAAGGTAATTACAGAGCTCTTGTTCTTCTACAGTTGAAAATATACGGTTTAATGTATAATTCGGAAATAATCCTGTATAGTTACATTCACTATATCAAATTCTTGAAATTTCGTGAGATATTACCTGAGAGTAGATTCAGAAATATTGTATCGAGGCATGGGGCATGATGCATGATCTCTTTCTGCGATAAAAAATTGAATATAGAGAAACAGTGGCAACTGTTTTATATTTGAAAACAAGTGGCCACTGTTCCCAATCGGATGGTGACCACTGTACCAATAAATTCAATTGGAACCATTTCGATCTAACCTTAAAATAATTGTTTGATTTTTCACATCTTCACTCCATAAAGTAGTTCGAATGTATCAAATCTCATGATAAATATGAATTTACATCAGTAATCTTACCTACGAAGATGTTATTCAATGAGAAATGCACTGATATACGTAACTTGTACGGATAAAAAATTAACAAAAACATAAAACTGCCACAGATAGCAACGAACTGAACATTAGACCAAATATGTCGTTATTACTCGTATTCCTCATAGTCTGGATAGTAGGTACTAGAGGGTGGCCATGTATTAGCTATGGCCACTGTTGGTGCACCTCTCCTACATATTATAGAAGAGGTGATGTGATTCCTTGGATTATGTTAGGACTAAAATAAGTTTCCACTAATGATTTCAGAAACATTTTTTCTTGAATCCCTATTATATATAGTTGTTCTTGGTGAAGACAATTGATCAAAATATTCTCTTGAAATATGTTTTTTTTTATTAAATACCTGGTATAGTTTAAATTTTGTAATTTTGGAGATAAAAACAGCGTGTCATTGTTTCGAACCAATTATTTACGTTTTTGAAAATACTTAGTTCGAACTCGACCTATGAAAAATTCCTACATAATAATTGTTTTAGCAATATCATTGAACTTGTCAGTCGAACACATTGAATTACATAGAAACGTTATTAATATTCATTTATGGATGGATTCATTACATAATCAAAAATAATCGATTAACAAATACCCAGATATAGTGCAGACTCGATAATCCGAACGTTCAATAATCCGAATTCTTCAGTAGTCCGAACAAGCATTTTTAATACATTGGGTACTCTATAATCCGAATTTCATAGTACTCGATAACCCGAACCTATACCTTTAGACCTATTTATTTCCTAAAGAAATTGTGAGTGAAATGTTCAGGG